TGCTGTGGTCTAAACCACTGAGCCTCTTGGGCTTGCTGATTGGAAGGTTGGCGGTTCGAACCCCCGTGACAGGGTGAGCTCCCGTTGCTCTTTCCCAGCTCCTGCCAACCTAGCAGCTCAAAAGCATACCAGTGCAAGTAGATAAATAGGTACTGGTGCAACGGGAAGGTGAATGGCATTTCTATATGCTCTGGTTTTTGTCATGGTGTTCCACTGCGCCAGAAGTGATTTAGTCCTGCTGGCCACATGACCCGGAAAGCTGTCTGTGGACAAACACCGGCTCCCTCGGCCTGAAAGCAAGATGAGCGCTGCACCCCATAGTCACCTTTGACTGGGCTTAACCATCCAGGGGTCTTTTACCTTTACCTTTACCATCTGGGCAGGACCACTCATAATAATCTTATGTAATACAGTGGTACTTCGGGTTACAGATGCTTCAGGTTACAGATGCTTCAGGTTACAGATGCTTCAGATTACGGACGCTTCAGGTTACAGACTCCGCTAACCCAGAAATAGTACCTCGGGTTAAGAACTTCAGGATGAGAACAGAAATTGTGTAGCGGCGGCGTGGCAGCAACGGGAGGCCCCATTAACTAAAGTGGTGCTTCAGGTTAAGAACAGTTTCAGGTTAAGAACGGACCTCCGGAACGAATTAAATACTTAACCTGAGGTACCACTGTAATGAGATAGCAAGTCGGATTGTACTTCCCACATATCAGCTGATGGATTCAACTGATACTATGCAGGGATTGGGTGTGCAACAGAGGGTCCCTGACAGGCTGGGGGGGGGGTTAATGCTGGGGGTGGGTGGGAAATGGAGCTGTTCTTTTTGCAGAGCTGGTGGAGTGAACCCTCCCCCTCTGCCATAGACAAAGAGAGTGGCAACTGGTAGCTGACAATGGAAAAAATAAAAACTCCTGCTGATCTTATGCAGGATCTAGAAGACGTCCCAGCCTTTTATGCCTGGCAGCTGGACAGCAGTTCAAAAGCTGGCATGTTCCTTTGCCAGCAGAGGTTGGTCCAATAAAAGACCAGCATTATTTTTGCTATTTCGCAGATTTGGCTTTCCATCGCAGTTCGTCAATAGCGGACTCTGAAAGGCGTCCTCTCCGACTCCTTTTATCCTTGCAGGTAGAATTAATGACATGGTTTGTGTGACAGCGGCAGCTGAAGGAAGCAGAGATGACTTTATCACACCCCTGAGATGATTTCCAGCTGGAACCATTGGAGCCCAAATGCATTAATTTCAGTTACTCTCTCTCTCGCCCTGCCATCCACTCCCAGTACAGTTTGTGATGATCACGGCTGGTACCTCCCCTTGGCAAACCTGTCGGGTTCCAATATGTAGCCTGTGAACAAGAGAGATTGAAGTATATATTCCGCTCTCTGCTGTCAGATGCAATAACTTAAATTTCGGAACAGAAGAAGAGCCTTGCTGCTTTGTTGTTGTTGTTTAGTCGTTTAGTCGTGTCCGACTCTTCATGACCCCATGGACCAGAGCACGCCAGGCACTCCTGTCTTCCACTGCCTCCTGCAGTTTGGTCAAACTCATGTTCGTAGCTTCGAGAACACTGTCCAACCATCTCGTCCTCTGTCGTCCCCTTCTCCTTGTGCCCTCCATCTTTCCCAGCATCAGGGTCTTTTCCAGGGAGTCGTCTCTTCTCATGAGGTGGCCAAAGTATTGGAGCCTCAGCTTCAGGATCTGTCCTTCCAGTGAGCACTCAGGGCTGATTTCCTTCAGAATGGATAGGTTTGATCTTCTTGCAGTCCATAGGGCTCTCAAGAGTCTCCTCCAGCACCATAATTCAAAAGCATCAATTCTTCGGCGATCAGCCATCTTTATGGTCCAGCTCTCACTTCCATACATTACTACTGGGAAACCCATAGCTCTAACTATACGGACCTTTGTTGGCAAGGTGATGTCTCTGCTTTTTAAGATGCTGGCCTTGCGGCTAGATCAGGGCAAAGGCCCATCTAGTCCAGCATCCTATTCCCACAGTGGCCAACTGAGAAGCTCAATAGCACTCTCTCCCTCAGAACTGGCATACAGAGAGAGGCATTTTTCCTCTGACTTTAGAGGTAGAAGCTAGGTACTATAGCTGGCAGCTATATACTCTATGAATTTGTCTATCCCTCTTTTAAAGCCATTCAAGTTGTCGGAGTGAATTTCATAGTTTGACTTTGTGCTTTGTGAAGAAGTTCTTTGTCCTGAACCTTTCAACATTCAGTTTCATTGGAAGGCACTACATTCTAATATTTTCAGTGCCTACTTAAAAAAAATTTTCTATCCAGTTGTGTATTAGCAGGTGTTTTAATCTGGGGGTTTTTTTAGCTTATTTTATTCAAATAGTTTTTTAAAAATACTTTTTCTTTTACTGATAATCTTATTATTATTTTTTCCTTTGGTAAGCTGCTTAGAGGTTTTAGGGTTGGGGTTTTTTATTTTGTTGTTTGAAATAAATAAATAAATAAATAAATAGCTACATAAAGTGGAGGGGGGTGGGATAAATAAGCAATAAAAACTTCTATCCACTCCCAAACTGTGTGAATTTCACAAGATGTCTTGTGCTTCAGTTAGCGTAGTGTTTTGGAAAGGGCAGATTTGGTAGGTTTGCCTTTAAAATGCAAACTGAATCAAATTTCTCCACCAATCCTAGGCACTAGATCCTTGTAAACTAGGTTAGGCAGGGGGCCACACATTTTTTTGGCGCCACGGTCGCTTGAGATTTTAAAAAGGCAGGAGGGAGGAGGTACGCAGGAGGCAACTAAAGCCAGCAATTCTCCTTTCCTCAAATAATAAGCATTCTGAATAAAACCCAAAGCTCTCCATGGCTCTGGTGAAAGGGCTCCAAATTGATAAACTGGCAAGAGTTCAGCGATGGCTGAGGTAAAAAAAAGAGAGAATTTGAGGGTCAAACTGTGCTTTATACGTAATGCATAGTATGTATCTAAGGTCTCTTGTTTTTCTTAAGTTAATTATAGCCACGGGGAGGGAGATGTTTACACTGAATGCCAACCCTTCCACACAGCTATATGAGGCTGAACAAAAAGCAGAAATAATTCCCGTTGGCAAATTAAGGTCAAATCTACACCATGCCTTTAAGACATGTGGCTCCCCCCCCAAAAAAAATATATCTTTGGAGCTGCAGTTTATATAATATATAATAAAATTTATATCCCGCCCTCCCCAGCTGAAGCCAGGCTCAGAGTGGCTAACAACAATAAAAGTAACACAGTTTACATAAAATCACATTCAAATTAATTGAAATGCATTCTAAAATCAATTCATTCTAAAATCAATTCAAAATCAAATTAATGGCAAACATTGGGCTAGAGTTCTGTGAGGATCACCAAAGGAGGGGGTCAGACTGTGCCTTGGCCAAAGGCCTGGTGGAACAGCTCTGTCTTGCAGGCCCTGTGGAAAGATGTCAAGTCTTGCAGGGCCCTAGTCTCTTGTGACAAAGCGTTCCACCAGATTGGGGCCATGGCTGAAAAAGCCCTGGCTCTGGTTGAGGCCAGCCTAACCTCCCTGTGGCCCGGGACCTCCTAGATGTTTTTATTTGAAGACCGTAAGGTCCTCCGTGAGGCATACCAGGAGAGGCGGTCCCGTGGGTACGAGGGTCCTAGACCATATAGGGCTTTAAAGGTTAAGACCAGCACCTTCAACCTGATCCTGTACTCCAGTGCCGCTGGTATAGCACTGGGTGAATGTGATCCCGCAGCAAGGACCCCGTAAGGAGTCTTGCAGTGGCATTCTGCACCTGCTGGAGTTTCTGGGTTTACCCTCCAAAGCACTACAGTTCCCAACACAAATCTACAGTTCCCAGGATTCTTGGGAGGCAGCCATGTGCTTTCGATGTCCTTTAAATGGTGCGGCTGTGACCTAAGTGCAGTGTGTGGTTTAACTCTGAACACTGTGTATTCCAATAGATACTCAGGTACATAGGAACCAACTTCTAGGAGCCAAGAGGGTGCGGGGTGCTCAGCGCAGGGCTAAGCGCAGCACCCAACCTTCTTCCAACCATAGGGTGCTCCGGCGCAAGGCGCAGGGGGGTCGGCCTTCTCCCGACCGTGCAATGTCGTGTGAGCGACTTCACAAGTGCACGTTGGACGCCATGCGCGTGACATCACAATTGCATGTTGCACATGCAATGTCAGGCCCCCTCAATGCACAAAGCAGCACCGTGGCTGCCTGGCAGCATGTCTCTGTTAGGATATAATTCCGTTCCACCTTAAAAAGAAAAGGCATGACTGTTGTGTGTCACATGCCTGTTTACTTCCAGCAAAGTCTGCTGGGAACTTCAGTTTGTATATTGCTTTTGCTATTGCTGTTTGCTGGACACGAAGGGAAGCAGACATGTTTTTCCTTTGTTCCTGAACTATGCTGAATAAAGGTAAAGGGACCCCTGACCATTAGGTCCAGTCATGGCCGACTCTGGGGTTGCGGCGCTCATCTCGCTTTGTTGGCCGAGGGAGCCGGCATACAGCTTCCGGGTCATGTGGCCAGCATGACTAAGCTGCTTCTGGTGAAGCAGAGCAGCGCACGGAAATGCTGTTTACCTTCCTGCCGGAGCGGTACCTATTTATCTACTTGCACTTTGACGTGCTTTTGAACTGCTAGGTTGGCAGGAGTTGGGACTGAACAACAGGAGCTCACCCTGTCGCGGGGATTCGAACCGCAGACCTTCTGATCGGCAAGTCCTAGGCTCTGTGGGTTAACCCACAGCGCCACCCGCTGAATAAACGCCTGTAAATAATGCTTACACATGTCTCTGTCTGCCACTTCCGCTGTGAGCAGTTATTCACTTTGCTGATTAGAGCGTGCTCAGCTTCTGAACGTATCTGAGGCTTGAGTCGCTGATTGATGCTGTTCCAGAGTTCGCCCGGCTGCCGGCCGGTGGCTGGAGCCAGCTGGGGGCCTGCCAAATGCCCCCCGTCTCCCGGAAACATCCCAACAGTCTCCAGGGTTTCACACAGAGGTCTTTCCCAGTCCCATCTGGAGATACCAGCCAGGGATTGAACCTGGGAGCTTCTGCAGACAAAGTAGATGCTCTTCCACTGAGCTATGGCCCTTCCTTGATTTATCTCCTGTACCTCATTCCCTTTCCATTCTTCTTTTCCCATGTCTCCAGGTAGTCTGTGACTGCTCTGTAGAAAAGTATTTAAAATCGGATGTAGGCAAACATTTGGGAAGTAACTTTTGCCCTCCTCCTGCTCCCCATCGTGTCGTTAGGCAATGGCGCTGCATTATTTGGACAACACAGCAGGCCTGTGAGTTGCCGCACATTTCTGCTCAATATGTTTTCTTAGATGTTATTTTGTTTATTCTCTAGCTACTTGTTAGCTTCAGCTGGTAATAGCCAGAGGCTAGTTAAAAAGAAAATCCTTCTGCTTTTTAGTTTCCAGTATGGAGACGCTTAGGGGCACGGAGGAGTTAGAAGGCCAAACTAAATAAAATGCTACTTCTCCGAATGCAATTTGCATACATGCTTTTTGTTATGTAAATAATAGCCTTATGGAAACATGAACAGCCTCAGGACAGGGGGCACAGTGGAGAGGGGAAGCTTATTCCTCTGCCTCCAAGGTCCTAACAAAATACTGTCTCTCAGAAGTTGCTATTTGCTGTATCGGCACAAGAGGCTCACTCGTCAACAGTTCTGATAATCAATTGTTTCTCTTCCTTAATTTATAACTAGTATCTTGTAAACTTTGGCTCAACCTTGCGTTTGGCACTGCCTAGCAAAGTGCTCAGCCCAGCCCAACTTCATGCAGCCTCCCAGTTTAGGGGAGTTAGAACAATAAAACAATGAGATAAAACAATAAATTAAAACAACAAAACGCATGAAGATGATGGAGTTTTCGGAGCTAGCCGACCTAACCAGGAGAGTCCGTGACCAGAAGGAGGAGGAGTATCAGGAAGAATGGACAAAATTTAATGATTATTTAGTTAAATATGTAAAATTAAATTAATTGGAAATAGCTTGCAGATACTTAATTGGCTTAGGATTTCATATAAGTTAAGTGATGATTTAATATGTTTAATTTTTAAATTAAAGGATTACAGGATGTTAAATTTCATAAGAATTTTGATTTGGAAAACCGTTAAAAGGATGTGCATGGAAATTCAACCAAGACAAAGTGAGTAAGTCACTTAACAAAGTTAATAAGTGTAATTTTAATAAGCTTATGATCTATGTTTGTTTGTCTATCTGTTTGTTTTGTTTATAATTTTGTGAAAATTAATAAAAATTGTATAAAACAACAACAACAACAAAACGAAGCACTAAAAGGAGTTAAGAAGTAAAATGGAAGCGAGGATAAAAACAAGTGCTAAGGGTTGGTTATAGAGCAGAAACTTGCCTTAGAGTTGGCCTTAGAGCTCAAAACCCCGCTTCAAGCATTCGGCAGCCATCTTCCTTTTCCAAGAGGGAGCTTTCCTTGAAATACAAATAGCAGTTTTTGGTGGGGAGGAGAGAGATGTACCTTCCTCACCCACCACTCCCAGAGTCTTGAGATTGTGCCCAGGTTTCCCTGTAGCTAGGGTATTGTTTTTGTAAACTGCTTTGAGGGCAGTGTATACTTGTAAATAAATAAATATATTACTGTTGTGCTTGCGTCCTGCTTGTGTTAGTTGATTTCCCTGTTACTCTAATCATGGTGACATGGTCTCCACAAGACTTATCTGAAGCAGCAAATTGTACGCCAAGGTCCAAGCAGCTTCTACAGCAGACATACACAGATGGCACAGTGTCATCCATTTAGAGCCACCATGGCTGCTGTACTGTGCACATGGAATATACCATAACTGCTGGTTGTGATGGCTATGTAGGCCTAGCAGGACCCAGATCAAGAGCTTATAGGATTCCCACAGGCATTTGGTGCAGCTGAACTGGATGGGACACCTGCCAAAGCAGGAGCCCGGAGTCAGTCAGCAGGAGCTCCCAAGGTGTCAGTTTCAAAGAACAGCTCAAGCAACTCTTCCCAGTGGGCCTTGCCCCAATGAAGCAGTTGCAAGGACTTGTCTTTCCCGCCACTCTCTAAGTCTCCTCCTCCCGGGGTCCTTCCCAAGTGACCTGAGACTTCTTCACCTGGTGTGCCTTTGCTCTGCCCTCTTCACACCTCTTCTGGGAGACCAAGGGAGAGGGGAGCTGGTCTCAGTAAGAGGGGAAGACTCCCTGGCTCCTTCAGCAGCCTGCCTCATCTCTGCCTCTTAGCCTCCCCTCCTCTCCAGCCTCTGATTCTGCTTCTGATTCTGGCCTGCTCTCTGCCACAGCCTCTTCCTGCTCACTAAACCCTGTTAGCTCTTCAGCTTCTGATGCCTCCTCATCTTGTGCCCAGTTTTCCCATGGGCATCTGGATGGCCACCGCAAGAACAGGAAGCTGGAACAGAAGGACCATTGGCTTGATCCAGCAGACCTCTCTGCACTTAGAATACTAGATTAGGTAGGACTTTGGTCTGATCCAGCAGAGCAGATGGTGGGGAGGGGCAGCCCAAATGGATTCATTTATTAAAATAATCAAACTCAGTCACCCTCTTCCTCCATTTTGTCCTTCTCCGTGTCTTTAATTTGTAAGCCATCCATAGCTCTCAGATTTGGACCTGGCAGAACGTCGAAGTCAATGGCATTTTTGTATTGTCAGGAAGTCTGTTTTTCTTCCCTCTACAGATAAAAGGGAAATAATATCCACCTATATAGGAAGTAAATGAAAGGAAATGGGCCGGTGACAGATTGTGGTAAATTGTGAGAATGGAAGAAATAAAAAGAAGACGACTCTGAGGCAAAATCGTGTTTGAAAAAACTATCTGTCACTTCTAAACTAGAATAACAGTAAGAATAACAAAAAACATTCCAGTTCTTGCATGTGATAATGAAAAGTCCCGTGTGTGAATGAACAAGTAAAAAAGCCTTCGTAGAGTCTACATCATTAAGTGCGCGGTAAATCCCTGAAGATTTTGTGTTTCTGTTTCAAGTTTAAAACACTGGGAGGCGGGGAGAGAAATGACTCTTTACTTCCTTTTCAAGAAATTCAGGCTGCAGTTATCATTTCTTTCAATCTCCTGCTCATGCAGAGAGCTAGCATCACACACATGAGAAATCATCTTAATTATTTCAGCTTCATCTGCAAAGGGCATTAGGATTAATCATGCAGAGGCTGAGACACAAAGCAGGCTTCAGGTTTGAGATGAAGTATCCTAATGATGATACTACAGTTGTGTGTCAGCTTCAAGAGTGCAGCCTTGAATTTGATTCAGGAGGTATCTGTAAGATTTGAAGATGATCCTCTGTGCGTGTCTTGCTATGCTGCAGGATTCTATTCAATGTGGTGAACTGGTATGTTAATATTGAGCAAACTCAGACTGTTAAACCACGGGAAGCTGTGTGTACAATGTCCAATTGAAGCATCTCCTCAGAATGTCTCCTCATTCTGGAGCACGGACAGTTGAATGAGAGAACAGGTCATTCCAGTGGTGGCCCTACATTTGTGGAAAACTCTCCTCTAAATAGGTCTCTGTCTGGTGCCTAACTTTAATATATTTTTTGTGCCGCAGGGCTTTCTACATTTCTTAACAATTTAATGTTATTTTAATGCAATTCATTGTTAGCCTCTGTTTAGTGGATGACGATTAGCTGCTTTTAGCTCGGATGCGGGTCTTTTAAATTTTTTAAACGTTAATATGAACGTGCCAGCGTTGATTTCTATTTTTTTCCATTTTGTTGGCTTTGTTATCGTGTTTGCATTTTGATGCTTTCATCGTACACCGCCTAGAGCCCTTCGCTGCATGAAATTGATAAATATACCAGACAAACAAAATTATGGAAAAGACTGAGAAAACAGCGTGAAGTCACAGAGCTGGAAGCTGTCCCTCTGATCCGGAGGCATGTATGGTTCCAACGCCTGATCCTTAAGAACTCCAGAGCATCTGTGCTGGATCAGAACAAAGGCCCAGCAACTTGTTTACCACAGTGGCTAACAAAATGCCTCTGGGAAGCCTTAAAAAAGGATATGAGGGCAATAGCTTTTTGTTTTTGCTCAGCAACTTCCGAGAGTGGAAGGAGCATATCGCCATGACGACTGATAGCCACAGCCTCTATGAATTTGTCCAACTCCCAAAGCATGTTCAGGGCAAAGGATGCCAGAACCTTATTTGGTGCGATCCCATTCTGCTTATAAACAATCTGCTCCCAAGAAACTGTGATGCCGAAACCTGAATACTGTACCCCAATCAAGTTCATAGCAGTACGTTACTTCCATACTCAAGTGTCCTGGGGAAAAGGGACATCGCAGCAACCTACAGCACAGAATATACTACCATTTTATTCCTCAACAATGACATAATTAGACCTTAAGGTCCATAAACAGCAACACTCTAGAGGTCCTGGGCCCTAAGGAAGTCAGATTAGCCTCAACCAGAGCCAGGGCCTTTTCAACACTGGCTCCGGCCTGGTGGAACGCTCTGCCTCATGAGACCAGGGCCCTGCAGGATCTGATTTCTTTCCGCAGGGCCTGTAAGACAGAGTTGTTCCGCCTGGCCTTTGGTTTGGAATCAACTTGATCCCCTTCCCCTCTTTCGTTTCTCCTTCTGTGATGGAACTCCTATTTGGGGACTTCCCCGGCTTTTTTCTGGCCCACGTAGGACCAGTCTGGATAGTTGGCCTTGGCAAAGATTTGGCGTTTTCATCCCCCAAAAGTTTTTGAGTTGAGTTTCTACTAAAATGAGGCTGCATTTTAATGTTGTGTTTTAATCTTGTTTTTAAGTTGTATTTTAATCAATTGTTTTTATGCCTGGTGTTAGCCGCCCTGAGCCCGGTCTTGGCTGGTGAGGGTGGGGTATAAATAAAAATATATATTATTATCATCATCATCATCATCATCATCATCATCCAACTGAACTCCTGCACTTTGTTTTAACCTAGCCAATGAAGAGTTTCACTATGTAAAAGAATCTGGTTTAAAATGTGTTAAATATTTTGGTTTTTCTAATACTTCTTTGCTGCTCCACATAAGAAAGTCCCAGCTCTTAGTATATCACAACTTTCATTGTTTCATTTCATCCTTTTCAGATTTTCATGCTTTGCCTGTTTTGTTGCTGAGTATATGAAAAAGCTGTGAAAACTGATTGGATTGAATTTCATATTGTTGTAAGACCAGCTCTACAAAATATTGAAATCTTCCCACTACTATATTGCTGCCAATTAAGTAAGATGCTATCCATTTCTTTGTCCAAGGTATTAAACTAATGTAGTGAACTATACCTGATAGGAATTGATTGAGAAGCCAAACTTAATAGTTCTTGTTTACTGTCACTCTCCACTCAATAATACACCAAGACTGAAATTGTATGCCCACTTTCCTGGGAGTAAGCAATGCTGAACTCAATGCGCTTACTTTTGAATAGGCATGCATAAGATTGCACTATAAATGAAATGTTGAAATCCACCATTTGCCAGACCTTGATAGTTCCTTCAAGTTATTAAAAGGATGTCTATGTTAAGCCAAGAGATAGCCTGCATGCAAAAATTGATCCAACACGTATCTCAGTGAAAGAAAATTCAAATCCTTTGTGGAAACAAATCTACACAGGATTGTATTTATCCCAGTGTTTCCCAAAATCAGATCTCCAGCTGTTTTTGAACTACAATTCCCATCATCCCTGACCACTGGTACTGCTGGCTAGGAATGATGGGAGTTGTAGTCTAAAAACAGCTGGAGACCCCAAGTTTGGGAAACACTGATCTATACACCATGAGTTAAGTTGTGGTTCTCCAGATGTTGGGGGACTGCAACTCTCGTAATTCCTAACCATCGGCTATAGAGATAATGGGATTTCGGAGTCCAGGAACATCTCAGGGACCACAGATGAATTTTTTTTGGGGGGGGGGTTATTGGGTTGTTGTTGTTTTGATTATGTATTTTGTGATTTTGTATTTTTATTTTGTTCTGTGAACCGCAGTGAGACCTCTGGGTATAGGGTGGTATATAAATTAGAAGAAGAAGAAGATTCCCCATTTGTGAGAGAACATGTTTCTAGGAGCCATGAAAGTGAACTGGAAATGGCTCAACACCATACGACAAAATAAAAACACAATTCTGTTTATTTAAAAAATATCACTTCCTATTTAGGTTTATTTCCCCTCCCCCCTTTAATACAGTTCAGCATTTCAAAGTTTTGCATTCTACACACTGTTCTCATTTATTAGCATCAAAACACAAGACATAGCAAGACCTTCAAACACAAATAAATACCAAATAACAATACAACAAACCGAAGGACAACATATAATAATGCTATTGGGAAATCAGGGCTTGTTGCTAATCATTATTAACAACCTGGGTATTGCTGAGCAATAAATTATACACTTTAAAAGTTCTTTTCCTTTAAAAAATAAACATACAAAAACCACTGATTACCAGATTCACTTACTTGCACTGTATCCTTTATAGCTATCAATAATTAAGACAGGCAGAATATACACAGTCAAATGAGGTTGGCCTTCTTTGGTCTTTGTTTCTGGATCAGAAAACCGAACACAACCAATGTACCTTTTTACCAAATATGAAATAAAAAGAAGTCACACAAGTTTTATACAGACTGATTTTGTACACAGTTCATGATTACTGGTGTGTTTTCAACAGATATTTCTTCTTGGAAAAGGATGCCCATATTTTTTTTCCCAGCTCATTCAATAAATGGCATTTTATGGATGTTAAAAGGTTATCCTACTTGTCCTAAAGGAGAATGGATTCATTGCCCATCTCTTCAGCACGGGGGTGTCTCCCAACACCCCCTTTTTATCCCTAAATCATGAGAGCTTTTGGATCACAGCTGGGTGGGGAAATTATATATTTTCTTATAGTCATACAAAATGCAGAAGATATATATATCCTAGATAGCTACATGGAAAACAATACTATGTGAATGATTTGGTGCCTCAGCACTAGCAAAAGCATTATTCCCACCCCCCACCCCCAATTCTACAAGTACCAAAAACTCCGCGAGCAGAAGCAGTAATGGCTGGGAAATTATTTGCTCGCAAGCACCAGCCCAGTTCATAGCTCTAAGAGTATTCTCTCTGCAGGGAACGAGATCCCTTAAAGTATGCCGATAAATGGTTTAATCTCTCTCTCTATATAAACCAGTTTACCAAGCAATCTGCAGGCAACACTGCCTTTTGTAAGAAGTTTAAAGTCCTTGCAGAACTAGCCACTGCAGTTAATAGTTTTGTTCTTAAGGACGACTTTTGAGTCCCTTACATGGCGGGTGGGATGGATGAAATCTAATCAGCAGAGTTAGGAAGGGAATCCCAATCTTAACTCCAAAAGCATTATGGGATTCCAGTTCAAAGCTGCATGCTTACAAATATTAAGTGTTAGCATGAATTCCCCATTAATAATAATGAAAATTATTGAATATTGACTCTCACTGCCTGATCCTAAGCTTCGATAAACCTTGCCGATCCTCGCTTGGAGTATGGTCTCCTGATAGCTGGTCCCGCAAGTCACGCTCAGCGTAATGCCAGAAGTGCAAACAAATGTTTAGGATCAGGGCTTAAAACTGTGAAGTGGAAGACAAAAAAGCTACATAGTCTTGCCAATATGTCAGAAGGTAATTTAGGATGAAACAGATCCCTTTTGTGGTGTATCACTGCTTCGAAACAATGAAGGATGCCCCCTCATCAGCACCCATTAACGTACTTATTCCTACATCTGGCACAGGTCTCAATTAAGTCTAGGGATCAGTTCCAACGTAATATTTTGCATCTGAAGGATGGCTCCTGAATTAATCATTCTCATGGGTACGTACTTGGAAAACACTGTCAGAACGGGCCAGTAATTCTACAAGAGGAGAATGGAACATCGAACTCCTCAGTATGCACATGTAAGTTATGAGCAAGTTATATAACCAATAAGTGCATGGATAGCATATACACATTCCTCGAGAATACATTTCAGTAGCCATGCTGCAGATGCAAGAATGTTACGTTGGATTAAAAGGCAGGAAGTAATAGTAAAGCCCTCAGTATTTTATTTTTGTTTAAAGTACATAATTAAAGTATTCACAGTGGAAAAGGTGACAGAACCAGAATTAAGTCATGCACTTAAAAATATTTTGAGTTTTCCTTGTCCAATAAAGCCCTTAAAAACTGAATCCTCTAAAACAAAGAACATAAATTGCTGTATCAGAAGATATTTTTTTTATAAAACCAAGACACAGGTTATCGTTTATTACTGGGCACAAGTGGGAATATGTTATGCTAAGCTTCTCGTTAATCTCATGAGCTCTGAAGAGTAAAAAGGGACACTGGAACATGGACAGCCGAGTCACCACATCACAAATACATTCCCAAAGCATGACAGCCGATATGTCAGTTATAGACTTTGCAATCTGTAAAACAGGTTCCTTGTCCCCCATCCTCCATCCTCCCCCCCCCCCCAAAATACCCCTTCTTTATGGGTTAGAGATCAAAAAGGATGTTTCAGTGGCCTGAAAGCAGCACAAGGAAGTAAGAGCTGGTGTTTACCATATAGCACCAACACCAGCTTTTCCTCTGTGCAACATTCAATTTCTACATAAATAAGCAATTCTATATTTATTCATTTTTTGAGGCTTGACTGACATTTTGTAAAGCAGTGCACAGATGAAAGATGCACCAAGCACCAAGAGCTGTTATTTTAAACAGACTTTAAATCCCAGGTTCATTGGCTTGTAATTGTTTTTGGATTTATAACAGTGAAGAGTACTAAACAGTTAACTGTGGAAGCTGGTAGACATTCTCACACTGCCAATTTACTTATTGTTTTGTCCCTCCTGTCCCCATATTCCATTTCGGTCTGCTGAGTTCTATGGTCAGTTTCTAGCTTGACCCTATGGCCCCTCCAGAGGCTCTCAGATATGGATGTTTCCAAGAAGCAAGCAGGCTGCTACTTCACATCAGCCAAAGCTGATCTTTTATGTTCTGGGCTTTCGTTGCCCAAAACTATTACTTACATCCATGAGCCCCTAACATTCGCAGCAAAGGGAGGAGGTGGAAGGTAATTGAGCTACTAGAAAAGGACAAATTTCTGTGAGATTAAAGCTTCTGTCTTTTGCCTTGGAAAAAACCGAAACAGAACACATGATTTGTAGCAAACCAAGGCTATGATCTATTATATTAGGGTTTGTGCGGCACCAATTTTAAGGTTTCTTTCGTGGGCTTATTTCACAGAACTACAGTTCCCCCACTCCTAGTGGCAACTGGTTTAAAAACTCTTCTTGGATTTGGCACAAAAACATTTCAAGAGGACAGCCCTGGCTGTGCACAGGAGCTATTTCTCCCTATCACCCCCCTTTTTTGTGTACAAGGGACAAAAGGAAGGAACTTCTTTATGACCAGGTCAGACTATTTTGTTTCTTTCCTCCTGGCTATTGTGATTTGCATGAGCCTCCCTGCGTCTCCAGGAGAGGCCCTTTAAATCATCAGATACCTGGTCCTTTGAGGTGGAGATGCCAGGGATTTTATCCAGCACCTTTTGCATGTCAAACATGTGCTCTACCTCCCAGCTACTGCTTCTCTCCCTATTAAGGGACTTTAGAGAACAGTTGGGAGCAGCTATTGGGAGTATGTGCTTAGAAGAATTCCGGCATGTGCTACATGCCTTTAGGTCCAGACCTGGAAAAAAAATTACCAAGTTGTTGTTGTTGTTTTTCTTCTTAAAACCTGCCCACCTCTTTATACATTTGCATAGTTTGCATAAATGAAGGCATCAAGACTACAGGAGATTGGAACTTGTGTCATCGAGGTGCAGAAAACATCTCCTGCAGTGACTGCTCTATGCCAGCCTTTGCATGCACCAATCAGTATTTCTAAAGAGGCTGGTTTGTCAGTGAAATGCCTGTTCAGCACGATGAAAAAGAGATATAAACAGGTGAGGTTTTAGAGAGAGAAAAAGCCCACTCAAAGTTTTATAAGCTGGAGAAATTGATAGTACAGTCATACCTCATGTTACGTTTGCTTCAGGTTACGTCCTTTCAGGTTACGTCCCACGGTGACCCGGAAGTACCGGAAAGGGTTACTTCCGGGTTTCGCCACTCGCACATGCGCAGAAGCGCAACATGACGTCACGCGCATGCGCAGAAGCGCCGAATCGCAACCTGCGCGTGCGCAGACGCGCTGCTGCGAGTTGCGCTCTTTTCACGTTGCGAACGGGCCTCTGGAACGGGTCCCGTTCGCAACCAGAGGTACCACTGTACTTTGAGCAATACAATCCCAATCATTATACCAAATCTCTATTTGAATTTTGACAAAGATTAGTATGGCAAAACATAAACATTCCACATCTTTGAGTTTCCCTTCTCCCAAGGCGTAAGGGAATGCAGCTTTTATAAAGGAACTGAGAGTGCACCTCACTTTTAAAGTTTTAAGAGATCTATTACATTCCATCGCTTGTAGAGCCATATCTCCACTTCTTTTCTTCCTATTCTACATTCTTCTCAAGAACAATGAAAGTTACAGTACAAGGCTGAAAGTCAATGCTGCATTTTAGCCGCTCGCATCTTACTCAATAATTGTGTCGTAGACAGCAGCTGAAACGAAATCAACAGAGAAGCAATGCAAATACAGTCATGCAGGAAGATCACACGTTGATCTTCAGGCACCGGAACAGTTTACTCCTGTTTGGATCTGAGACTTTAAAAAGAAGAAAATAGGAAACAGGGCGGACGCATGTGGTGCAAAAATTGTTTGATGTGGCAGTCTAAAGTGCTTTGTAGAAGGTAGGAAACAAAAGCTGCTTTGAAACGTAGAATGGGGAGATAAAGGACAGCAGCAATGGGACTGTGCTTTCTTAAGCAGTCAGTGGCTAGAATTGTACTTTCAACACTGAGTTCTATATACCCTCGTGTTGCAACACAAAAAGCTACAGTTATGCAACACCAGTGCAACTGTGGGGTTATCACAGGAGTGCAGAAGGGTGACTAATCAACTAATGAATGATCTATGCATCACCAAATTGGCCCTACAAGGCCATGAAGGGAGAAGTGTGATTTTGGGTTGTGCTCCCTCCCGAAACTGTAGGATCCTGACATTTGAGCATCTTTTTGAGCCATTTTAAGACCTTTAAACTGGGGCTGGCTTTTGCAATCAGAGTGGGGAAATTGCTTGCTATATTCCTTTTATTTAACTTGTCTTTTTATGACGTGCTTTTTTTTTTTACCTACCTGAGCATTTGAGATAGGCTACAAATGTAAATAAAATAATTCTGAAAACTTGAGGAAAGTTTAAAAAATAAAAGGAAAAATAAAGACATTAACCAATAGTGCAAACCCTAATCTTATTTGAAGGCTGCATCTTCAGACAGTTAAGGTTATCTTAATTTCAGGAAACTGCTTCCTCCCCAAACAACTGTCCTGTGTGGCAGGCCAGCCAAATTTACTGCAGTTGTTCATCAGAAAAAGTGAGCCAATCAAGGTATATTCTATGAGCCAGCAAGTACTTAGGCTTACATCTTTATTAAATATTGAGTACAGTGGTACCTTGGGTTTAAGAACAGCTTAGTTTATGTACAACTTGGATTAAGAACGCTGCAAACTCAGAAGTAGGTGTTTTGGTTTATGAACTTTGTCTCGGAAGCAGAAGCAGCAGCAGCAGCAGTTTGGATTTGATATCCCGATTTATCACTACCCGAACGAGTCTCAAAGCGGCTAACATTCTCCTTTCCCTTCTTTCCCCACAACAAACACTCTGTGAGGTGAGTGGGGCTGAGAGACTTCAGAGAAGTGTGACTGGCCCAAGGTCACCCAGCAGCTGCATGTGGAGGAGCGGAGATGCGAACCCGGTTCCCCAGATTACGAGACTACCGCTCTTAACCACTACACCACACATGTTCTGCTTCCTGTTGAGTGTGTTCCATTTGTAAATTGAGTCCCCTGCTGCTATGGGGAAGCACGCCTTGGTTTAAGAACGGACTTCCGGAACGGATTAAATTTGTAAACCAAGGTACCACTGTACTGTGATATATAACCTACTTACAACATGGCAGACTGCATACTTCACCTAAGATTAGTGGCCAGTATCCTGAGCTGAACATGATTTTGCTAAGATGCACAGCCCCCAAAAAACACTTGGCTTGAAGTGACTGACAAAGAAAGTTGTGATGTGGAAACGGGAGTCCCAAAAGTCATGTCTGTTGTAAACAGCACCATGTTTGAAAGTCAAAATCCCACCCAACCCTTTTGGTAGTCCAAGCTACCTCTTTTCTTGCAGGGTTGCGGGAGGGATTGCTTTTTAACAATGGAGAGAATCTGCACTATGAGTTATATGAGGAGCATTTGATATAATGAGGATGGCAGAAAGAAAGTAAAAAATCCACGTCACGATGGAGGGAAAATAATTATAGCAACCAGTGTCATAGCTGGTGCTGTATTTACTCTGATGTTCGGCCTTCTTTAAATGTAGTAACATTTAAATGCCGAGGTCCCAATCAGGATACGGCCCAACGAGATTTAAGCTTCGGGAAGCTGTTGACTTAATTTAAACACCATAAAGCGAAAACATAGAACTGTAAGCACGTCAGAGAGTTTACAAGCTGAAAATTAGACTTCTGTGGACTCGGGAAAAAGAGAGACTGCACTGACTACTACTCTGTTCACATTTTCTAGGGTTTCAAAAAGAAAGAGATGTTTTGAAAGGAATTCTGCACTGCATGGGGTCTGGCAGGAATATGATCCTCTAGCAGTATCATATTCAAACAGGACATAAACTGTTCGTAGAAGACCGCGCTCGTAAAATGCCCATGACGTAATAGCAATGAGGAGGGTGAGCCCTTTGGACATTTCCACTAGGGAATCCTGTTTTCAGTAAAATTCTGTAATGCATATACAAAAGCTCAGCTGCCTACATTCATGACTATTAAAAGAGTACCACAAGCCAACTTAACACTTTCCTCTAAAGCAGAAGGTTATGGGTTTACACCGGCCTGCGTAAAACTGCGCCAGGTTGTCTCTTCGGCAGGAGAAGTCTTCCTTTCGTGTCAGAGCTAGGATTTTAACGCTTGCCTTTCTCACGTCAGTTTGCACCAGCGGACACAGCTAAGTTAGTACCATAAGAGAAAAATACAGTACTTTGAACCATGGAAGGCAAGAAGAGGAAGACAGGTTGCTACTGAATGCTTTGGCTGCCAGGCAGCAGGCAGTACTTAAGCAGGTGCCTGGGAAAAAATAAAAATAAAAATAAAATAGCCCCACGAGGATCACTCGGCATGCACGGTACGTATATATTTGTTAACAGAACGAAAGGGGGTGGGAGCCTTTGGCAGGCACTGAGTGAAAAGGCACAGCCATAAAAGACAATGGCAAGAGCAAGGAACTTAACTACAATGACGTGAGGTTTCAACTGAGCCCTAGACATGGAACTCTGGCTATAACACCCGACCGAAGCGGAAAGGTTGAGTGGGTACAACAATTGACTGGTTAGGAAAACGGGGGCCACGATCCCTCTGCCCACGTGCACGTCAGCTCTGTCCAGGGGGAGCACTCTTAAGTGTTACACAGCCACCCATGCAATTAAAAAGCAGCACCCACATGGTTGGTGTAGTACAGGTCAAGCGATGCCATTAGACTTACTAGTCGCACAAGGGACTATTAAAAACAAAAGTCGGTAAGTTCTGTGGGTTGCAATCAGCACGATTCGAAGGCTGGGAAAGATGCTTCCTAGTAAAGGCTCAGGTAGTAGTTTATAATAGCAGGGTCCTGTGGGTTTTCCCTGCAGGGATGCATGTCGCACCCGCCAGAAAACCAACCCCCCCTGAATACATCCCCTTGCAAATTCTGAAACCGAGCCAGTTTGAAATGATGTTAGCTCTGCTACCTAGGAGCATGGCATCATTGAACAGCCGCTCTCCTTGGAAACAGGGGCGCTGTCAGAAGTCCTGGCTCCATAGGAGCACCGTGCACCAAATATATATATATAGCACCTGAAGAAGTAGTATTCCACAACACTGAACGGATGGAATATCTGGTTACGTCAGAAGCGCAGCTGTTTGGCTTCTGTTTCCGTATCTTGCGAAAAATATTGGCGTGGGTTTTTACAGACCAGTCAGCACATTATGCCTAAAGTCCAGTTAAAAAAAATGACCATTTCAGGAATCTGAACTTAAAATCTGAATACAAAGCTATGAGCTATAAAGCAGCACGTTACAGCTAAGGCACATGAATTGCATGCAAGCCACCGTTTCTCCATTTAAGACACTGCTTTCTCCTAACGGATTGTCCTCTGCAAGATGTGGTTAATTCCCAAGCAGAGGATCAATTAGCAGGTTTCCTATATAGGTATTACTCAGCACTATGCCCCCTTCTCAAACACCAAAAATATGTTGCACATTTATGCTTTAGCAAAAAAATAGATTATATATAGATATATATTTTTATAGAGCTTGGTCTGAGCGCATGAGGCAGAACTTTAAAAACATACAGGATTCCGTTTAGAACTCCAAAGTTCAACAAATGCCCTATTTTAGGGTGAAAATTATAAATCTGATAATGATGCACAGCATCCATGAGTGATTATTTTTTCTTAATTTTGAAATAGTGTCATTAACTACGACATATATTGTTAGGTTTACATTTCTAAAGAGAAATAACAGCTGTAGTTGAATAGTTTCTTTTCATATCACAAGTGATAACCTGCATTTGATCTTTTTTTTTTCTTCCAAGAAATATCAGTCTATCAACAGTTTTAAAATAAAATGCTTTTTTTCTGTAGCAATTAATAGAACTCTAAACAAAAATATGACTCTGATTTAGACACTTTCAAGAAGATCTGGACATTCTGTCGAGGTCTTCTGGCAAAGTAATTATTTTAAAACAGAGACCAGGAGAGGCCTTAAAAATAAACAATATACTGTATTTCAGACAGGATTGCACTTATCGATTTTCAAAGTAATAATATCTTTTAACTGCAATGTTACTTCATAATTTCTTCTTCTTCTTTTTTAACTTAACATGCTGACAGTTTCTAGCTAACCCACATGTGAACTTTTACTTTTGTTTTCTAGTTAAAAAGGAATAAAAGTTTCATGTCTTTTCCAGCACAGGATATTTTCTCTCCCCCCCCCCTCCAACCGATTAGAGATTACCAATAAATTACGAAAAGGTTTTCTGACTGTAATCGTTTGTCCTCGTGAGGATTAAGTGACTTGTCAGAACTCGAAGTGTTCCTATTAGTTTTAATTAGAAAATATACCATGGTATGACTTCTTAATGGGTTGCTACGTTTGCCATTGGACCCCTATGCAAATTTATGCCTCCAAACGCTTCCTTCTGATAACACAAGGTGGTCCCCTCTGAGCTTTAGGGACCTCTTATTGAAGACAGGTAGATATAAAAAAGAGCCCCAAATGGAGTTGTCTTCTGTTGAATCTGCCTCTCTGCTATACGTCAGGGGTCTGGTAGGTCTGATGTATCCACTATGACTTTAATAAAAATAGTATCATCTTTAATATATGTTCCGTTTTCTAGAACAGTCTGTGCAACGAAGACTGGGCAGCCAGAGGCAATATTCATTTCTCCGGTGGGCTTCTTGAAACTACTGCTGTTGGGGTCTGGTTTGAAAGCATCCCCTAAATGGCGCCTGGAAGGTCCTTGATCCATCAACATAAGGGTGACTTTTTGCTTGAAGGGCCACGGAAGCAACGCGTCGTATTCTCCCCGCATGATGACAAAGAACAAGGACAAGTGCGTCCCTTTCCCCATGCCGTCTCCGTTGAGATAAACTCTGGCACACATCTTATAGCCGAAGTACCCCGTATAAAAAGGTTGACTGTATAAGGACAACGTCTTCCCCATCACCGCCTCTTGCTTCCGACGTTTATAATCTCGGATTTTCCAGATCAATATTCCATTGTAGCTGGCCGTTTCCAAAACTTGAAAGCGGAGATCCATATCAGCCAATCGGATGTCGTGGACGCTCAGCATCTGATCATGCCTAGATAACTGGGATTCTAGCAGACCTGGAAGGAAAAGAGAGAAAACCCAAACATTGTCAAGGAAAAACATTTATTCAGGTGGGTTTTCAGGTCAGTTTTTAAAAACGATATTGGGCTTCTTTTTCCTTGGGACCTGAAAACACAATGTGAACAATGTAATGTGATGGATCTCAGCAGTTAGCCTACACACACACACACACACACACACACACACACACACACTACATTACATTACTGCTCGTGCAGATGGATCTCAGCAGTTAGCCTACACACACACACACACACACTACATTACATTACTGCTCGTGCAGACAGATGTATTCCAAGTGCAAAAAAGATGTAAAAAGCTCAATATGAAATGTTATCAGCAACAAAAATGCAAGGAAAGAAAGCAATACTTTGACAACATGACCCAAAACACAGCCTTAAGACAAGGCACACCTCACTGCCAGTTTCTAATTAATGCTTAGTCCACAGCGCTTTCACTGTGACATTTTGCTCTGTGAAAGTTGCAAAAAAAGAAGAAAAACCTTGCAATTTTGACTAAGTGTTAAAGAAAGGTGCACAGTAGCATCCACAGCAGGCAGAACTGGGTGTGGTGGGATGTCTTACCTGGCTTCCCAACCCAGTGGTGGCTGCTGGGAACCAAGGAAAGAGGGGCGAGGCAGTGGAGAGGTCAGCAAAGTGTGGACACAGCAGCAGGAACGGCTCATCCCCTTCCCTGCGGCACCTGCCCCAACCTCTCCACTGCCTTGCCCGTCTTGGTTACTAGCAGCGACCTGGGCATTAGGAAGCCAGGTAGGCAACATCCTACCCCACTTGCCACTACTAGTACTTGTTAGTAATAATATAATAATTTATTATTTATACCCCGCCCATCTGGCTGAGTTTCCCCAGCCACTCTGGGCGGCTCCCAGTCGAGTGTTAAAAACAATACAGCATTAAATATTAAAAACTTCCCTAAACAGGGCTGCCTTCAGATGTCTCTTAAAGATAGGATAGCTGCTTATTTCCTTCACATCTGAAGGGAGGGCGTTCCACAGGGCGGGCGCCACTACTGAGAAGGCCCTCTGTCTGGTTCCCTGTAACCTCACTTCTCGCAACGAAGGAACTGCCAGAAGGCCCTCGGCGCTGGATCTCAGTGTCTGGGCTAAACAATGGGGGTGGAGATGCTCCTTCAGGTATACGGGACCGAGGCCGTTTAGGGCTTTAAAGGTCAGCACCAACACTTTGAATTGTGCTCAGAAACGTACTGGGAGCCAATGCAGATCTCTCAGGACCGGTGTTATGTGGTCCCAGCGGCCACTCCCAGTCTAGCTGCCGCATTCTGGATTAATTGCAGTTTCCGGGTCACCTTCAAAGGTAGCCCCACATAGAGCGCATTGCAGTAGTCCAAGCAGGAGATAACTAGAGCATGCACCACTCTGGCAAGACAGTCTGTGTGCAGATAGGGTCTTAGACTGCGTACCAGGTGGAACTGGTAGATAGCTAGTAGAATTGTTGGTATTTTAACAACGTAAGAACATAAAAAGGGAATTGCTGGTTCAGACCGAAGGCTTACATAGCATCCTGCTCCAACAGCGGCCAACCAGATGCCTATGGGAAGCCCACAAGCAAAATAGGAGCACAAAAGCACTTCCTTGCTCGCAACATACAGCCAACTGTGATTCAAAGGCATACCAGAGGTACTATAGCAATCAACTCAGAGAAGGAGAAGTTATATGCTTAATGCCTGTATATATTCTCTGTGATCTCAACTGAATAAGAAACCTGCTCTATGGGACTCCAGAATCAATTTTCAAAATTCATGGTCTCCAGCAACATAAGTCTAAATGGCTGTGCCCCATTGTGCCCCCCCTTCAGGTAGCAAGGGGGAAAGCGCCCTGTGCGCTGGTGAAATTCCACCTGTCGCCATCAGGCACAACACCCCAACCTGAGCACTGAGTTACAGATCGGTATACTACTGTTCAGCAATGAATGGACTCATATTTACACAACAGTCCAAGCAAGGTGCATTAACAGATGGCTTATTCTTCATAAAAGTTATTTTTTTTCTTGCTGATTCGCGTTTGAACCAAACCGTATCGGGTAAGCCGCTAAGAAAGGCCTGCGTCATATTGCTAATTTGTGGTTTTTATTACTTTGTTCACAGAATAAGGCAACGGCCTCCTTTGTTTTATCACGGTGATGCTCAGATGAAACATCCCTCTGAACTACACATAAAAGACTGTAAGCCCTACAGTAAAAGCAGCCACAGATTATAAATGGGGAGACTATTAAGGATTGGGGGAGGAACGATGACATTTTTGAAAACCGATTATGCTTTTGAATACTGATTATGCTTTTTCCATCACAGTGGCTGAAAAAGCATACCAGCAACTTGTTTGAGAGGTACTAATGTCTGTATGAGGAGCATCTAAAAGTTGTTATTACCATCAAATTTATCACCCACCCTTCACTGGCAGGTCGCAACAACTTAAAATTCAAGATTAAAGAGAGTTAAAGTGGGTTACAACCAAAGGAATAAGGTGGGCCCTGGAAACACAAAATTTCAGGTGTCAAAGGCAAGATATAAAGAGGACTCATAATGTTCGTTATTAAGGGGTTGGGCCACACAACAAAACTGCATAGCCTGGTTTTCTCTGACAGCCACATGGTTTGGCAAGGGAATCGCATAGGCTAAGGCCCTCAATTGGTGCTGTAGCACAGACACAATGGGGATGAACTTCTGAGATGGCTGTTAAGCAGACAGCTCTCAAGAAACTACAAGGTTTGCAGTTACTGCTTGTCTTCAGAGGGAAACATCCCCAGCAGGAGTTCCATTTCAGAATGCACCTTATTAGTTATTTTGACAGGATCTGCCAGACAAGTTCCTTGCTGGCTTTGCGCTCAGATTTTTTTTTAAAAAAAATATTTTTTACCTGCATTCCTACTTCCTTGCCCTGCATTCTTATCGACGCTTTCCAGCTCAGTCACTCTGTTCTGGAGAGACTCGACGCTGCTCTTCATGCTGTCTGCCTCCTCCCAGTTCTGTCGGAAGGGACGGATTTCTTTGTCCAGTTCTTTCAGCTTCTCAGCTTGGCTGTCTATCACTCGCTTTGAATGAAAAGAATAAATCGTTTTTTTAAAAAAAATTAATATTTAAAAGGAAACCTCCAAAGGAAACAACAGACGAGGGAATACAGGAAGACTCGCTATTCCTGAAGGAGGATGCGGGAACTGCTATGATGCAAGCATTTAAAGTAAATAAACGTGCATGGATTGCCGTGAACGCTAGTACAACCCACCCCAATAAGCCTTCGCGGCAGCAAAGTAAATGGCAACAGACGTGTTCGACTGGACTTTATTCCTAGGAAAGTGTATATAGGACTACGGCCCGAATGGTCATATTTGGCTCTGCAAACAGGAAGGCAAAGAGCAGAAAAATGCTCACCATGCTCTGCTCAAGCACGGGAAGAAATCAATAACTTACCTGTAAGTGATGTATTTTGGACTCATTACTCCGCAGCATTTCCTTCTGTCTCTCAATTTCTATTTCAAAGCTACAAATCTGATTATGTAAAGTTTGTATACTCTTGTTCTTTTCCAAACTTTCATTCTGGAGCATGGCCACCTGGAGGGGGGGGGCGGAGAATAATCTACAATTACTCCCACCAGACGTACACAAAAAGAACCAGCCATCTCTCACAAACAAGGAGGAGCATTCCAAATAAAATATATCTTCACTGTGTTTCGTGTACAGTGGTGCCTCACAAGACGAAAAGAATCCGTTCCGCGAGTCTCTTCGTCTTGCGGTTTTTTCGTCTTGCGAAGCAAGCCCATTAGCGGTTTAGCGGATTAGCGCTATTAGTGGCTTAGCGGGCTTAGCGGATCAGCTGATAAGCGGCTTAGTGTCTTAACGGATCAGCTGTTAAGCGGCTTAGCGGATCAGCTGTTAAGCGGCTTAGCGGATCAGCTGATAAGCGGCTTAGTGGCTTAACGGATCAGCTGTTAAGCGGCTTAGCTGATCAGCTGATAAGCGGCTTAGCGATCAGCTGTTAAGCGGCTTAGCGGATCAGCTGATAAGCGGCTTAGCGGCTTGGGGAAAGAGGGGGGGAGGAAAAAACCCCCGCAGGAACTCGCAAGACATTTTCGTCTTGCGAAGCAAGCCCATAGGAAATTCGTTTTGCAAAGCACCTCCAAAACGGAAAACCCTTTCGTCTAGCGGGTTTTCCGTCTTGCGAGGCATTCGTCTTGCGGGGCACCACTGTATTTTCTAGCCCTTGCTGAAAGCAGATTTCTTCTTCTCCCTCCTGGATTAAAAGGAGGAGTACAACACTGGTCATAACTCTTAACTTCTAAGCAAGTTTCACTTATTTAGTTGGTCGTTCCCAAGGCTTTGATTTCTGGAGATAAGGAAACTGCATTATTTGAGGGCAATCCATACTGGGCATCTAAGTCCTTTACAATAGACAGGCCAGTAGAAAGACTTACAGAAGAAAATGGTGACCGAAAAGGAAAATAGAAAATAGGATGATTAAAACTGCTTCACCCCACTCGGTGTCTAAAAAGAAATAGGCGGTGGCTGCTTTAAGAATCATATTTGAATGGTTCTTCAGTAAACGACACAAGTCAAAACCAGCCTGTAATGATTTCCATGAATGAAAGATACATACTTAGGGAGTAATATGAAAGAACAGGGGTGTGCACTGATGATATAATCTAAAAGAAATCAGCTTGTGCTTTGTTGTCGGAAAATAGTTAGCGCACCTACTGGACTGTGCTGGAACCACAAAGAACAGCTGACTATCATTTTTCAGTCACTGTGAGGATCTTTGCTCTATTCATCAGTGCTTTTCTTCCCTTCAACCATCTCGCACCTGGAACCCTGCCCTCTCGTGCTGGCAAAATGTGAAGATTGCATTTAGCATTCATCAGCAAATCGGCCAAAAAAGAAACAGCTAGAGAGGGTATTTATGTACCTGAAATTCCACCACAGACTGCCTAGGACCACCACTTGTGATCCATCTTAAAAAAGTAGGGAAGGTTTCTCAAATGTTTCTGACACAATGCTGCCTATCAGTTACAGTAAAAGCACACCTGTGCCAGTATTGATAAGGATGAAAGCATCCGGGTTTTCTAACACAAGAGGGGTCAAACTCTTTATAAAACTGGTTGTCCTTCATTTTGCAATAAAGCCACACTTCCTTGCCAAGACAAAAAAAAATTGCTTCTTTCTCCCTGCCACCAAAATGAAATTGTGTATGAGCAGGAAGCAGGTGCTTTTAAGATGCAGAAATACTAAGGAGGTGGGGGATTTGACAGGCAGATTAGTCGGCCCACTGAGATGGCATAACTCAAGGATAGTTTGTCCCCCTAGGATTTCAGTCCTCAATCTGCTCTTGGCTTTCCTGTTGGTTCCTGGATCTATGAGTGATTTGAGCATTCAGCCCAGATTCCTCTGAGACATCGCAGTTAAGCGCACTCACCATGCCAACACACATACCCAAGCCTAGGGGTTAAAAAACAAAAACTAGAGCCAGATTTGTTAAGAGTAGTAGGAGAGATGAGGGCATAATACATGCTGGTTTTCTTTTGACATCTGAGAAGGGAACAGACCTTTGCCATCCTCAAAGGCATGGGTAGGCAAACTAAGGCCCAGGGGCCGGATCCGGCCCAATCGCCTTCTAAATCCGGCCCACGGACAGTCCAGAAATCAGCGTGTTTTTACATGAGTAGAATGTGTCCTTTTATTTAAATGCACCTCTGGGTTATTTGTGGGGCATAGGAATTCGTTCATTCCCCCTCCAAAAATAGTCTGCCCCCCAAAAAAAGGTCTGAGGGACAATGGACCGGCCCCCTGCTGAAAAGGTTTGCTGACCCCTGCTCAAAGGGGGTTTTCTTGGTAAACATCTGAAGAAAAACATCATTTTTCAGGTTCCTCTTCCGCACCAAAACAACTCCCCCCAAACCCAAAAATCTTGTGGCATTTGCCAGTTATATTCCAGCTATTTCGCACTGGACAAGCTGTCTAATACATTAGCGCACTAAATTCCCTGATTATTTCAGAAGGCTATTTTTAGAAACCCAACCACAAATGAGCAAACTTCTCAGCTTGTACCAGATTTGATAAAATGCTTATCACTATTGCCTTGGGCTAAAAGAATAAAATCTCTTTCATCAGCTAATAGGTTTTATTAGAGAGGGGGCGATGGGTTCAAAATTTGAATTTGGATCGCTAGTTGCGAGATCCTTTTTGAAAGAAGTTTCCATCTTGTAAAACAGGGGAGGGGTTGCCATCCTACTTTGGAAAATTTTCTAAGTGAGGATTAATCTGGCAACTCTTCTCCAGCTGTGCGAAGACAACTTCAACAAAACAAAATGGTAAAAATCAGTGCCAATCTGAAGTACCAACTGTGTAACTGCATCTGAGGATTATAGATACTACTCAGAGGTACTGCTGGGTCTTTTGAGAGAGCCTTTTTGAGTGAAAATGGTTGCCCCCCCCCCAATCTTTTCTACTATGCTACTCAGGGTATAGCTATGTAAGATGGCAGTTTGGTATCAGTTTAACAGTTGTGGCTTCCTCGGAAAAATCATGGGAATTGTAGTTTAGTAAGGAGAGCTGGACCATAAAGTAGGCTGATCACTGAAGAATTGATGCTTTTGAATTATGGTGCTGGAGGAGACTCTTGAGAGTCCCATGGTCTTCAAGAAGATCAAACCTCTCCATTCTTAAGGAAATCAGCCCTGAGTGCTCACTGGAAGGACAGATCGTGAAGCTGAGGCTCCAATACTTTGGCCACCTCATGAGAAGAGAAGACTCCCTGGAAACGACCCTGATGTTGGGAAAGATGGAGGGCACAAGGAGAAGGGGACGACAGAGGATGGGATGGTTGGACAGTGTTCTCGAAGCTAGTAACATGCGTTTGACCAAACTGCGGGAGGCAGTGGAAGACAGGAGTGCCTGGCGTGCTCTGGTCCATGGGGTCACAAAGAGTCGGACACAACTGAACGACTAAACAAGGACATTGAGACCTTTTTAAAAGATCTTTAGCCATGCTCACAGAACTACAGTTCCCATGGTTCCCCAGGGAAAGGAAATGGCTTTTGAAGTCTGCTGCACAGATTACAGCTCAGTAAAGCAAAAATAAGAGCAAAAAGAAAAGATTCTTTGATAAGGGGACTGCTGAGGATGGCTGTTTTCTTTTAATCTGTCAAACCTGCCTTTTATGTAGGCAGGATAGAAATCTCACAAATAAACAAACAAGACATGAAACAACCCTACAGAACAATCGTACGTAATTTTATTCCAGTGTGTGTGTGTTTTCTCCTTTGATTGCTAACGATTTATAATTGTTCAACTTACTTATGCTGATTTGGAAGTTTTAAATTTTAACTTACTAGTCCCGCCAACCAAACCTCTCACATCTTAAACCAGATATGGGACTTCCGTGTTCTGAATACCTGATCAGTTTGCATTGAATTAAGTCAGGAGTCCATTTCCCCACCAAACTCCACTCCAGAGCTTTGTTTGCACCATGAACACAGTGACATGCGAAAAGGGAGCAGGCCAATCAGGGGTTGTTGTTTTTTTCCTTTTGCTCTTGGGGGCTTTGGAGATGGCAGCAATAAATGTGAACTATAACTACATATTAGTCCCCAAGTAGAAAAATGAATCAACTTAGAGCAACACCCATGGCTATTTCAAACCTAGATCTGGGCATCCAGGGAATTCTCCATTTTATTATTTAACCAAATTAAGAAAAACCAACACACACAGAGACATGTATATTAAACTATCTAGTGGGGGAGGGGGTTATTAGTTTGTTTTGTTCTTATAAAGGTAAAGGGACCCCTGACCATTAGGTCCAATCGTGGCCGACTCTGGGGTTGCGGTGCTCATCTCGCTTTATTGGCTGGGGGAGCCGGCATACAGCTTCCGGGTCATATGGCCAGCATGACTAAGCCACTTCTGGCGAAGCAGCGCAGTTCATGGAAACGCCGTTTACCTTCCCGCCAGAGCGGTACCTATTTATCTACTTGCACTTTAATGTGCTTCCGAACTGCTAGGTTGGCAGGAGCAGGGACCAAGCAACGGGAGCTCACCCCGTCACGGGGATTCAAACCGCCGACCTTCTGATAGGCAAGTCCTAGGCTCTGTGATTTAACCCACAGCGCCACCCGCATCCCCTGTTTTGTTCTTATTCTTGTTCTTATTATGCATTTTGTGTTTTTATCTTGTCTTTTTATGCTGTGAATCGCCCAGAGATCTACAGATGAAGGGTGGTATAGTAGAAGAAGAAGAAGAAGAAGAAGAAGAAGAAGCAGCAGCAGCAGCAGCAGCAGCACCAGCAGCAGCGGTTCTTATGCCAAGAAGGGGGGGAAAACATTTTCTGCAACGAAAGAGAGACACGGGTGCACTGATTCAAGTGTAACCCTTCGTAGTACTTTCCAGATGTTGTGAGACTACAACTCCCATCATCCTTGAAGATTGAGCATGCTGGCTAGGGATGATAGGAATCGTAGTTCAACAACATCTCGAAGGCACCACATTGGCTACGCCTGCCAAGTCTACCCAAGCAAGACCCTTTAAATCTGAGATGCCACAGAATGGAAGTTGACACTTTGTGCCTGTAAAGTATGAGGGGTCTAATACTGAGTCATGGCCTCTCGCTCTACGCTGAGCTGCTGGAAATGCCCACATTAAAAACATCCTTAAAATCAAGCAGCGATGCAGGTTTTAATAGCGTAGGTTTTTCTTACTTGCCTGTCTTTGTAAGGCAGCCCAATTGGGGGGGGGGGAATAATAATTAACCAGTTGGGAGTGAAAGACAAGTTTACCTATCTATATTATGCACATTCTACCAGTTAATGAAAACCTCTTTAGAAGACTTCTTGTTTTTCAAACCTTAAGAACAAAAATCCTGCAGCTACACAATTCATTGCTTTTGGAAACAGAGAAGTATTTCAGCGGCCGTTCCAAACTCCCACAATGGTATCCCTGCTAGACGCATAAAACATAAGAGTAATGCAGATAAGGTGAGGAGGAGATGTACCTTATTTTCTAGACAATTACTCCATTCTTTCAATAAGTCTACATGCTGCACTGCTGAGGTGGCTTCATGTGCTTTAACTTGCTGGTTTGTTCCCTGTGACAAAGAACATGATTTAGCCAACTTCATTTCTTAGCCAACCCTGCATTCAATGTAGCACCAACCCACCCACCATAGGTTTGACCCATGATGCATTTCTCAGGCATATTATTGCAACAAACCTGCTTTAATAATAATAATAATAATAAAGACACACAACACAGAGACTGCATTTGCACATCCTGCTAAACCATAGGTTGGTGCAAGGTGCACAAGCAAACAATGCGCCACCACAGGGAGCCTTGAGCTTGTGGGCTCCTCCTTTTCATGGCCTAGGTGTTGAAGCTAGATTGTTGTAAGGCAGCCTCCCCCAACCTGATGCCCTCTGGATGCTCCTGGACTACAACTCCCATCATCCTTGCCCACTGGTCATACTGCCAGGGCTGATGGGCTTTGTAGTCCATCAACGTCTGGAGAGTACCACGGCCATGAGGGGCAGCTACTTTAACCTAACCAAAGGGTGTGTTTTTTTAAATTAATATTTTATGACGAGAATTTCTTTTATAAAAAAACAGGGTAAGAAAAGAAGTGAGAATGAAAAAATAAAGAAAAATACTGTTACATTACCACACATTAATATACAGATGAGTATATCCTTGTTATCCTAATACACATATAACTGTCAATAACCTAATATATTCTGTGTAAACGCATTCCAAATGTCACTGTATCTATCCAAAGAAAGTCTGCGTCTATAAGCTGCTTGTCCATATGTTGCCAATCTCACGTTGTCAATCATTGATTAAGGGGAATTGTATCTCCATTCTTCCAATTCATCAGTATCAGTCTCTTGGCCATGGTTAATAGTATCTGCAGTTTGCCTGCCATGGCCAACTGTGGTTAAGTAACTGCAGAAGCAAAAGCTTCTGAACTCCTCCTGGCATGGGGAGCGCATGAGCCCAAGCCTTACTGCAGCTCATTCTTGCTCATGCGCTTCACTGTAATCTGTGGCTTAGCATGATGTGCAAACACAGCCTGAATTCACCTTCCATTCAGGGGTGCTGGAGCCCCACCCAAAACCCCTCCTGCGTGGCTTTAAAACTACCATGCAAAAATAGTTTTTTGTTTTAAAATGCATTTCAAAACATTTGTGTAAGCACCAAAACACACACACAAACACAACAGCCTTCAAAAGGTAAAGGCTCAATCCACCAAACCTTGCCAGTGGGAAAAAATATCCCTATTTATTTCATTTAAACAGTACATTGAGGGGACGAACAAAGGGGCAGGAACCCTATTTTTCTACAGTGTTTGTTAAGGTGAGTCCTGAATCGCTCAGCTGCTTCCTCTACTAACCTGTCCTTCAATTGCTGGCCATATAAGCAAGAGTTCTTCCACCATAGGTCCCCAGAGGTAGAGGTGCCTCCACACAATCTGCTAATTAAGCATTCAACCAGCTTGCCCAGTGGCTGTTACGGCATCTGCCAATTAGGAAGCCTCCAGCCCAATTAGATTTGCACGGTTGTACAACTACCCATCAATTGATTTTTCTCATAGAATCGAAGAGTTGGAAGGGACCCCAAGAGTCACCTAGTCCAGCCCCTGGGGCTCAACTAAAGCATCCCTGACAGACGGCCATCCAACCTCTGCTTAAAAGCCTACAAGGAAGGAGAGTCCACAACCTCCAGAGAGAGACCGTTCCACTGCGGAACAGCTCTTACTGTCAGAAAGTTTTTCCTGGTGTTTGGTTAGAATCCCATTTCTTGTAACTTGAAGCCGTTGGTTGGAGTCCTACCCTGCAGAGCAGGAGAAAACACTCGTCCCACAATAGCTAAAGCAAGCATGTCCAGCTCCCAAGAGACTGTGATCTACTCCCAGTATAAAAAAACTGGCAGTGATCTACCCATTGTTATTGTAAGGAGGAGGAGCATGCGTGAGGTGGGTGGATTGCCCAGAATTGTTGAGCTTTTCTTGGGGAGGATTACACAGTTTTTTTTAGCTTTTTCCATGAAACTTGTACACGATCAGCCAGGATCAGCCAGGTATCTACTGGTTGGACATCCCTGACCCATAGCATGTTTTCCCACCCACTTATCACAAAATTTATTTATTTATTTATTTATTTATTTATTTATTTATTTTACTGTGCACGGCTGCTTTAACCCATTTAACAATGCACACCAAAATTTGGCAGCATGCAAATTCAACTGAACCCCACCTGCAAAACGGCGAGCCTGGAAGGGACCTACAATTCACACCATCCTTGAACGTTGGGCTAAGTTGACTGGAGATAATGGGAAATGTGGTACAGTGACATCTGAGGACCCAAGGCTAAAGAAGCACTTGTAAAACCTAAATCTTCCCTGAAGACTCAGAACCGTAGAGCTGTGGGGGCCATTCTCTAAGGGGCACAGACCCCGGGTTGCTGGGTTCTCTCTTCCACCGTTCAGCATGGTGTGGTCTGGAGAGAGTGCTTCTAACACTGGAACAACCCAAGGTCATCCAGTGCGGGTGACTGGCAGGAGATCCAGGTCAAAGCAGTTTCTTCTCGCATAGCATCCTTGGGATTTGCTGCTGCGAGATGCTTATGATGCTGCTTTTACAAGGGGGATTAGTCAAGTACACAGAAGATGAGGCTGTCAAAGGCTGTGTGATACATCCTGGATCAGAAACAGCATGTTTCTGTATGGCAGCCCTAGGGAAAAGGCTGCTCCCTTCATGTCCTACTTCCCAGATGTGTCTAGCTAGCCACCATGAAAAACAGGATGCTGAACTGACAGGCCTTTGGCCTGCTCTCTCTTCAAACCTTTAAGGTTGGAAGCGAATCACAGATGTCCACACAGTCTGGCTTCACTGTGTCTGGGGGGCACGACGACATAAGAACAGCTTGCCAGGGGGCAATTTTTACTTGCTCCCCAGCAAGTAGCTATTTGCAACCTGTCTTCCCAAGCAGCAGTTTAGCACAATGCCAAATTTAAGCAACGAATTAGCCAACAAATACCTTTTGAATCTACGTGCTCTATTTTATTTTACTTGCCTTTTCTACTCTATGGTTATCACGTTCCCAGGAAAAGGAAGGAAGTGTGAGGCAGAGATAGAGAGAATGGTGGAAAAACTGTGAAAAGCAATATGCCTACTGCTCTCTCCTGTGGCCAACGGGACACAGGTCTAGTTCTGCTGCTGCAAACCATTGCTCGCAACCTGTTCTGAAGCCCCTGAACGTCTTCACTCATTGGCCTAAAGGGTTAATTCCACAGGAGCAGAACTTGGTGGACTGTCTACCCAGGAAACTAGAGAAAGTAAACCAACAGGATTTCATAGAATCATAGAGTTGGAAGAGACCACAAGGGCCATCGAGTCCAACCCCCTGACAAGCAGGAAACACCATGCTTTTATATATGGAAATGCTCATTGGCTGCGTTTGGATATAACGCTAAACCATGGTTTAGTGTTACAAGGACAAGCTTCAGTGATTCCTGCCCTTCTGTTCTATATTAACAGCAGCTTTAAAAAGAAAAACTTATCTAGACCACTTTTTTTAAAAAAGAAAAAGAAAAATGTGTGCTGTAGTTTAGTGTTTTTTCAACTCTAAACTTTGGTTAATTTTAACTATGATTAAACCATAGTTAAAACCATAAACTATGGTTTGAAGTCGGTTTGTTTCCACTAACCACAGTTAAGATTAACTGCAGGTTGTCAAGGTTCAGATGACACACTAAACTATAGTAAAATAGAAAACAGACACAGAAGCTCTGGGTTCACTGAGGCTTGTTCTCATAATGCTAAGCTATGATTTAGCATGAAGCCCAAGCCAGTCCACTGAGTGAAAATAGAACAAGTTGTTTGTGGGGTGGGGGTGGGGAGCAGATTGAAAGATTAAAATTTAATTCATCAACCCTAGAAATGGCAGTACTGCTTCAACAGAGTGAAATTTTCCATTTTAGACAGTTTCCAAAATGCTCTGCTTAATGCTTTTAGGTAATCAGAAAATATGTGATCCTTACAAACACACACATCAGTATGAATAACTACTACATACAATTGCACAGAAAACAAGTAAAATGCGGAGTATGTACATCTGTTTGTTTCAGTCCCTTTAGGGGATGAGACACCATGCAAAAAAGGTTTGTGTAAATTAAACTTTTAAAGGTGCGTAAATTAAGATGCAAGTTTAATATTTCTGTGATTTCTAATGTACATGTTCTGTATAACAGGTATTCCAGTAAAATATATATCTACATACACACAGAAACACGGAACATAAAAATAGTGATTGGTGATAAGGGAACAGAAAGCAGTGCCAACAAGACAAACTATTTCTACCACTGAGAGCAATTGTGTTTGTGTGCAAACTGTTGAATGCTTCGTTTCCCAGGTGTTAAGAACCCCTTGGAGGTTTCTTCACAGTGTAATCCTAATCAAGCCTACTCAGGAGTAAGTCATATTAAATTCAATGGAGCTTGCTCCCAGGTAAGTAAAGATAAGATTACGGCCCCAGCCCTGTTGCTCCTCACTGCTCTTATGGCCTGTCTGTGCTACAGATATATAAAGGTAAAGATAAAGGGGCCCCTGACCATTAGGTCCAGACGTGAACAACTCTGTGGTTGCGGCGCTCATCTTGCTTTATTGGCTGAGGGAGCCAGCATACAGCTTCCAGGTCATGTGGCCAGCATGACTAAGCCACTTCTGGCGAAGCAGAGCAGCGCGCGGAAACGCCGTTTACCTTCCTGTCGCAGCGGTACCTATTTATCTACTTGCACTTTGACGTGCTTTCGAATTGCTAGGTTGGCAGGAGCAGGGACCGAGCAACGGGAACTCACCCCGTCGCGGGGATTCGAACTACCGACCTTATAATCAGCAAGTTCTAGGCTCTGTGGTTTAACCCACAGCGCCACCCGCGTCCCTACTACAGATATATAACTCAGTTTGAAAGAATATTGAGAACCGTAGCTCTATATGGGAATTGGACACAGCTACTCACCACCCAAAAACCACCTGGAAATCTCACTAATTTTGGGAGGGGGATACCTGTGAGTTTGGGTGGCTCACACTTCGGCTAAAGAGGGTTTAAAGTTTTAAATTAAAAAAGCAATAAACTGCAGGTGTGCAGAATGTTCCGGCACATTTCCTCAAAAGGAACACGAAACGGGCAATTTATATTAGACTGAGCACTTCCCACTAGTGTCCAACTGTCGACGGGTTTCACTGGAGAGCTAAGGCAAGAGGCATGGCAGGAAAGGAAGAATTGATCTACCTGGCAAAAAGTCTCATTCTAAAGTTCACCGTCTTCCACTTGGCACAGTCATTCTTGGTGGCTTCGTTTGCGCATGCCAAGGGTTGGACAATGAACCTACTCGTTGTAGGTGTGAAGAACCAGGGTCATCCTTCCCCCAGCCCAGAATCCTGCAGGTGTTTGGGAATCACTGGCCACACTGGGTACCCCCCAGACTAGGCTGACACATTTTAAACTCCTTAATGGCCACTCACTAAACCTCCACATATACCCTGTTTAAACGCACAAAGGCAGAAATTGCAGGACAGCAGTTTATAGCGGGTTAAGCCTTCTGTGGATTTTATTGGGCACAAGCAGTATTAAGGGCCAGAAAGTTTCATTGCAGAAAAGTAGTAAGTTTTGTTGAAACAACTTAAGTAATTGCAGTCTGCTTTCTTGAGGGGCAAATTGTGCCTTTCGAATTCCAAATGCAATGTCTCTATTATGTTAAGCAACAGAATACTGAAACCCTGACACACTGTGGTTCCTAGAAACACGTTGACACATTTAAATTTCTATGGCAGGTAAACTGATCATCACCCAATACATAACTTCAAAATCACTCAAGCCACTGGGTGCCTTTCTCTTAGCGGATAACGAGAGATGTCAAGCCCAGTCGAGAGAGCTATCAATAAGTATTAAGTTTTCTTATTGTAGACTTTCAATCAAGTATATAAATCATTATATACTGACCTGAAAAATGCAGCCATAACGCTTAAAACTACAGGTGCTTGGGGCATTAATACATTCTGACAAATGTGCATTCAACTGTAACGGGAAAAAAATGTGAGTTTTTTTCTTTCTTTTTTGAACGGAAAAAATGTATGCACAATAAAGTTCATAAGTATATTGGGCACACAATGCAAGTTTGTGCATTGTGTGGCTTGGGGGGTTTTTTTTTTTTGCTTGCTTTAAAAGCATGTGCTCATATATTACCTCCAGTTGTACTTGAGGGGTATACATATACACATGTAATCACAAGAACATTCCAATAAGATATACAAAAGTGACACATTTACAGTGAAACCTCTTCGGGTGGCTACTGCAACCTGATTCGAAAAGGACCTCTGCACGCTTTCCGCGTAATTTTGATTTCTGATGAGAGACTAATTTCTCAAAGTTATCATGGTCCGCTGAGCAGCCACTCTCGACAGCAGTTTCACTGTATTAATAATGCACACACCCCCTCCCTCCTGCCCTCTCCGAAACTGTTTTTAATTCGGAACGGATTTTTTCCTCTTCCCGAAACGTGTCATGCAAAATTCCAGTGATAAGAATAAAGAACAGAATGACAGAGACTTAGAACAAATATTGCATGAAACGGACATATACATTTTCAATAAAGAAACACGGGTTTTATATTTACAGAAGCAGCAGGCAGAAATAAGTGCTACTTAAAGTAGAGAAAGGATCTTTCACACTCAGCATATATAAGCACCCTGGGATTTCAGCTAGTTTTGGCTGAGAGGGCAGCAGCTAAGATCAAAACAGAAGACAGCAAGAAAATGGATAAATGATAAAGGAAGCAAAGGTCCGTAAGTTTCCTTGAAATGTTTTTGGACAGGCGTTGCTAAACTACCACTCCCATAATCCCCAACCACTGGCCATGCTGCCTGGGGATGATGGGAGCTGGAGTCCAAGAACTTCTGGAGAACTATGTTTCCTGTTCCCTACATCTGCTTTAGGACCTTCCAGGGTCCTAATATTGCCTATTCCAGAGCCTAGGGCAGGGTATACCAAACTTGGGTCTCCAGCTGGTTTTGGACTGCAACTCCTATCATCCCTAAGTGGTCAGGGATGATGGGAACTGGAGTCCAAAAACAGCTGGAGACCCAAGTCTGGCCTATCATGTACAATCTCTCCACAGCTTCAAACTGCCTCACTCCTCGGCCCATCCTTGCAGCTAATAAGAAGGCCTGCATAGCCAGCTTTTTGTTTGAGGTTTGTAGCACATGTGTGAGAGAAAAGCAAGAGAAACAGCAGATGATATGTCCCTATTATCACAAAGCACAGAAATAATCTAGGAATTTACTAAAGGTCTAATCCTGAAAACTCTTTATGAACCAGAAGACTTAGTGAGGAGATGGAACTGATGGATTCATTCCTCTTACATTTATACCCCACCTTTCTTCCATCATGGAAACCAAGGCATCACATATGTTATTCCCAAGGAGTCCCCATTTCAGGCCACTGACCACATCCAGAGCTTCGGCCTTACATGCCTCCAAAACATCCCTTGGGAGTTGGTGCTGACCACAAATATTGTCTGGCCTCAAAAGTTCAGATCACCTGATTTGGGGCATTACCTCAGGTTTATTAAATTGCAATTTACCTTTCCAAGTTCACTACATTGTCTGTGCACAGTCTACACAGCCCAAACCAGGACAGCTCGCAGGAAGATAAATCAGCTCATATAATCTTTGCACCAGATTCGCCAGCGGATTGAAAAGGTGGCTCCACAGCACATCGAGAATAATGAGCATGCTCCTCTCTTTTAGAGATGCCTGTGGGATTGTTCCCCACCATTTTGGGAGGCGGGACTGAAACCTGGCGTTTTGTAGTATATTACCCATGAGAAAGCAGGCATTAATTATATGTTCTCTCTCTCTCTCTCTCTCTCTCTCTCTCTCTCTCTCTCTCTCTGCTCCCGACCTCTGCTCAGCACACACACTTTGACTTATGACAGGCCTGCTCCCCAAGTTTGAGAAATCACCTCTGTCGGTTGTGTTGTTGTGCTAAAATACTGATGTTTATTAGTATGTCCCGATATCAATACTGAGCATTCTTGGGGTGCTCTTGACTCTAGGGTCAGATACAACAGAATCTGGCATAACAAGACTTCCCTCTCACTTGAGTTCCCCATAATCAACTCAGGAGAACCTCAGAACAGTATGCAGGGGAGAAACAGGGGAGATGGTTCCATTTGGCAAATGAAATTCTTGTTTTGACGGAACAATCAACTTAGCATGATGCTAAGTTAGCATCTTCTAGGGTCTTAACTTCCATGTCAGTGGACCATTAGTAAACAGGCTTAAGGATTTATATCTTAAGAAAGTTAGTATCATTGATCCATAAAAAGATAAAGGGACCCCTGACCATTAGGTCCGGTCGTGACCAACTCTGAGGTTGCGGCGCTCATCTCGCTTTATTGGTCGAGGGAGCCGGCGTACAGCTTCCGGGTCATGTGGCCAGCATGACTAAGCTGCTTCTGGCGAACCAGAGCAGCGCACAGAAACGCCATTTACCTTTCCGCTGGAGCGGTACCTATTTATCTACTTGCACTTTGACGTGCTTTCAAACTGCTAGGTTGGCAGGAGCAGGGACCGAGCAACAGGAGCTCACCCCGTCGCAGGGATTCGAACCACCAACCTTCTGATCGGCAAGTCCTAGGCTCTGTGGTTTAACCCACAGCGCCACCCGGGTTCCTCATTGATCCATACAGACAGCTAAATAGTATGCCTTATTGGACCATCACAATACTATTTTCCCCCTATTTCATACCAATAAACTAATGTGGAACAATACATGACGCTGGTCAATGTATTTCCATAAATGTGTGTGACAGTTAATGATGTGAGGTGCATTTATGTGCTCGTACAAAAATGTCAAATGAGAACTGAAGGGCAGAATATGGGGTACTCCCAGAGATTTTCCACTAGGGCCTTCCCTCCCTGCAGTTTGTTTTCAGTTTTGGACATGGTAGGGCACGGCAAGGAAAAAATGGCTGGACAGTGTTGCAGGGGAGAAGCAACAGACAACAGGCAATAGCTGCTCTACCCCTTCCACATCTTCCAGTTCTACCCTGCAATCCCATAGGATGCTCATTCTTACTTTCTGCAGCTAGATGTTAATCCTAAAGACTGAGTAATTAAGTCACTCTTAACGCTATACTTGAAAATGATGGTTACAGGAGCTGGATCACCTCTTTAAAGTTAAATTACCAGTGCATAAGTTTTGTTCCCAGTAACAAAAAAAATCCACAGGTCAAATTAAGTGTAGCAGGAGATGTCTGTGCGTACACAATATCAAATGCAAAGGGTGGTTGTGACAGCCGGCCGAGCCAGACCAATCTGATGGTGCAGTTTTCCCCTGAAACTCCACCAGAGTACCGGAGCCTCTCTCTGATTGGCTACAGAGTCAGCTAGTCACACAAAGGGGGAGGAGCATCACTTTGGGAGAGAGAATAAAAGAAGCGGTTTTGGAGGGAGAGAGTTAGAGAAGGCTAAGGTTCAGGTTATGAGATAGGGCTTGATTTGAGATGTTAGACAGGGTTTAGGTTGAGAGATAGGGCTTGATTTAAGAGGAGAGATAGGGCCGGATTTGAGAAGATGGACAGGGCTTGTTTTGAGATGGGAGTGAGACTGAGGGAGAACTGGTCCTGAGTTCAATTAAACATCCACACTGAGGAGACTATCCATAGAGAGAGGACAGAGACTTGTAGCTTAGATAGGAAGACCGGGTTGAGGGTCTGGGAAAGGTACACAGACAGGAGTGTCCTGGGAGGGCTGGGACTGAACTGGGAGAGGGAGAACCTGTGGGAATTCAGACCAACGGCATCTCTTTCTAGCCAGGAAGGGAGAGTTCTTCTAGGTCCAAAACTCTCAACCCAGTAACAACAGGTGAGGTGATCACCTGGGTCTGTTATGCTATTTTGAAATACCTCAGGAGTGAGATTGTTAAGTGAGTGGGTAACTGGGGGAAAGTGCCCCTCGCTCATGAACCAGGGTAATAAATCTGTGAAGGAAGCTGTGTTGCAATAAAAGTATTTAATGGAACCGCCTGTCATTGCTAAGTAACAGAAAGTGATTTAAGCATCTTACCAGCTGATTAATAGCGGCTGGAGTTTAAGAAGAGCTGTGCCTATCCTAGTGTATTTAAGACCGTGACATCTTTTTTGCCCACTTCTAGTAATAAGTTAACTTCTCTTTGTTGAATACACTGTCCTTGTTTGTTTGATCAACTGCTGCCTGGGACTCTAAATCATTAAGTTTTCCCTCACACAAGTCCCCCACCCCCGGACACCCCGTGGTAAATTTGCAAAACTCTGTATTAATTGATGTACGGTGAGGTGTGCACGCTATGACAGTTAGCAGGGCGAGTCCGCTGCGTTATCAATTGGCGATAAGTGGCTGGATCCGCTATAATGAGGTAGTTCTTGTTGAGGTTCTTTCAATTGCTGTTGAAAATCTGGTGCCCATGTTTCCCTTATCTTGCACCTTCAGGTATTGTAATTAGTGTTTGAAGGTCAAAGTGACCTGGCAAAAGTGTGGTCGTTCTTGGGTATATTAAGAGGGGGCCGTGCATTGCCTTCTTGCTTTGCCGCGAGGAAGATCTGCCAGATTGATACTGAACTCTGTGCTGGATGTATGTTGTGAGTTGCACTTGCTTTGCATTTGAAGCCTTCACCTTCTACTACGGATCTAGTGGAAGCATATAGTGTATTGAAACTGCCTTAAAGCTTTGGACCTGGTCAGTAAAGGACTGAACTGACTGAAAAGTTGGGAGTCCGACTGAATTTCTTCCAGCACAAACTTGCACGCGCTTGGGGAGCTGCACACGTTTGGTTGGCACATGCCGTACGCCAACCGTCCTGTTGGTGCAAAGACTTCTGGTTGCGTAAAGAAACTTCCCATCCCCAACCCCCTAAATCCGTTTCAGGGTTTCTCCCAACCATCCAGAACAGATATGGGGAGAGCGCAGAGGTGCACAGAGAGCGTAGAGAGCAGGGATTTGTACTCACAGAAATCCTTGCGCTAACGGAACTGCTTTGTTGGGTACTACACAAAACATTTTTAAAAACTGGGTCTTTTTGTAAAAAACAAAACCCAGCCTCAATGTTGGAGAAGCAGACTGCAAGACTACATATTATGAACTCTGTTATTAAAATTATTTTAGGGTGTTGTTTTTTTTAAAAAACCAACTTTTAAAGCATTTAAAACTACAACTTAAATTCAGAATACGAACACCACCTAAATGATGCAAAGGTTACACGACGCTAAGAAGTTATTCTCTGATACCTGCAGTAAGCATTTTGAATTTAGCTCTAACTATGACTGAAGCGATGAGAAAATAGATGGGATCAACGCCAAAAATTTAGGAGAGGAGGAAGCGGAATCTGCATTACAAAATCAGAGAAGTCTATAGAGATTTCTTTATAACAGTACGAAGGTTTGTTTCCTTTTTCCAAAAAAAAAAAAAAAAAAGCGCATACTGGAGCTGCTTCTTCTCGCAAATTTCTTGCACGTTATTACTAAGAACAACATTCTAAGCCGAGTAATATATGACAGGCTATTCTTCATTCTTTCATTTTCATGAATGGCTGTGCAATATGATCTCTTACCTCTTTTCTCAGGAGCGCTGAAACGCTACATTTATGAGGACACGTGACCATAACGCAAGGGCAGTCTGCATCTTCATGTTTCTAAGCGGAAGAAAGGGAAAATCACACACTTGAAAGTCCATTAATAATTTTCACAGGAGGACATTAAAGAACCAGCACGTTTCTCCTTCGTAATTTACATCTCAGTACTCTGATCTTCAGAGACATATTGCGGTGTTTATGAAGTCCTGCAACACTCGTTACTGATGTCACACTTAGAGCATCAACACACTTATTTCCTTTCTGATATAATTCACAAGGGTGCACATTATTTTAAAATGAATTATTAGAGTAAATAAACTAAAAACCCTTGCTTCCAGCTGTAGCACACTCTTCAACCTCGGGTCCCCAAATGCTATTATCATCATCGCTACCATTTATCAGATTTCTTCCCTACAACTTCTCCCCCCCCAAAACTCCATAAAATATTAACTGCATGGATTTCAGACTATATAGCTGCAATTCCGATGTTATAGTTTTAAACCATTTTAATTTTCATTGTACTGTATTGCATTCCTTAGACACAGTTGTGATTAGGTGATATATGAAATCTATAAATAAATATATATATATCAGCCATGCACATGGGGGGCTGACACCGTGAATTTACAGTTCTCTGTGTTGTTAAGTTGTTTATTATTATTATTAGTAGTAGTAGTAGTAGTAGTAGTATTCTACCCTATACCCTCAGGTCTCAGGGCAGTTCACAATATAAAATCACAATATAAAAACACAAAATACATAATGAAAACAAGAACAACAACCCTATAATCCCTAACACATTTTAAAAGGGCGCTGGATGTCAAACAACCAAACACCTGGTTAAAGAGGAAACGTATTTTGCCTGGTGCCTAAAGGTGTATAATGAAGTTAAACTAACTGATTAATTAACAGGCTTCTATTACACTGGTCATCAGTGCAGATACCAGGGCACGATACAGAATAAAGCAAAGCATTTGACATATAAGAGACAATAAAACAAGTTGACAAAAATTAGGAAAAATTAGGAACCAGTGCAAAAGTCGCCAGGCTCTGGAAAGCTATGGAAAATCGGTTTGTTAGTTCTTGAGCTACAAAGGGGATTTCCAACTCTGCGAGGCATGCAGCGTCTACGAATCCTTGAGTTCTAGCTAGCAGAACAAAAGATATTTAAAGATCTCGTTTGCATAACTTTGATTCCCTTCCCTCCCCACAAAAAAACCCCCTTCCCCCTTCTGAAGGGCAGAGAGAATTGTTTGCTTTCTTTTCATTTTCAGAATGTCACTGGAAGGCTGCCTGATATGATAAAACATGGATGGGTTTATCTTGTGACCAAAAGAGGCGCCTCCAAGGAAGCAGCTGTTAATTAAGAGCAGGTCTCCTTTTGATCAGCTTAAAATGTCTCTCCAGTAAAGAGAAGAGGTGTCTTCCTGCACTGGGCACAGTGTCCCATTTACTGCGGATCACATTAGATTCTAAGCAGAAATCACAGGTTCTATAGTACAGCACCATTTGTGGGTCCAAATGCCTCTCTACTGTTAAAAAAACCAACCTTTTTAAAGTTTCTGCTATACAGAAGTTGAAAAAGCAACGACAACTTTTAGCAATGAACTATTTTAGTGAAAAGCAACACTCACCTGTATCATAATCATTGGGACTTGGTTTTTACAGTATTTACACGTTGTTTCCCGATATTTACAGGTCTTCTCTGCGTGGTCTGGCAAGTCTCTTCGAAGTATTTTCTCCTTGCAATCAGCCCGAGGGCATGGAAGCTCTTCAAACAGACAGTCATTTCTCAGGTGGGTCTGAAGCAAACATGTACCAGGCGGTCATGTACACTTTGGGGTTTCACATTTTCTCACTTTAGCCATTAACAGGTGAATCTTACCAAGTTAATTTAAAGAGAGATAGCACCACTCTTTCTCAAAATCAACCCTTTCCCTTGTTTCAAATTAAGTGCAAATATACCATATTTTTCGCCCTATAAAGACGCACCTAGTTTTTGGAGGAGGAAAACAAGAACAAAAATATTCTGAATCCCAAAAGCCAGAACAGCAAGAGGGATCTGGCTTCTGGGATAGCCTCTTGCTTTTCTGGCTTCTGGGACAGCCGTGCAGCCTGCATTCGCTCCACACACATTTCCCCTTACTTTTTAGGAGGGAAAAGGTGCGTCTAATAGAGCGAAAAATACGGTAACTAACTAGCACAAAGCTGGAAAAATCTCAAGACACCTGGCTACCTACACACCTGCGGTTGCCACCCAGAAAAGCTTTAAATATGCCTTTTGCAGAAGTGGTGGTTGATACCTTTGAGGCTAACTCCTAAAACTTAACAAAGTGGCACCCAGAAAAGGTAAGGAGGTTTCCCAACTTTGTTCAAAAAAGCAAAATATTGGTACCTGACATCTTTCGTGACCACACAAATCTTAACAGCACAGTTCCAAACATCTTACCTCCTCTACCCACCGTTGCAAACACTTCCTTTTCGCACACATTTAATGAATTAAATGCCCCACCTTTCCTCCCAAGGGAGCCCAGGATGGTAATCATAAAGGTAAAGGTAAAGGGACCCCTGACCATTAGGTCCAGTTGTGACTCTGTGGTTTAACCCAGGATAGTAATCATATAAGCGATAAAACAATCAAAAAGTCGAAAAAGCAATTCCAATAGATGCAGATGAAAATGTAGCTTCTGCCAACTATGCTTGGATAACCAGCGCCTTTTCTCACATTGCATTAGGAGCTGGTTTACAACACCCCGTGGCAGATAGTCACTTTATTCTGGTGCTTTGGTTTTGATCTGATAGGTCACAAACAGTGACCAGAGTGTGACCTGACTGAGGGCTGGACCAGGCGAGAAAAAGCAGGGGGAGTAAGTGTTGAGAAAAGCAAGAGAAAGATCAGACTGAAGGTGCTTGGTCTGTTTTTTTGAGATCTCAAAATCCACCCTTAATGTTTTCAACAGGGAATGATATTCGAGGTTTCGAAGTCTAGAAGTCATTAGCCGCTCTGCTTTCCAACATTCGTTCCCTCGTTTTGGTTAATAGGGAGGACACGTTTGCACATCACAATAAGCCAAGGTTTCTGGCGTGTCGTAGTTTGCTTTGGATGAACGGCACGCTTGCACATGCTGCCCAATCACTCCCTCCCTGTGCACAAGCCAGGAAGCAAAACAAGCAGCTGCAGTTAAAAACTGGCTTCCCATCGCATACAAACCCAGAACTGTGGTTTGCTGCTTCCTAACAGGCTGGGCTCTGTAAGCCTATTGACTAACCATGGCTTAAGCCAATATCAAACCATGGCTTAAGGTTGAGTAGCAATCCTGCCTTATTAAGGAGAAATAAACGAGATGTAATGGGAAGCCATTCTTAGATGCAACTTCCTTTTTTCATTTCTCCCACTTGCACCAGGGGAGGGGTGACGCAGGAGCATTTGGGGAGCTCGTGGGTATTAACGTGCGTAAGTGAGGAACCCTGGCTTACCTTAATGTGCGAATGCACCTGCTGGGGAACTTTAGTTAGTTGACCACAGAACATAGACCACACCATTCTGTAAACTGGGGGGGAAAGTAATTGCAAGATATTCCAACTACTTACAAGCAACTGTCCCAAGGTCAATTGTTCTCTGCAACCTTTATTTTCATTCCTGCAGAATATCTGAAGGGCAAGAAGCTCCCTCCGACAGCAATTATCCTTAAATATCTAGAATTAAGAGACATTTAACAGATGGTTATAGCAGTGGTCCAAGTCTTCACACTATTGCAGCTCTGCTGCATGATTGTAAGTGGCTGACTAAAAGGCCAGCTTTTGAACAGCTATATAAAGACACACAGAGATTCTCATGAAATGAGGGAAATTGTTTTCAGAGCAATTTCTCGAGAACAATATCGGCTAACACCAGTTTTGAGCACTGGTGCTGCCGTTGTCACCTCGTGCCGACAGGCTATCAATCAGCACAATGAAAACATCCTGATTTCTGCATGCACAGCAAGACAACAGTGTTGCTGCGATGTCCAAAGTAGCCTGGGAAAGAGCTCTTTTTTATTTATATCATGTTCTTCTGTGCTATGAATACAGGTCTGAAGGTTGTCTACACTTTTAGAACACTCGTTTCTCTGCTCAAATAATTTGCCTTTTTTATTAGCAGACACACGAGTACAAAAAGCTAGGATACAAGCAGGTTTGCTCTTGGTTTTGCAAAGCAACATGAATGAGGAGCTACAAATTTTTTAGCTGGCATCCCAATGAATCAAATGGTATGACTGGCCATTCTGAATTAAAACTGAATATCCTCTGTAGGTAGCCTTTCAGATCTTCAGCTGGTACAGATTTATCCTTTAAAAAGCCCAGCCGTGAAGAAGCCTCTTAGACTGAAGATGCTGAACAACCACAATGCCACAAAAATTGGGGAAGAAGGTTCTGAAGTGATCTACGTTATTTGACTGTGTTAGTGGCAGACCACGAACCACATCAGCCCAATTGGCACCCTTCCAAAGGGACTACAATTCCCATCATTCCTGACCAATGGGCCATTGCTGGTTGGGGCTGATGGGAGTTGGGCAACCTCTGTAGGGCACCAGATTGGGAAGGCTAGACTACACACACCAGTAAACTTGCTTTTATCTTGTCTTTTAATCTGTGGACCGCCCTGAGATTTTAGAATGAAGGGTGGTATATAATAAATAAATAAAATTAACTGATTTTGAATCACCCAGACAGTTTTCTAGGCCCCATGGAGCCAAGAGAACCTGAGTGAAGTCAATGAGCATTCATTCCTTCTGACCAATATGATGCCCACAGGTTTATTGTGGTGTATGCACAGACAAAGTGTGATCACAGGTCACTGATATGGTCCCCTCTACATATGCCTCCCAACATAGGTTGGAGTTGAGGCTTGGGCTGATGACACCTGGAGAGAACCAGTGTCTACCCCATCACAGGTGGCAGAACACACTATGCTTCTTGTGGCCCAGCAAACACCCAACTCTCTTTTCCGCAGACCACACAGACCCAAGTTTAGAACATCTGAAGATAGGACAGATGGCCCGTGGGAAAGGAAATCGGCTTTATGATGAAACAAAAGCCTACACTGGGTTATAGAAATCTGCCATGAGCAACCAGGGAGGAGAGAAACGCAATAGGACAGTGAAGAGTGTGCACCAAAAACGCTCTGTAGCAAAAATGCAACAAGCTCAGCTGCAGTAGCAGCAAAGGAACAGAGAACGAGAGAAGGGATCAGGTGGCCAAACCCATGATAGAGTGAAGAAATATGAAAACAACCACGAAACAACAGTTACAATTTGTCTTTACTAGGCACTGAAGAAGAGTCAACACTTCTAAGAAGCCTCCAGCTCAACTAGCTTTGGCATGGTGACGCATTATCAATCCCCACCTCCCTTCCCACCCTCCGCTCCAATAAGGAAGTAGGAGGAGTCTTCCTGGATGATGTCGTCAACAACTGCTGACCACTGCTCCATGTGGCAAGCTATCTCTCTACAGCTTCTTGAGGAAGAAAATTCCAGACTGGCCTTTGGCTGCTCCTGGGGATGGCAGAGTACAAGAGGGATTGCTGCCTTAGTGGATTATCTGCTTGAGCAACAGGGCCTAACTGAGCTGTTGCTCACCTTGTGTTTTGCCATTTTCCTGCATTGTGTTGGGATTCACACTCACGTCCCTCTATGGGCATTAATTGCCCTTGAACAGGCACCTTCATTTCTCTGGACTGATGCCCAGTCTGACGTCAATGCTACTGTTATAACCTCCCTAAGTGTCCAACGTTTGACCCAGGTGCTTGTATTAACTTGCTTGGGTATGGTTTTGGAACGTGAAGTGTGCCTTGTGCCACCTACCTCTGTTCCCACACTGGTCTTGATCACAGATTGTTGACCATAAAGCTTGAAGGACTGTTGATCTTGACACTGATTCATAGACCACCTGGTTTTAAGGATTCAGTCCTGTTGGGTTTTCAAATGACCCAATTCTCACAACAATGCAACGGAGGCATGGGGCTGGTATCGACAGCCATCCTTTCTCCTACACTGCATGCGTTTCAAATACCACGACTGCAGTCTTGGTGCCCAGCTCCAGTCTGGATACCAGGATTACCTTCATATGAACAGTCTCAGTATCCTGCTAAAGCTGTAGTACCTAGAGCATTTCTTGGCAGGCTCCAGTTCAAGCCTAAACAGCTGGCATCCCTTGGATCTGGAAGTCTCAGGAGCCAAGCACATGCCTTGGTACCTAGAGTGTTTCTCTAAACTGGCAGTCTTGATGTTTAGCTTGTATTCTGGTGCCTACAGTTCCTCAGCACCACCTCATGCCTAGTGCCAGTCCCAATATCTAGCCTCTCTCTCTGTCCTGACAGGTTTGAACCCCAGCTCAAGTCTCAGTTATTGGGGGTTTTTAATGCAAAGTTTCTCTGCTTACATTCCAATTTCAGTACCTAACATTTCTCATCAATGACGGTTTCAGTGGCAAGTCCCATCCTTTGCCCCTGATATCCAACTCTATCCTCGGCATCGCGTGTTCTCTGTACAAAGGGTGTTCAAGCTTCAGTATCTCCTGTTTTCTCATTCCTGGCTGCTCTAGGACCTGGACTCAGCCTTGGAACCTCGCATCCTCTACATTTTATGGGCTCAGTGTGGGCATTTTCTTTGGTACAGGTGGCCTTGACACCTACGATGGTGTCCCTGGGTGGGCACGAACCACCAACCTACTTCAACACCTAGTGGCCGCTGGTGGCCTTGACATCTGGCCTATGACTTGGTGCTCATTACAGAGGCAGTCCCAGCCAAAGCCCCAGTGCCCTACACTTGGCACCCCTTGGCATAAAGCACATACAGTTGAAATGCACTCAACTACATAGGCACCACGTTTTCTGGGTACATAACTGCTTTTCCCTGAATGATCTCGGTTCCCAACAAGTTCTAGCACAAAGTGTATGCTGTAAGGTGAGAGGACCCTTAAAATGTGGCCCTCCATGCATCTCCATCCGGTCCTTGAGGGTCTCACCCAGGCCTCACCTGTCACCAGCCCTTCCTGGAGTGCTCTTGCCTGGCTGAAATGTCAACAAAACTTCTTGCTTGCCATGATGAGAAGCAGGTATGTGTGTCTACAAAACCTCTGGCTTTTGCACAATGGTCAAGAGTTGCATGCAGCTTTGAGTCTGGCCCCACGTGCCACTGGCATCTAGTCCCCAGGAGCCTGCCCATGAGCAAAGGGCAGCTCTAGGGGCCAAAATTGCTCCCCACTCCTGCTGTGCAGACTTGCTCCAAAAAACCTGTAGCCTTCTAACCTGGCTTCAATCCTGGAGCGTGCTGCCTTCGAAGGAGCGTTTGGGTCTGTGACCACAACATCTAGCCTTCTGCTATGAATGCTTTATTTGCACGGCAGGCTTTCTTCTACTCCTTCTGCGCTGCCTGCATGCTCCTCAGCATCCCTCCGATTTGATTCGCCTTCAAGTGAACTTCATCAGCAGCCCACGCCTGCACAGCCTTTTGTTAGCCTCTATCTGCATGACTGCACCTCTCTGGGACTGCGGAATGCAGCATTGTTCTCAGAGACCGCATGCTGTTGACTACCTGGCTGTATATATCGTTAAGGCTGGAGTTCCTACCTGCCTGTCATTCATTAGCCTCATCCCAGTAGCAGCAGAGGAGCTGTGCTTACGAATCACAGCTGATTACACCACGGCTATGTGTCTCCTGATCAGGGACAATGCGCACCTGCACACTTTCTGCATAGGGAGCATCTAACCTTCTAGGGCTTCTGGGACATGCCCTGCGTGTTTTCCTTCAGCAGATGCACCTGCCTAGCTGTCTTCCAAGCACCTGCCCAGCTTGAGTGTCAACGCAGAGCCACTGACTGGTGCAGCAGGACCAGAAGCAGGGTTTTCACGGCAGCCTCCACCATCCCGCCAACTTTCGCCTAGTGACAAATCTCCATTAGATGATCGCTGCCAAGCATCACCTGCTGGCTTTGCTACAAGACGAGTCAATACTTGTACTTGAGGGGAATACCTGCTCTTTCATCGCTGGATGCAACTTCATCTACTTCCCCCATGGGGACTGGGCAAACTCCACACTAGTAAAATGTGAAGAGACGAGTAATTCTAGTTTTTAACCACATTGATGCTACCATGGGGCAACTATCTGCTTCTCTGGTGAATTGACCACGACTCTATAAACCTTCTACAGTTTCCCTTTCTTGCATGGATCCACATCCATGAGGCTCTAGTCAACTGCACAAGCAGAACGATTTCCACTTGTGCCAAGGGACTTCATCCTCTCCCCCCTCCTCTTTCCCCCACAACCCCCAAATCTGCTCCAGAGTGTTGTGGGAACCTCTACAATAGGTTTAGGGAGTGAATGGGGTGAAGAACATTCTGATGCACGAAGAGAAATCATTGCACTGATGAAACATTCCCCATAGCACTCTTGTGAATACAATCCACGATCCTCAACACTACCAGCTCTTACGTTCTTTGGGAGAACTGCAGGGGTAGTCAATGTGGTGGGGTTCTCCAGAAGTTGTGGGACTACAACTCCCATCATCCTTGGGCATCGTCTCCACTGGCTGGGGCTGATGGTAGTTGCAGTCTAACAGCATCTGGAGGGCCCCATGTTAGCTACCCGTGGTGTATTGTTTGCAAACTCCCTACTGCAGAACTATCTTGTCATGCTTGCCTTGCTATAACAGAACTTGTGCAAGATAACTACATCTCTATCCGCCTGTTATGGATTGTTGGCTACACGCACCTCGGCTGATTCCTCAGGGAAGAACTGCAGTTATATGTGAATGGCGAGCAAGTAAGGAGACAGTTCATCATTAGCTGTCTGCTATCAGGAGTTAGAAGATCAGCTATAAGAATCCTGCTCAACCAGCTTTCCTGGGGGTCAGGTGGGCCCTGTTTTTGAAAAGGACAACCCATACAAGAACTGCACTCATGAAAAATTCTGGAGCAAGAGAAAGAGAGCTAGAAATGCATTTACACTGCAGAAAGTAAAGGCCAATTTCTTGTCTGAGATAAGCAAAGCAACCTAGTTTAAGATGCACAATAAGGTGGTTCGTTTTTGTTTTTTGGGGGAGGGGGTCGGGAGATGGAACTATACCTTATCTTTCACTATTGTTTCTTGACATGCTGTACATTTTGGAATTGCAGAGCTAGAAAAGAAAAACAACAACAACAACTGATCTTACACCAAAACTTCGTTTGCATACATGTAGCATTTCATATATGTTGACAATAAATTTAAACAGAGGTCAGTACATTTAAAAAAAAAGAAAAAGAAAAATAGGCAAAGGTTGGGACCGCACTGGTCACAGAGGTTAAATGACACACATACACACAAAAAGCAGGCAGAGTACAAACAATCAAATCAAAATGCACCTTATAACTTGGGTCCAAAACTTTCTCCTGTATGAATGAAAGGGCAAAGGAAGCGTTGATCCAACAGAGGCTCCCCACTAGTGAAAGGGAGCAGGGTGGCAATTTCTATTGGTTTCCCCTTTCCACTGCAACCCCCAGCACAAGCACCTATGCTGTTCCAGAAAATAGTCTCCCACGAGAGGTGGTGGACTCTTGGAGGTTTTTAACCAGAGGTTGGGTGGCTGTCCATCATGGATGCTTTAGCTGAGATTCCTGCATTGCAGGGGCTGGACTAGGTGACTCTCCGGGTCCCTTCCAACTCCACAGTTCTATGATTCTATGACCCCCTCAACCCTCTGGGCTGAGCAGCTCAAGGGGCTACAGGGAAGAAAAGGGCTCGGCCTCACATCCCATCCTTCCAGCACAAGGAGAGCTCTGCTCAGCGCAAGTCTGGGCCCAGCCCTGTGATGTTCAGAGAACCTTTCCTTCAAGCAGAATTTTATTATTTCCCCTTCCTTTTTTATTGTTTAATCTGCATGAATCTCCTGGTATTAATCTCCTGGTATGCCCCGCGGAGGACCTTAAGGTCCACAAATGACTACATTTTGGAAGTCTCAGGTCGCAAGGTGGTTAGATTGGTCTCAACTAGGGCCAGGGCCTTTTCAGGACTGGCCCCGATTTGGTGGCACGCTCTGTCACAAGAGACTAGGGCCCTGCGGGACTTGACATTTTTCCACAGGGCCTGCAAGACAGAGCTATTCCACCTGGCCTTTGGTTTGGACTCAGTCTGACCCTTAAGTTTCCCTCCCCTTATGGTCTTGATTTATCGGCTACTTTTAAAATGAGGCTGCATTTTAAATTGCATTTTAACCTGTATTTTAAATTGGTTTTCTTGTTCCCCCTATTATGTTTTTACTGTGATTTTATTGGTGTTAGCCGCCCTGAGCCCGGCTCTGGCCGGGGAGAGCGGGGTATAAATAAAATGTATTATTATTATTATTATTATTATTAGCTCCACGAAAACACCAGGTCTGCATTCTCTTTACCAACAAGGTTAAGTCCTCCCAAGAGAGGTTGTGCTAGCTTCCCTTAACCAGGTGCTTCTTGGTCAGGCATGATGGGAGTTGTAGTCCTAAACAACAGGAGGACACCAGGTCGGAGGAGGCTGGGTTACACCATTTACGGCTATTATGAAAGTTTATGGCATTAAATGCCTGGACAGTTCAGTTGATTAGAGCGTGGTGCCGATAGCCCCAAGGCTGCAGGTTCGATCCCCACATGGGACAGCTGCATATTCCTGCATTGCAAGGGGTCCCCTTCCATCTCTAAAATTCTGTTTTAAAAATGGGAAGCCATAACTTTATTAATGAGGTAGCAAGCTTACTTTTTCCGGGTCAACTTTTAAAAGCATGGCTATAAAGAGGTTTTTTTTAAAAAAAAAACACCCTACTTGTGCCGTAAGACCGTCTACCTGCAACACTGAGCAAAAGCTCTTGCAAAAGCATCATAATGCTATTGCAATGCTCCATTCACAATCACTTGTCGGCTTTGATGCAACAAGATTACCTTAAGAGCATAACAGAGTGAAAGCTTCCTTTCTTACTGACAGCAACAATGCTGGGAGATAAGGTTGCTTCGCAGCTGATGCCTTCACGCACACTGTGTGCACATGCCGTTCTTCATGCGTGGAGGGGGGTCCACTCCCATAGAGCCCCCTATGCCCCCCTGACAGCTGGACATGCACAGTGCTAGCACAGCGATACAGTTGGGGTGAGGGAACCTTCCTAAGGGCACCTGCTGGCGTCTCCCAAAGAGGTCCAACATCTCTGCTCTTCTCCAAAGCTCCAGTGCATAGTCTGTATGTGTGCCAAAGTTTCAGCCCAGATTGTCTGCCGCTCAATGGAGAAGTAGGATGCTGGCAATTCAGTTGTGCAAAATGCAACGGCAATTGCTGTTCTAGACGATGCCCTTGCATCACCTATATTAGCTACTTCAATTGCAGCCCTTGATTACTCTAGTCAATTTAATCCTCATCTTTTAAATGCTGTCATGCTAACAGCAACACACTTCCTAATGTCTTAATAGGCCCACAAGCTTAACATGAGTTAACAGAGTGATGCAGCAGCAAAAAGAAAAGAAAGCTAATGCTATTCTAGGCTGCATCAACAGAAGTACAGCGTCCAGATCAAGGGAACAGTCCCACTCTGTTCTGACCTGGTCAGACCACACCTGGAATACAGTGTCCAGTTCTGGGCACCAAAATTTAAGAAGGATGTTGACAAGTTGGAGCGTGTGCAGAGGAGGGCTACCAAGATGATCAAGGGTCTGGAAACCAAGCCTTTATGAGGAACGGTTGAAGGAGGTGGGTATGTTTAACCTGGGTAAGAGGAGACTTAAGATGAGATGTGATAGCCATTTTCAAATAGCTAAAGAGCTGTCAAACGGAAGATGGAGCAAACTTGTTTTCTCCTGCTCTGGAGGATGGGACCTGAACCAATAAACCAAGTTACAAGAAAGCAAATTCCAACTAAACATCAGGAAGCACTTTCAGATGGTAAGAGCTCTTAAGACAGCAGAACGGACTCCCTCGGAAGGTGGTGGGTTCTCCTTCCTTGGAGGTTTCTAAGCAGAGGTTGGATGGCCATCTGTCATGGATGCTTTAGCTGAGATTGTTGTTGCAGGGGGTTGAACTAGATGACCCTCAGGGTCCCTTCCACCTCTACAGTTCTATGATCTCCACTGACTCTCTTCATTTCTTTCCTCTCTAATTTTCCATCCCTTTGAGATGAGGATAATGCAGGAAACTTGTGTTCTGCCTTAGAACAAATACCATTCATCTGATACTGTGCTATTGTCTCCTAGTCCTTATTGAATGCACTCAAGCATCCTGTTTGCTCTTTTAAACTACTGCTGCATACTGAGCAGTAATCTTCACTGGGCTGTCTTCAGTGGTTCTTGTCTCTCTATCCTCAGATGACCCAGAGAGAGAGAGTGCTAAAGGCTCCACGGCATAATCGTTATATTCTAACAGGTACACGAGAACCGAGAATGGAATTGCTTTCCACCCACAGCTCCAAACCCAATGCGGTGGCACGCTCTCCATTCATTTTAACAGTCGGGAGTTGGAAATGGAAGTGGAGCCCACACAATCACTGCAAACAATGATTCTAGAAGAATTATATAGAAAGGGGTAATGGTATGCAAACAACAATGCACGAGCAGCGAAACACCACAAAGCCATTTACTCTTTGCAGCTTTCAGGTTATTTGAAATTCATATTATTATTTCATTCACACACACACACACACACACACACACACACACACTCTTTCAGAAGGCCATTTGCTTAGTACAACACAGAAAACGCAATTAACATTCAATCACATATCTAAACATCTTAGGGAAGGAGATGCCCACCAACTTAGCATTTTGGATTACAAGTCTCATTCTTCTCAAGTTGATTTCATCATAACAGGAACCTCCCCCCCCCATCTTTCACTTTACCTCATCTAATTATTATTAATTATTTTGCCTCCCTCTTATCAGCTGTTAACAGCGTGAGATGACAGCATTCTACGACAAAAATTGTGTGTGTGTGTGTGTGTGTGTGTGTGTGTAAAGGGACCCCTGTCCATTAACTCCACTCGCGAACGACTCTGGGGTTGCGGCGCTCATCTCGCTTTGCTGGCCAAGGGAGCCGGTGTACAGCTTCTGGGTCATGTGGCCAGCATGACTAAGCCGCTTCTGGTGAACCAGAGCAGCAAACAGAAATGCTGTTTACCTTCCCGCCAGAGCGGTACCTATTTATCTACTTGCACTTTGACGTGCTTTTGAACTGCTAGGTTGGCAGGAGCAGGGACTGAACAACGGGAGCTCACCCCATCGTGGGGATTCGAACTGCCGACCTTCTGATCGGCAAGCCCCAGGCTCTGTGGTTTAGACCACAGTGCCACCCGCCCAATATACACAAATGACTTTCATCTCTAATATAGCCTGCATTTCATGGGGTTGGACTGGATGGGCCTTTGAGTTCCCTTCCAACCCTATGATTCCATTATACATATATCCAGGAAGAAATAACTAGACTTTTTCCTTTATTTGCAATAAAACAGCACTTTTATCTGTAGGAATTAGTAAGATTTGTTTCTGATGTCTGCATATTTACAGTGATGGATCAAGAAGGACAAGAAGCCTAGGTGCTGCGCAATGAGCTTAACAGCAGTAGCGAGCAATTAACAACTGCCTGAAACAATATTGCAGCCCATCATTCCAAAAGCTCAGAGCCACTAGGAAGGCCCTAGGGCTTGGTGTCTTCTTCACTTCCCTGTTTTCTTCTACAGCTATATAATTGTTGACGTGGATGTTTCATATCTATCCGGCAAAATATGAAAATGTCAACTCCTTCGTTTCTCTGGACTATTTCTGAACTGGCAAATAATTTATGGTAATGTTATCAGCATCAACTTACAAGAGATGAAGTTTAAAATTAGCTACTCTCTCAGGTGTTTCAAAACTCTTTCTTTGGTCTTTGGGGAAAATATAATCCCATTCTTTCCAACTATCTGTCTGTCATAAAGTAAAGGTAAAGGGACCCCTGACCATTAGGTCCAGTCGTGACCGACTCTGCGGCACTCATCTCGCTTTATTGGCCGAGGGAGCCGGTGTACAGCTTCCGGGTCATGTGGCCAGCATGACAAAGCTGCTCTGGTGAACCAGAGCAGCACACGGAAACGCCGTTTACCTTCCCGCTGGAGCGGTACCTATTTATCTACTTGCACTTTGATGTGCTTTCAAACTGCTAGGTGGGCAGGAGCTGGGACTGAGCAACAGGAGCTCACCCCGTTGCGGGGATTCGAACCGCCGACCTTCTGATCGGCAAGTCCTAGGCTCTGTGGTTTAACCCACAGCGCCACCCGCGTCCCTCTGTCTGTCATAGAACCACACAATTGTAGTGTTGGAAGGGACTGTGAGAGTCATCTAGTCCAACCCCTTGCAATGCAGGATTTTTTTGCCTAATGTGAGACTTGAACCCACAACCCTGTAATTAAGAGTCTCATGGTCTACCGACTGACCTATCCAGTCTGTCTTCTCTCTCAGTGACATGTATCAGGCACTAACTAAGGAGCAAAGGAGTTTTGGTCAGCCTTCACAGTCAACCAAAATGTATGGTTCCCCTAACTGAGGTGGGGGGGCGCAGAATCTCATACCTGGTGTCACATAGAGCACTATTTTCTGGAATCCCTCTGAAGTCCAGAGTGAGGTCACAGGGGAGCCCACCTGCCCACTTTGACCCAATTAAAAAATGACTGGTGAGCTCATTTGTGGATTGCTAGATATGAAACTAGTCCAGGTGTTTGCTCTTTACTTTATGCATACATATTCAACATGCAAAGTTACTTCATGCCTAGAACTTGACCACGAAAGCATTTAGGTTAGAAAGCCAGCACCTTGCCTTCAGTACCGTTTTACCCCATTGAAACAATACCAAGAAACACTAACCTTAGCAAAGCATTCATACAGGTCTCGCAATACCGATGCCCACATTCTGTCTGCTTTGGATTGCACAAAATGAGGTGGCACTTTTCGCATTTGTATTTGTCCTCCACTGCATTCACAAATTTCTCTTTGTAGCCACCTTGTTCGGGCACGTAAATGGATGGCACTGGGCTGCGGTCGGGATTTGCCTTTTGGACCAGTTCCACTGACACCGGGGGATCTGTTTTCTTGCTTGTGTCCATGTTGCAGTTGATAAATATTACTAAAAGAAAACACATATCCACACATGCATGAAGAGAGAGTCTTGTACCCACACAATTCAGATGAGAAACAGATGCGTATTTCATGCAAACATTTGTCTGAGGTTCCTCCAACATCATGAGCATTGGAACATATTGAGTACACAGAAATATGCAAAAGCACTTCCCATTCCTTCCTTTGAAGAGAAAGTGCACACATGCAGATTCACTACTCAAGAGTTGCAGCAGCAAGTGGTGATTTGCATGCATGGAAAAACAGCTTCAGATAAAATTCCCATATCATCTATCGCCTCAAACACAATGCTTCTCCAATGAGGTTGTTCCAGCATTCAGTTGCAAACGACCAAATGAAAAGTCACCAACTTGTGTCTTTGGTGGGGATCCTGCAGCCCTGATTAGGTCCATCAGACCGCTTACCTGAAGCCACAGTCACCTGCCCTACACCTGACATCAGCTATTATGTTAGGTGTGGTGCAGATAAAGACGCAGCTCCCTGCCGAAAGGAAGGTTTGAAGGCAACTGCAAAGTCATTCCTTTTATTCCAAACTACGCTGGCAAAAGAAACGCATCACCTGACTCAAGGTGATGCAAAGGTATTGACAGGTGGGTGGCCAGGATGCAGCCCACGAACCAGATCCAGTGCCCCCACCCCAACTTACACTGAAGATGTTGGAATTTGATATAGGTGCCTAGTCTGAAAGTAGTAAGAACCGATTAAGCCTGAAATATACTTATTTTATCTAAAATATTTATACACCACCCTTAGAAGCACACTCGTTCAAGGTGGCTTCCCAAAAAAATGCCAATTAACAATACAGGCCCAATAAAATTAAAATAAAATAAAATTAACAGGCCAGCAATTGATATGACTTAGGCCTCAAATATCTGAACAGACAGCTTCTTCCCTACAAACCCTCCTAGGCTGTAAAGTCAACAGAGGGGGTCTTCTGGGTAGTCCCACATCCCTCAGAAGTTTGGGAAGGGTGGCCGTGAAGAGGGAATTCCCTGTGGCAGCCCCTGAGTTGTAGAATTCTCTGTGTCTTCAGAGCCCATCCTATTCCTGTGTCTGTACTGCGTTTCAACCGTATTTATAATTCTGAATTTTAAACTCCTGTCATATGCCCCAGGACCTGCTGGCGAAGGGCAGGTAATAATCAGCAGCAGCATCCCAAAACTACAAAAATATTACCAAAAAAACCCCTAACAATAGCCAAAACCCTAAACTAAAACACCTTTTGTGGAAAGCCAGCGAGGAAAGATGGGTTCTCCGACATTTTCAAAAGGCCTAGAGTGCTGGGTCTGCTGGGGCCCAATTGGCAAGATCCTCAATGAAGCTGGCAAACCTAAAAACTACAAGGAGCAGCCAATATTCTCCTTAAGCTCATTCACAGCCCCAAAGAGTTAGGGTCATTACGAAGACAGCGAAGAACAATAGAAGCAGTAGACTATCTACTCTGTAGCCTCCATTGCCTCTAGCCCAGCACATTCTGTCCGAGAATACGGTGTTAGGGGACTGAAATATAGTAGCTGTCAACATACTACTGCAGAAACATCTGACCTGGTTACCTCTTGTTTATCTCTCTCCCTGGCCTTCCGCTTCTGTCCCAGTTCCACACTTCAGTCAACTCAGAATGCCTTGCTCTTAGATCAAGGTCGGCCAGTTCCTCAGAGGCGATGTAACAAGATCTTCTTACAACTGACAGCTAGAGGGCATAAATTAAATTTCCTGCCATCGCAGCCTTCCCAACAGTCTGCACTGTCACCAGAATGCCTTCCCTCCTGACTCCAGCCTACTAAGCATTCCCGGAGGGTGAAGAAAAATCACATTTCGAGCCGAGAAGGGTAAAAGAACCAATGTACATCTCCACCGCACCTCAATGGCTACAACCTTCTTGGAGCCATTTCTATTCCCTCTGTTTAAATTATTGTGAGCCACTCTTGACGCTGGTCCCTAGACATAACTTAGCATGTCCTTGGTGTTAAGCAATGAACAGTAGCAAACAGTTACACACTGCAAAAAATCAAAGCTTATATTAAAAGCCGTTATAGAATTCCCTTCCCCTCATGCCAAATCCAAGGGTGCACGGCCATTTTGTTTCCCAAGACATTTAATGGTTGCTTACTTATTTTAATCAGGGCTTTGGCTATGTTAACTGCTTCCCAAAGAGGCTGCTGCTGCTGACTTGAATAGCTACTTGTTCTCTTTTATCGCTTCTTTCAATTTTTAAAAAATTAATATTATCGCTTCTTTTTAATCCGTTTGCAAATTCAAAGGAAAAAGAAGAGGGAAGAGAACTTTTTAAAGAAAATTTTAAAATAGTATTGTTATTACTTTTGTGTATTTTCATTTGAAAAAAATTATTAAAAAATCAGTATTTGTGGGTTTTAAAGAAATTACAAAGACTTCACAGAATGTAAAATGTTATGGGAACTTTGAACAGAAAGGCAGGATAGAAACTATGCAAAATAAATAAATATAGCTGATAGATTATGGGAACAAACAGCAAACTCTTCTTTAGAGGGGCAGGTTTTCTACACCAAATGGAAGTACTCACTATCTATCCAGATATACTCTCTTCAAATCCCCTCCTCTCTCATTCTTAAAGGTAAAGGTAAAGGACCCCTGACAGTTAAGTCCAGTCGCAAAAGACTCTGGGGTTACGGCGCTCATCTCGCTTTACTGGCCAAGGGATCCGGCGTTTGTCCGCAGACAGTTTTTCCGGGTCATGTGGCCAGCATGACTAAGCCGCTTCTGGCGAAACCAGAGCAGCCCACGGAAATGCCGTTTACCTTCCCGCCGGAGTGGTACCTATTTATCTACTTGCACGTTGACGTGCTTTCGAACTACTAGGTTGGCAGGAGCTGGGACAGAGCAATGGGAGCTCACCCCATCGCGGGGATTCGAACCGCCAACCTTCCGATCAGCAAGTCCTAGGCTCTGTGGTTTAGACCACAGCGCCACATTTTGCAAATGCTTGTACAGTCAATATACACCCAAACCCATTTCTGGTAATATAAGAATTCCTCAATATCCCATTCATACACAAGCTTCCCATGCTTTGCTTGGGTTGCCTTTCAATAGCTAACCTTGTTTCAGATTAATTTTTTTCATCGAATGTGTTTAAATCAGGACTACTCTGCTAGAGAATTAAAAGCAAATGAAATTGGGTTGTCACACAGTGCTTGGATCAAATAGTGCATCTGCCTCATGCAGAATCACATGCAGAATTCATGTGGCGTTTGAAGTGTGGGTATTTCTGCAGGAAACTGGAGAAAACCCAAGCGCTGGTCACTGAGAAGGCACCTGTGATCCACCGCACATTCAGCTTATGTCACTCTTTGCCTCTGAGGCTCCCGATTCGGCGGTACCTGTTTTATGGCGGGGCAATTTCATTTTAACATTTTAACACAAGTGCACCCCCCAGACAATTGCTCATTTGAGTTGAATCCGATTAATAGTCATATGTTGCCTTAGAGCTAGGCCGCAGAAACAGATCCGATCACAGGGCCGGATCCTTATTTCCTCAAACTCCGACTCTGACAATCCCGACTGACACCTGTCAAAAGTTCAGAGGAGGGGGGGGTTACAGCAACCTCCTTCCGAGATGCTCCCTGCAATTGCCCACTGGCTGATCACAACTTGGAAGTCATTAGAGACAGGGAAAAGCTTATTGAAAAAGGAATATTTTCTCCTCTGCTGAGAAAGCGGTTTGTATTTAATGGACTTCCTCCACTGCCTGGAATACAAACTCCTTCCTCTGGGAAGAAAGAAAAAGATGCTGTTTTCCTTTTCTTTCCAAAGGTTGCAGTTTGTATTCAAAGCTCTGAAGGAAGCACCATGAATGCAAGTCGCTTCCTCCAGCTCACCCCCCCCCCCCCCCGCTATGCTAGGGAGTTTCCAGAGGATTAGAGCAGTTTATCCCAGCTGATTTGGGCAGCTTTGGCTGTGCAGGTCTCTCTTAAAGCTCTGACAGTCAGCAAGGCTCTTCAAAGAGCCTTGCAAAGGGGCGTGCAGACTTTCTGGCCCAGCTATGATTTTACCTGTTCCACACCTGACATCGCATAGAGCATCAGGTGTAAGGCTTGTGGCCATGTCTACCTGGTGGGCCAAATAGGCAGGGCAGGCCAGCAGGCCAAAGGTACCGCACTCCTCTCTTACAAGTTAACAGGCAGTGTATAACTTACATTTCAAAGAAAAGAAAATTATTTATTTCTAGTCCCTTTTTATGGAAGAAAGGAGTATTATTATTTATTAAATTTGTATACCGCCCGATACACGCAGGTCTCAGGGCGGCTCACAGCATAAAACCGCAATATAGAAGCATAAAATACACGATAAAAAATAAAAACAAGAACAACCCAATACAGTCATACCTCATGTTACATTTGCTTCATGTTACGTTCTTTCAGGTTACGTCCTGCGGTGACCCAGAAGTACCAGAAAGGGTTATTTCCGGGCTCCGCTGCTTGTGCATGCGCACAAAATGACATCGCACGCATGCGCAGAAGTGCCAAATTGCAACCTGCGCTTGCGCAGATGCGCCGCTGTGGGTTGCGCTCTTTTCATGTTGTGAACGGGCCTCCAGAATGGATCCCGTTCGCAACCAGAGCTACCACTGTAATTCCTCCATCCTCAGCACATTTTCAAAGGGCATCAGATGTCAATCAACCAGAGGCCTGGTTCAAGAGGAAAGTTTTTGCCAGGCGCCTAAAGTATAATGAAGGTGCCAGGTATGACTTCCTGGGGAGAGCATTCCACAAATGGGGAGCCACTGCACAGAAGGACAGATCGTGAAGCTGAGGCTCCAATACTTTGGCCACCTCATGAGAAGAGAAGACTCCCTGGAAAAGAACCTGATGTTGGGAAAGATGGAGGGCACAAGGAGAAGGGAACGACAGAGGACGAGATGGTTGGGCAGTGTTCTCGAAGCCACCAATGTGAGTTTGACCAAACTGCGGGAGGCAGTGCAAGACAGGAGTGCCTGCCATGCTCTGGTCCATGGGGTCACGAAGAGTCGGACACAACTAAACAACTAAACAACAACAACAACTGCAGAAAAGGCCCATTCTCGTGTTGCTGCCCTCCAGACCTCTCATGCTTAAATAGCTGTGCTGAAATGAAGCTGCCTCATAATCTGCCGTCTCGATGACCTATCCCATATATAGCAGGATATTAGCAGACATGAAGCTCTTTTACAAGAGCATTTTGCAAAACCACACCCAAAGTAAGAATTTCCGTGAAAACTGGATAAAGCATATATATTCAGTTTCCTCTAGTACTCCTCACTACTGCTGCCACCCCTTGGTTTTGCAACATCTACTGGTCTTTTTAAAAAAAAAAATACCCAAAATTTCAAGAAGAACGGTAGATGGGACAAAAGCTGTCCCTCGCCTTCCCATTTTCCACTCCCAACTGCAATCCTTCAAGCTTGCCTTTCATTTTAAAAATAAAATAAAGGAAATTGAGATCAGGAGGAAAGAGATCAGGAACTGTGCATCATGTATGGTTTGGCCCTGAGAAGAGGTGGGCAGGTCAGCAGCTGATTTAGGGACTCATCAGATGAGGTTGTTAAGAATTCACCTGAGCAGATGAGATCACCAAGAGAAATAAGCGTGGGCTTAACAAGTTTCTCCACTCCTGAATAAAGCATAAATTGGGGAAGAGAAGGTGACTAGAGAAGGCGATGAAGAAATGGTTTTACAATTTGAGGAGAATTACAGAGAGCGCAGGATGTCAGGGGCAGAAAGAGGACAGCCATTCAATGTTTAATAGACACGCAGCAATCAAAAGAAGAAACAGAAAAATAGCACAGACACCCCCCCCCCAAAAAAAACCTCCCAAATAGCAGTATTTTGTCATATGGAACTGAACAACTTGATACAAAAAGGAAAGTGGTAAAACACTGCTATTTGCAAGAGTTTTTTGCTGCTATATTTTTTTATAAGTGCCTATTCACAGAGGCTCAGAACCAAATTCAGAAAGAGCAGCCTACGAGGGCTTTCTGTAAGCTTTAGGCAACTTGATTGTCAGCTGGCAAATCATGTTTCCTATCAACTCAAGACATGGCTCCTCAGGGTTCCATTTTACGAAACAGCATATATTGGCTATCGATTTCCAGAAAACAGCCAGAAAAAATGCACCAGTAAGCTATATCTCAGCAGGAAGTAGTGCTGACATACTAAAGACTTTGACAGGAGGCAGAAAAGTAATGCAAGGTGCCCAGGAGGAAGAGAACTTCACCCAGGTGCCACCCTGGATTATTGGCTGCGATGGGGAAAGGGTGAGATTCTCCACAAAATTCAGAACTGACTAAAAATATGAATAAACAATTCAGTATAATTTGAACACTACACTTACAAAAAAATTAATCCAGAAAATGAAAAATTTACACTCATATTGGTCCGTATAGTTAAAGCTATGGTTTTCCCAGTAGTGATATATGGAAGTGAAAGCTGGACCATAAACAAGGCTGATCGCCGAAGAATTGATGCTTTTGAATTATGGTGTTGGAAGAGACTCTTGAGAGTCTCATGGACTGCAAGAAGATCAAACCTATCCATTCTGAAGGAAATCAGCCCTGAGTGCTCACTGGAAGGACAGATCGTGAAGCTGAGGCTCCAATACTTTGGCCACCTCATGAGAAGAGAAGACTCCCTGGAAAAGACCCTGATGTTGGGAAAGATGGAGGGCACAAGGAGAAGGGGACGACAGAGGACGAAATGGTTGGACAGTGTTCTCGAAGCTACCAGCATGAGTTTGACCAAACTGCAGGAGGCAGTGGAAGACAGGAGTGCCTGGCGTGCTCTGGTCCATGGGGTCACGAAGAGTCGGACACAACTAAACGACTAAACAACAACAGTATGCCACTATACCAATATTCTTGTTTCCCTACACAAAATTTATTCATTAAATTTGTATATCACCATTTCTCCCAAAAAGGAGCCCAACAGCTTACCTGTATAATGGCAGACGAAAGGGGCAAGGACATCTACGTTGGAACAGAGAAGAAAAGGCAACAAAAAATGAACTGTGAATCCGTTTCCCAGTTGATACCGTCAAACGTTGACTCCTGTAACTTAAGAGACAGAAGAAAACTCAATTTAAGTCCACATGCAAAATTGAGATTGAATTTAAAATCACAAAAACCTCTGGAAAGTAGGGATAGAAAGACGTTGTGAAATTTGGTTCTCTTAATTTCTCGTTTTTCCAAGCTTAAAAATCCAGTTTCCCACATTTCCATAGCAATCAGCATTTTATTTTTTAAAATCCCCATGAAAACTGCATACACATTTTTAACTAAGGCACGTGTTTTTGCAAGCAATTTCCCCAGAGCTTTACAAGGCAGGCAGGGCGGCAAGGAGCAAAATGTGCCCCCTAACAAATGCGCCTGGGGCCACCAACCCTCTGGCCCTCCCCACACAATGCCACTGCATAGATTTATTGATGGCAAACATCCTAGCATAACTAAGCAGAACATAAAAGGACAATGTCTTGCAAAAACAAAACAAAACCCTGATACTTTTCAATCAGATGCCCAAGCGTACTTTGTACTTGGCAAGCATGAGAACATATTTTTATTGATCACAAGCAGTGCTACTTCCAGCACAGTTACAGATCTAGATCAAGACTGATAGGTTTAGGTGTGTGCTTTATGAATGTCATTTAAGAAAGCAGGTCACAGAACCAATGAATCATGTAGCATTGCAGCTTTGCATATCTGGCTCACATTATCCTTCGTGGAGCCCCATGACGAAGACATGCCCGGGCACCCTGAAACACAACGGCAAAATCGACGCCTCCTACTTATAAAACAGAAGAAGCAGCTACACCTTACGCAGGAAGAACTAAAAGTTCAAAAGTTCTCACTTGTGAATAATATATTCACAATCTCACCTCCCTTTTCCCCCCACGTTCTGTCAGAATTGCTTTTCTGCGAGGGGAAGAATTTGAATTGTCACAAGAAATGCATCTTCCGTGCTCCACTCTAATGTATGTGAGTAAATCGAGATAGCATCAGTGCCAGATTTACATATAAACTAAACAAGCTATAACTTAGGGCCCCACTCTCTTGGGCGGACGCAAAAAACTTAAAGGGGGGAAAACCTGGATGTACATTTCCAAAATATAAGATAAAAAACAAATAAAATAAAACCTACGTACAGCAACAGTATTTTGTGTTGTGTATGCTCCTATGATGTAAGTCATGGGCCCCGCCTGCTAGCCTGCTCCCTAAAATATCACTGCTTTGCTCATTTCTATGTACTGTATAGGATGCCTACATTCTGCATGTGCAAATAGCTTTAGATACCTATTAGGTCCATAAATTACCATATAGTATATATTCAACACAAAAAACAGCAGCAATTTGTTGTTGACAAAGGACAGCTGGACATATAAAGGGCCCCATTACCTTCAGTAGCTTAGGGCCTCATCAAACCTAAATCAGGCCCTGGCTAGCATGCAATGTTGCAAGCCTAATCGAAAGGACATTGTTATGTTTGCGGGTGCATAAACACACCTCTGCTTGCCTGGGTAAGGATCAAGCCTTTGCCAGCTTTCAACTGAAATGCAGGTTTAAAAGCCTAAGCTTTCTCAACAAGTCTTGTTTGAATGCTTTCAAAACAGCTTGGAGGGCGCAAACAAACCACTCTCCACTTTCCCATCTCTTCCTGCTACAAGGTCCCAGAAAACTATCTTTGAGGCAGAGAAGAGATGGGTAGGGCAGGTTAGATAGCAGCAGTCAGCACTCCCCAAAACCCTAGCCAAGTGGCATTTCCTGCAGAAACCCCAACAGAAATGACTTAATAGCATAGGCTTTGCACCAGGGATTCTAAATGACCTTTGGAGGATACTTGCAACAACAAAAAATGCATTTTTTCTAGCGGACAGTGCCAAGAGCAAAACAATACTGTAGGTTTCTGTGTGTGTTCAATGGCTACTTCTGAAAGACACTTAAATCGTGTTACAGGGAGAAACTGGGCTGCCTCCTTGTACTTAGTCCTGCAATAAGTTTCTCTAGTGCTGCAGGTACAGTGGTGACTTTCTAGTAAGTATAAATTGCCCAGCTTGACATCCTTGCCTTCAACATTTTAGGTTATAGTTCATTCCAAGGGATGCAGTAATCTTTCCACCCACCCTTCCCAGCAAGATGCCTTTCAATATTTTGGCTGCAAAGAACAAAGCTTTTCGACTGAAAAGAGTACGTTCTAGTGAGCAAAACATCTGAAATGTTTCAAAGAGAACCTTGATCCCTTCCACTGGTTTAGACTAAACTTGCAGTACTACTATTGAAAAGTGTAGTTTAAAAAAAATATATGTATCAGTGACAGCAGCACAGTAGAGATAGCACACGTTTATTTCAACTTGCTCTGACAAGAAGAGGTATTTATTTCACTTAACTTAGACCTGGAACACCTTTACCATAGTTTTCCTAAATGTGGCCTAGAAGCAGTAAGAGGGCCTGGTGACTGATTGGGTAAACCCTAGACAGAATCATAGAAGGGTCATCTAGTCCAATCCCCTGCTCTGCTGCTGAATGGAAAACTACATTCCCATTCATTGCATATTTCCTTAAAAAAAAACAGGTTTAGGGAGCATATATATCAACTGCTATTTCTACCCGAAGGAGCATATCCACCCCCATCATTCTGCCCGGACACTGAGGTCCAGCGCCGAGGGCCTTCTGGCGGTTCCCTCGCTACGAGAAGCCAAGCTGCAGGGAACCAGGCAGAGGGCCTTCTCGGTAGTGGCACCGGCCCTGTGGAATGTCCCCCCACCAGATGTCAAAGAGATAAACAACTACCAGACTTCTAGAAGACATCTGAAGGCAGCCCTGTTTAGGGAAGCTTTTAATGTTTAATAGACTATTGTATTTTAATATTCTGTTGGAAGAATATTAAACACTCCACAACAAACACTGGAGCCGCCCAGAGTGGCTGGTGAAACCCAGCCAGATGGGCGAGGTATTTGTTGTTGTTGTTGTTGTTGTTGTTGTTATACGCAGGAAAGTGTGCAGAGGAAGGCAACCAAGATGACCAAGGGTCTGGAAACTAAGCCTTATGAGGAACGGTTGAAGGGTATGTTTAGCCTGGAGAGGAGGTGACTGAGAAGAGATATGATGGCCATCTTCAAATAACTTTATGGAAGATGGAGCAGGCTTGTTTTCTCCTGCTCTTGAGGGTAGGACTTGAGGCAATGGCTTCGTTACAAGAAAGAAGATTCCCACGAAGCATTTGGGGGGAAATTACAGGCAGTAAGAGCAGTTTGGAAGCGGAACAGACTGCCCATGAGATGCGGTGGACTCTCCTTCCCTGGAGGTTTTAAAGCAGAGGCTGGGTGGTCATTTATCATGGATGCTTTAGCTGAGATTTGTGCATTGCAGGGGGTTGGACAAGATGACCCATGGGCACCTTCCAACACTATAATTCTATGAAGCCCAACTGAGAGGTATTGTTGCTCTACGAATGCTTCTGCAGAAACGTAAGAACAGCCTGCTGGATCAGGCCAATGGCCCATCTAGTCTAACACCCTGTTCTCACAGTGGTCAACCAGATGCCTGCAGGAAACAAGCGAGCAGAACACGAGCACAAGAGAATTCTCCCCTCCTGTGGTTTCCAGCAACGGGTGTTCAGTAGCATTGTTGCCTCCAACTGGGGTGGTAGAGTATAACCACTGATAGCCCACTCCTCCTCCATGAATTTGTCCAATCCTCTTTTAATGTCATCCCAAGTTGGTGGCCATCACCGTCTCCTGGGGAGCACATTCCATAGTATGACTATGACTATGAGGAGGTACTTTCTTTCAACTCCCCTTAATCTTCTGATGTTCAACTTCATTGGATGTCCACAAGTTCTAATGCTATGAGAAAAACCTTTCTCTATTAAATTTTCTTCATGTCATTATAAGTTTTTATAAACTCTTATCATGTTGCTTCTTACTTGCCTTTTCTTTAAACTAAATAGTCCCAAATGCTGCAACCTTTCTTCATCCTCTTGATTATTCTTGATGGCACTTTTCTAAACCTTTTCCAGCTCTACAATATCCTTGCGGAGGTGAGGTGGCCAGAGCCTACAGCTTGTGTGTTCCACTCTCCTTTTTCATGAATCAGAGCGAGATAGAAAGGTTCTATTTTCAGTTTCAAACAGAACACAGTTCTGGTGACCTCCAAGCTCTGTGAACTGTGGTTTGTTTAAACAAGGCAAGATCTAAATGCAATTTTTACTGACTACGCAGTAAACAAAGTTTGAACAAATGGTGGTTCCCCGACTTCCAAACTCTGTGAATTGTGGTTTGTTTAAACTAGAGTTTAGTGAGAACAAGGCAAGATCTAAATCCCTTTTTACGCCAGTGTGGTGTAGTGGTTAAGAGCGGTAGACTCGTAATCTGGTGAACCGGGTTCGCGTCTCTGCTCCTCCAGATGCAGCTGCTGGGTGACCTTGGGCTAGTCACACTTCTCTGAAGTCTCTCAGCCTCACTCACCTCACAGAGTGTTTGTTGTGGGGGAGGAAGGGAAAGGAGAATGTTAGCCGCTTTGAGACTCCTTCGGGTAGTGATAAAGTGGGATATCAAATCCAAACTCCTCCTCTTCTTCTTCTTCTTCTTCTTCTTCTTCTTCTTCTTTTCACTAAACATAGTTTAAACAAATGATGGTTCCCAGAGCTCAGACACCACAGGCAACTCTGGTTAGTTCAGAAGTAAAGTGGAACATTTCAGTCTTACCAATGAACTCAATGGGACTTACTACTGAGTAGAGCTGTACAGGATTGTGCTGTAAGGGTTGTCAGTCTGAATTTAGAACACCTTTGCATTGTAGCACACATAAACCTATGTGTTGCGGGGATCAACAAGGGCCATGTATTGTAGAACAAACCCATCCATTACAGAAAATAATTTAAATGTCAAGGAACAAATCTAATTGACCTTATGAAATTTGCAAAACCCCTGTTCCAGAAAAGAAGAACGTCTTGTCTAGGGACACAGAGTGACAAATGTAGAAGCCTTTTAAAGGCATATACAAGAGAAGATTGTCCTCTATTGCAGCGTTCTCCAAACATGTGCCCTCAAGAACCACAGCTCTCATCAGCTCCACTCACCATGGCCAAAGCATCTGAAAGGCACCTTGGAAGGCTGCTCTAATACAGCTTTTCTGCCATAACTTCAAAAACTATCTTTCTATGCATTACATGATTCTTTATTTCAAACTCACATGGAGGTTATTATAAAAGAGAAGAGTTTCACATAGCACGTTATCGTAGGGGTGGGGTGGGGGAAAGAGCCCTAATTTGCACCTCTGAATGAATTATATAGTTGAATTAATTAATCAATCTATCTTGAAATCTGCATTTCACAGTATATTTCACACTTATCAACTAGCAAAATATTAATCAAAAAGGGAATTTCGTATGAAGGAGTTGTCCCGGCTATTGCTCCTCTCTGTAAGTCCCTGTTCACTCTTGGCTCTCAATTTCCATCCCTTCCAAACAATCAAGTATGGCGGTTTCTGCACCTCTTCTTAACATGAAGCGAGTTGGTTGCTAGACATGAGAATAGATTTGAGGTGAAGCTGCAGAGCAGCAGCACCCCAGCTATGGAATGCCCTCCCCTCAAAGATATGGGTTGCAACAGTGTTAGCTGACACTGGAATGTAAGCAAAGAGCTGAAGTCTTTGCAGGGGGTTAATGCAATGCAGCCAGCTGTAAACCAATAAAACGCCTGTAGTATTACTCACGGTGTTTACAAAATCTGATGTTTTAACTTTTACATTGCAATGCTCTTTGTGGTTGTAATCCTTTGTGTAGGTTCCATGATGCAACCCACTGTAGGATTGTGTATCAATGAACAGTGGACTAGAAATTGAATTATTAAAATTATTTGCTCCTGATGGCACCAAGGCAGCTATGGCTCCTTTAAGAAGGAGAACACCACGTTCCTCTATGTACTGGGTGTGTGTGTGTGACCTTTTAGAGGCTCTCTGCCAGATGGAAGGATATGATCTATTATCTCCTACCTCTCAGTTTTCCCAATGGTACCTCTTCACACATCCAAAAAAAAAGAGAAATAGCAGATTTCGTGAAGTCTTTTGTCTGCTGACTATGTCACCTTTTAAGATGTACCCAAATTTTGCAGAACTGCTCCTGTGATCAAGGAACAGGTTTTCATTTATGAACACCACTGGGCACCATTTTGAACCAAGATGGCAGACTTTTCAAAACTGCACTGGTTTTTTGGTGTCTCAGAATTCCCGAGCAATGCCAGGTACAAGGCTGCTAGTAGTTCATGTGAAGAACAGCAAGGAGTGGACAGGTAGGATATTTCAAGAAAACCCAATGGAATTGGGTGGCAAATCCACCAACACACGCCCTTCTCTTTCCTACCTGCCCCCAACCTACACAAGCTGTGCCAGGGAACAAGGCTCTAGACAGGACAGTGGCTCCACAACAAATCTCCCCTACTCAGGAAGGTCAGATTGCTCTGACCATGTCACAAAGTCAGAAAACTTAAGTTTTATTTATAGAAATCCTTTGCCATCTTCAGATCCAGAAGTCGCTGTTGGCAAACACTAATGGGATAATGGAATCAGTTGCCAACTGGTTTTTGAAGCCAAGGAACTTTAAAATAAAATGCATTAATAGCCGTTTGGCATTGAATAAGTTTTTTTTAAAAAAAAAAAAAAGAAAGAAATTAAGACATGAAGCCCTACGTAAGCTGCTCTTGCAATATAGTTAGCATCAGTGGAGGGTCCACAGGGATTTCTACTGACAGCGATTTGTCTGGTGGTATTACAAGAAGCTGTACAAGGACGCTAAAGATATTTGGGATGCATATAAGTAGCAGCTTCTAACTGGGAAGCTGCCAGATCAAAAGGTACCCAGAGGACACCCGCCATTTTTTATCCTGCAAGTCATTACAGCATAGCAGAGGCTATGGAAATAGATGGTAATAAATGCACTGCCTCAGCAGCTACGTCTATTTTAGCTGGTGGTAATCAGGATTTCTTCAAATAACCAAGATTAATTTTTTTGTATAAGCGAATAAGCAAGGAGGCTGGGTTGGAGATCCAAAACTGGTTAGCCCCAGTTCCATTGCTTGAGAAGTAATCCAGCTTCACCCCCCCCCCATTGCCTAATGATCCAACATTATCAGGTAACCACCTCCTCCTTTCCCTGAACCTGCTCTTCAAATCTTAAGAAACGTGTGTGAAGCAATTATTCCCTCGGTAAAACGTTAACAGGCTGAATCTCGCAGAAAATCTGCGGGGCTATTTCACCCATACAAATCAGCAATTTCTGTTAACGTTTCCATAATTACTAAATGAGACAGTGTTAAAAGACAAGTTAATTGGCAAAGGAGGTGTAGCTGTCGTGAAATAAATTATATTAATATACTTCCTGTGTGGATTTCCTTGATACCGTCATGGAGCAAGGGTGGGCAAGCTGTGGCCTTCGGCCTAATTTAGCGCACGTGTGGGTGACTAGAGGAAGAGACGGGGGACAAGAGGAGAACAAAATGTGGGAGAGGGCGGAACAAATGGTGCAATGGAAGGGGGAACTCCTTGGTAAGAAATCAGAGGGCAAACTTCTGCAAGAGAGACTTGTATGTCCCTTGGCAGCCCACTCAGTGAGGAGATAAGGAGAGAAAAGTGTCTGGTACGCAGAGAGAGATAAATGGGTGGTAGTAAGTTGCTCCCCAACAGATTATCCTAAATCAATTTATTATTACAGTGGTACCTCGGGTTAAGAACTTAATTCGGTCTGGAGGTCCATTCTTAACCTGAAACTGTTCTTAACCTGAGGTACCACTTTAGCTAATGGGGCCCCCCGCTGCAGTGCGATTTCTGTTCTCATCCTGAGGTAAAGTTCTTAACCCGAGGTACTACTTCTGGGTTAGCGGAGTCTGTAACCTGAAGCGTCTGTAACCCGAGGTACCACTGTACTATTAATTAAATTTGTATACCGCCCTATGCCCATAGATCCCAGGGCAGTGGACAACACAGAATGTGGCCCTCAATAGGGGGTGGCGGAGATTCCCCAACCCTGACATAAAGAGGTTGCTGTTTTCCCCAAAGGTTTTTGAGGGAGGAATCAGATTTCTAAATCCAAAATAAATAAAACATGCTATGCTTTCGAAAACATTTCAAGATGCCCCGTGTACAAATCCTGCTAGAGGCACAGTCTCCACCAGAAGCTGTCGCAGTCAGAGAAGGATAACACAATGGAGAACCCTCCTTCGATACACTTTGACATTGCCTCCATTTAGACTCAAGATTAAAGAGTGATCTCAGCACCACCACCCAAAATATGAGCTCCAGAGAGTTGGAGGACCCTCCAGAACCAGGTGTGGAGGGTTGTAGGAGAAAGGCGAGTCAGTAAAACTCACTTTTCCCCTTCCTCTTCCTGAGCACAAGGCTGTATACTGTCCAATGAAGTACAAGCGTCCCCCCACGTACGCACGTGTGAACGGCCGTATAAATGCACAGTGCCAGGAATAAATAATTCAATTCAAACTTGGAAATGCTGGGGGAGAGAGGGAGAGTCCTTGTGGCTTGCAAGGAGAACCTCCCTGGAACCCAAAGAGGGTGTTGATGAGGGCAGAGGGATCCCCAAAGAGATCAGAGATGCAGTGGCACTTTGTTGAGGCTGCTCAGCCTCCCCGGCGATCAGCTGGTGTGTGGGGTTGCGCAGCAGCCGCTTCTCACACATCTTCCAGCTAGACCCAGAGCTTCAATTCTAACTGTGGATATTTTAGATACGGTGTTTTTGTTTGGGATTGGTGAGAGAGCACCAGGGAGGGCATTTGAAGGGCGCTCCCCACTTTACGCGATTTCACTTACACACGCAGGGGCCCAGGGCATAACCCCGGCGTAAGTGGGGGGAGGGGGACACCTGTATATAATGCAAAAGTGCACACAAAATAAAAATCAAAGGCAGAAATCCCAGGCATTAGGAACATCTTTATTAATATGCCTAAGGAACATCTTTATTAATCTGCCTAAACACAATCTTCCCAAGGTACTGTTTGCAAGTCATGGCTTCGCATTTCCTAGCACAATTAACATAAACTGCACCCAAGTATTTTAAGTTCCATTCGCACCATTCACATCCATGTGGCCAATTCAGTTTAAATTCAGAATTCTGACCAACTCAAGTTGCGAAATGTGTTTGAAAGGTAAGTGATGGGGAAAACAAGCAACAGGTAAAATATGGATTTGCAGTTGCTATATCCCTCCATTTTATAGCTATAGTTCAGAGGTCAGCAAACTTTTTCAGCAAGGGGCCAGTCCACTGTCCCTCAAACCTTGTGGGGGGCCGGACTATATTTGGGGGGGACGGAATGAACGAATTCCTATGCCCCACAAATAACCCAGAGATGCAGTTTAAATAAAAGGGCACATTCTACTCGTGTAAAAACACGCTGATTCCCGGACTGTCCGTGGGCCAGATTTAGAAGGCGATTGGGCCGGATCCGGCCCCCGGGCCTTAGTTTGCCTACCCATGCTATAGTTCCTATCAATAATATCCCAAATCCCAAATCAAGAGGAGCAGAACTACCTGTAGCGTGAAAATGGTTTGCATTAGTTGGAATCATCTGCAGCTAAGAGAACAAATCTTACCTTAATCCAATAAATGGCCTGAAAAGAAAGCATTACTGTTTAACAGAACCGTTCTGGTACAAAATCTGGCGAAGGCCCATACGCTGAATTTAAGTCCAGTGCACTGAAATAGACCCAGAGAGATACACATGTGCAGCCCCTGATATGCAGTAACAAAACTCAACAGAAAAAAGCGTATTTCTAGTTTCTTGCCTAACAGTCAAGCCTCAAAAATTCCCCTGCACATAACGCAAGGCGCTACCTTTCTGACGCATGAACTGCACACCTGCCTGCCCCTCCTTTGCAAGTGGGAAGGGGCAGGCAGAGGAGTAGAGAAATGTTACCATAGACTTGCACTTTTCACTGTCTAATACTAGCTCACACCAATTACTGCATTGCAGTCTTCCTTGATGGGTATACAATCAAGTCAGCATGGGAAAGAGCTTTAGGAACACAAGTATACAGTAAACTGCTTTTGCAGGAGCCATATAATTAAGCAGATTACCTTCAAGGCATTGCAAATTGAGTCAGGACAGAGGTTACCAAAGTAGGGTGGAATCTCCATGGCCTGGTCTCTCTCTATTCCTTCCTCCAAGCCTCTTTTTGCTGCTCCAGGAAGTGTTTCATCACTGAATTGTTCATGGAATACCTATTTCGCATGACCAAAGCAGAATTTGCGAAGAGGAAAAACCAGATTTTTATCGCTACTTAGCTCCAAGCAGATTTTCTTTCTTTCTTTTCACTCTAACACGTTTCTCTCTCTCGCACAAAATAGTGCTATATAAGACATTCGTCAGCAAACAAAGAATTTGACCCGGTATTCCATGTTGCCGCAAAGCAAAAGGTCCATTATCTGGTATTGGCCAATACTTTTAAAACAGGGGTAGTTATGACAATGTTCAGCTTTGCGAACGCAGCGACACCCACCACTGTGTTAATGAAATATGGAACACAGCAAAATGTGGAGGTAACCACTTTGAGATCAGCCCGGGCTGAATCAATTTTTAAGACGACTCCACTGAACACAGCAGAACCACCAATTCTGAATTGCATCGCACTGCTTTTCCATTACTGGCACATTCATTTTGCCATAGGAAACATGGGAAGGTACCTTATTCCAAATCCAGCGACTAGCTCAGTAAAGCCTGAGGGCTAGTGTGGTGTAGTGGTTAAGAGCGGTAGTCTCGTAATCTGGGGAACCGGGTTCGATTCCCTGCTCCTCCACATGCGGCTGCTGGGTGACCTTGGGCCAGTCACACTTCTCTGAAGTCTCTCAGCCCCACTCACCTCACAGAGTGTTTGTTGTGGGGGAGAAAGGGAAAGATTGTTAGCTGCTTTGAGACTCCTTAGAGTAGTGATAAAGCGGGATATCAAATCCAAACTCCTCTTCTTCTACAGCACAGTGACTGGCAACAGGATTTCGGGCAAGGGATATTCCCAGCCCTACCTAGAAGATGCCAGGGATTGAACCCGAACCTTCTGCATGCAAAGCAAATGGCCTACACCAAGCGGTGGCGCTTCCCTTCCATATTACGTCCACATCTGCAAAACAGGAACTTCGTGCACATGCTTCTTGAACCCAGAAGCGTTTTGACAGCACTGTTCACGTGCCACAATCCGAGGTGGATGATCCCTACCACAATGTGCCCGAAAATCATTTGCAGAGCAGATCATCTGAATTGCTATTGCTTTGCCGAGAGGTAAGGAGGATTTCACCACATTGAAGGCAGGCGTCCATCAGAATTCCCAGGCGTACATCTGTAGAAGCACAAAGCTCATTACCGTTTACTTCCAGCAGAGCATGTACTATGCTGCCAACTAGTGCCCAGATCAACACAACACACTACAGTGTAGAGACTAATATGTCATTTTCAGTTTCTCATTTTTCCAGCCTTAAATTTGGTTTGCACACCACTCTGAAGGTCCTCATGAAAATTCGCTTGCATTTTATTGCATGTTCCTCCTATGCATTTTTGCAAGCATTCCAAATAATGTTTTTTGTTATTTGTTATTTTCACTTACACATGTGCTAATACATGCATACTTTCCCCTAATATGTGCATTCTTTGTATGTCCCTTTTGGTTGGAGGCATCACAAAATTTGAACCTATTGTATACGCTGAATTCATGCCCAATTTTAGCAGGGGCAGGAGATTCTGTGGTCAACCAGGGGAGACGGCTGCAAGTACATAGCTGCCTGCTAGCACCGTGTTGGCACTCCTGAACTATAAGGGCAATGAAGAGAAATCCAGCAAAGAACTCCCATTATCCAGAGCCACCCTAGCCAATGGTTATGCATTATGGAAATCGTAGTCCAAAAATATTTGGGAGCCCAAGACTGAGAAAGACTGCTCTTGGCAAATGCTGAATGCCACCTTAACAGTTTAACCCAGAGCTTTCCAAATTGTGTGTCACAACATGTTCGTGTGTCAGCTGCAGTGTGTAGGTGTGTCGTGCGAACGCTCCCCGCGCTCTTCCCGGGGCGGGAGAGGGGGGTCTGTGTTTAACCTCTGGTTTGCTAGTAAAAGTGAATTACTGTGTCGCGAAATGATGCATGTCTTTAAAAGTGTGTCACCAACATGAAAAGCTCTGGTTTAACCTGTTGAAAAACTACACCAACACTTTTTACAGCCAAATAAAACTCTTCATATTAGCAAGCAAAACCCCGCTCTAAAAATAAAAACAGAAATAAATGTTTTGTCTGTGGCAAGCAAACAAAGGAGACATTATCAAAATGTCCAAACAGGAGCCTTTGAGCACCTCCTGGCGCAACCAGATGAAACGTGATGCATTTGCTGAATACTTGAAGCCATATAGGGCCTACAGTGATAATGGGGGATGAGATCCGACAGCCTGGGGCAACTCTGATTCCAAATGAGAAACCCTCAGCAAGCTTCATTCACCGGGACATAGTTAACCTCGTAGGAACATTTTTAATTAGCAGCCAGATGGAATAGTTTATACTACAGTTCTCTCACCAATCACATATTCCACAAAGTTGCTTGGCGAAAAAGAAAAAAGGTGGTTGTTTAAATATATATACATATATATATGTGTGTACCTTTTATTCAAGTATTTACTGGCCAAATTCCAGGCCCTCGCCCTCACATGGGACCATGCACAACAGAATAAGATGAATTTTATACTTTAAAATGATCCGATTTTAGCACAGCCCGAAGTTTAAGAGAGCAGTTTTTAAGACAGAGCTAGGCTCTCTAACAGGGGTGGCTAATCTCTCCACACACACACACACACCACCTCCCAGCCAAAAGCAAACCTTGGTGACATCTGGTTTGCTGAGTTAGACGACTTGGTAGAGCATGAGATTCTTTATTTCAAGGTCATGGGTTTGAGCCCCATGTCTGGCAAATATTCCAGAACTGAATGGGCTTGGACTAGGTACCTCTCTTTTAAATCAGAACCAGTGAAGGCAGTGAAGGTCCTGTTTGAGTGCCTGGAGGCAGTTGGAGGATGGATGGCGGCTAACAGATTGGAGTTGAAACCTTACAAGACAGAAGTACCTTTTTTGAGGGACAGGGGCGGGCAGGTGTGGGGAACTCCCTGGTCCTGAATGGGGTAACTGTGCCCCTGAAGGACCAGGTACACAGCCTGGGAGTCATTTTGGACTCACAGCTGTCCATGGAGGTACATGTCATTTCTGTGTCCAGGGCAGCTGTCTACCAGCTCCATCTGGTATGCAGGCTGAGACCCTACTTGCCCGCGGACTGTCTCGCCAGAGTGGTGCATGCTCTGGTTATCTCCCGCTTGGACTACTGCAATGCGCTCTACGTGAGGCTACCTTTGAAGGTGACCCAGAAACTACATCTAATCCAGAATACGGCAGCTAGACTGGTGACTGGGAGCGGTTGCTGAGACCACATAACATCAGTCTTGAAAGACTCCTAGTACATTTCCAAGCACAATTCAAAGTGTTGGTGCTGGCCTTTAAAGCCGTAAATGGCCTCAGCCCAGTATACCTGAAGGAGCGTCTCCACCCCCATCGTTCAGCCCACACATTGAGGTCCAGCTCCGAGGGCCTTCTGGCAGTTCCCTCACTGCGAGAAGCGAAGTTACAGGGAACCAGGTAGAGGGCCTTCTTGGTAGTGGCGCCCGCCCTGTGGAACGCTCTCCCACCAGATGTCAAAGAGAACAACAACTACCAGACTTTTAGAAGACATCTGAAGGCAGCCCTGTTTAGGGGAGTTTTTAATGTCTGATGTTTTATTGTATTTTAATATTTTGTTGGAAGCCGCCCAGAGTGGCTGGGGGAACCCAGCCAGATGGGTGGTGTATTAGTAGTAGTATTACAAGCCCGGGTTCCAATGTAAACACTAGGCCAAACAATGGCTTAGCTCCCAGAAGCGTGGCATCAGCAGCAAGGGAAAGGAGCAAAGCAGCCACAATTTTTCCCAGCATGCTTCCTTGTTTGACCTGGTTTGCACGTAACACTAAGCCAATGCCATGCTTTACATGGAGACAGCAGGCAAGGAAGTCGGGAATTCAACATGGACCTCATCATTTGGCAGGGAGTAGCAATGTGCCATTTGTAACATCCAGCTCTGCCTTTTAAGACACTTAGAAGTCTTACAGACTTGGAAATTCTGCCGCAGCCCTAACTCCATTCTTCCTGCCTTCCAGAAGGGCCATGGCTCAGTGGTAACAATATGTGCTTGGTTCAATCCTCAATACCTCAAGGTAAGGGTGGGTTAGACCCCGTCTGAATCCTTGGAGGGCTGCAACCAGTCAGAAGCACTGAGCTATACAGTGGTACCTCGGGTTATAAATACCTTGGGTTACAGACTCCGCTAACCCGGAAGTAGCACCTCAGGTTAAGAACTTTACCTCAGGATGAGAACAGAAATCGTACTGCGGCAGCAGCAGGAGGCCCCATTAGCTAAAGTGGTACCTCAGGTTAAGAACGGTTTCAGATTAAGAACGGACCTCATCATCATCATCATCATTTTTTAATTTGTATAACGTCTTTCTATCTTACAATACTCAAGGCGGTTTACAAGCTGAAGAAACAAAAAATGTACATCCTATAACAATCTGATGCAATACAAAAATGTGATAATAAAACTTTAAAATAGGCAACCTACATCAAAAAAGCAACATTCAACCATCATTAGAATAGTATTAAATAATAACAACATATAAAAATTAAACAGAAATCCACTCAACAGTTACAATAAATAATTTCTAAACTATAATCAATAAAACAACAGCAAGCCACAGTACATAAAATAATGCAATTCAAATTGAGAAGCAGAGACTAGAGGGTGGGGCAAGGCAGGTGGAATTAAGTTTGTAACCAGAGTTACCACTGTATAGGCCATTCAGCTCCACAAATATAGTAAACTGGGCTTCTTGTTAAATACACGTCATTCTCTTTTCATAAGACTGCACTACTGGAAGAGTAAAGTAGCGCTCAGCTGCTACAAAAGAAAGGTAGTTTGCCCGCGCTGAGGTTCCCCGATTGCCATAACATAAACAAACAATGGGCTTGAAAAGGTACTAGGACCTTCCACCTGCACTAGAAGAGGCTATCTATTACTGCAGAGTGGCAAAGCATGATGCAAGGCCCCACTCCACGTTTCCGAGTGATAAATACATTATGTACTACTGCTGGAGAACTTGGTCCTGTTTCTATTGGAAATTTAAACACCCAGGGGTTTCCTGCTGGGAGACGAACCCGCAAAGCTCGCTTTAACTGCCTGCTATTAATATGCACAAGCTATAAAGCAAGCCTCAAAGGCAGACAATAAATAGAAATTTGGGCATACGCCGCATCTTTCCAAAGTGTGTACACAAATATTGAGACTACATTCCCTATAAACATTTCTCTCTTCTGACTGCTACTACCTACACGGGTCGAATCCAATGAAACGTAGGGGAAAATATTTGGCTCCAATACCGAAGCGTCTACCGACAATTGACAGCATAGTTTTGAGCTACACATCTGATTTATTATAGAACCATAGAATTGTAGTGTTGGAAAGGGTGCTTAGGGTCATCAAGTCCAACCCCCTGAAATGAAGTAATCTCAACTAAAGCATCCATGGCAGACGGCCATCCAACCTCTGCTTTAAAATCTCCAGTGAAGGAGAGTCCATTCCACTGTCAATTATATGGAGCTTACGCAAATATTACGTTTAGACATAGATATACAGGAAGCCCAAAGGTGGTGTCAACAGATGGATCTAGTAGGCAAGCAGATACAATTCTACTTTGCTTCCTGATCATCGCTTGTGGTTAGCCTGTGGTCATCCAAACTGAGCGAAAGAAGCTCTTGCAGGAACGTTGAACAATCTGGGCTCTACATTTTGCCAGGACTCTGAATCCGATAAACATTCAGGCTGTCACTTTTTTTCCTCCTTGGCAATCATTAAGTATTTTCATTTTAATAATGGGATAAACTTTACGCAGAATTTTTTAAAATAATACAAATAAAAATAAAATTTTATTTATATCCCGCCCTCCCCAGCCGAAGCCGGGCTCAGAGTTATAAAAACATTGCAGCAATTAGTCATTCTGAAATATTTATTAGAACACATTCTGGCCTCCTGCTACAGAATGCAAACTGATTTTATTTTATTTTTAATTTATAAACTTATAAATGAAATTCTGGCTCCATCATGACCATGTGAGCTGACATACACAGGTACTGATGGGTCCCCAGAGCCTGAAGCCCTGGAGAGCCACTGCCAAAAAGTGTGGACAATACTAATGGGTCCAATTCAATGTACCTAAGAGACTCCCATTATTTTCTTCCCTTGCAGCTATAAAAACTGAGTGTTAGTCACTTAGCAGCAGCCAGCTACAGTTATTCAATATTGTTTTGATATCCTTTGCTTGATCGTAGTGGAGACCTACCAAGAATGTGCATCCTTACTTGCTTCAAGGCCCTCCATCAAACTTCAACAATCTAGATATGGAGCCAACACTGAAAAGGCTCTATCTGTGGGGCTCGTCCAATGGATGGGTGAGTTGGGCTCCGTCTTTATTAGTTTTATACAAACCTTAAAAGCTTATTTCAATTTTTTTTATTATGAACTCTGTGAGCAGGATGCTTACAGTTTTTAAAGTGCTGCTATTTTCAGCTTTATCTTTGGTGGAAAAATTAAACAACTGTTTCTATAAAACATAAATTGCTTATTTTAATTGTTTTAAGTAAGGGAGGGCTTGGTGGCATATAGATATTGGATGTAAGTATTTCGTAGGGAGAGAAATCAACTGTCCCACATAATCACCACCACCATCTAGACCTCCGTAAACAGAAAAGGCTTAAGATTTCCCTACAATAGTTGTTTAACTTACACACTTGAGTATCTATTGAAACAATGTGATTGCTGGTGGGGTTTCAGCATTCCTTTAGAGGAATTATAATCTGGATTGCCAATTTGCGTTGTTAATTGCATTATCGTAAAAGATACTATCTTATTCCCAATTTTTTGCAAGGAAACTCAAGGCGGCCAACTAATCATTAACACACTGTGTGTGTGTGTGTGTGTGTGTGTGTGTGTGTGTTTAATCCCCAAACTGAAGCTAAGTACATAATCAAAAATAATGACAACAAACTCAGAACAAATAGAACAATTCCAGGACAGCCATCAAAGCATCACAAAATGTAAGCCGGGACAGGCATAAATATCCACCTGCAAGTGTTTCTGCTTGGCAGGCGATTCCACAGAGCGGACTCCACAGCAGAGAAAGACCCAAACATGGCTGATACCAACCTAATCTCAGAAGACGTCAGAGAAAGTAGGCAGGAGCATATCGCTCGCCTCTTGCTGAATTGCACATCCTCTTCCGTTCCTTTTAACAGATTAAAATGGAAAGCTACCAGCAAACTATTCAGTCACTTGCTCGATTTGAAGGTTCTGGAGCAGATGCACGTCGCACAGATGGAGCTTACAAAACGCTTCAAGGGGGCTTCTTCCCAGCCTTGCATTTGGTTCATGCATTCAAGTGACTTAGCTCTTCAAAGGCTCGCCTGCGTTAAGTGTTACAGCGATTCTATCCCATTTGGATATTGGTACCTCTTGTTTCTAGATTTCCATAAACTGGTGCTTTCCTTTCTTCTTACGTGTATCTGTGTCAACCTTGAGGGACCGTAAATGCTAATTGTATCTGAAAACTTCCTGCTTGATTTCCACCCCCCATCCCAACCACCAGAAACACTAATTCCTCATTAGGCATGAATTCCTAATTAGGCGCTATTATATATTTAGGAAGGTGATGAATGTCAAGGTATAAACTCCTTCAGCTCATGCTTCAGAACACATATTTGTCCTCAGGTGCAAGTTAAGTGAATCGTCAAGAGGTTCTTCAGAACGAACAAGAAGATTTCAGTTCAGAGACTACAGTGCTCGCTGGTACTCCAGGCTTGAAAAACACCTTCATTATCTTCTCCACGCTGTGGATCTCTCAGCAGCAAGGAATCAGGGATCAAGCTTCAAGAACGGTGAAGACTGTAATGAAGTTTGTTCACTCTTGTAGCAAAAAGCATTAACACAAAGAATTTCTTCACCCACCACTCTGGTGTTAAAGCAACAACTGATGCAGAGCACACCACCTCTGGGACAGTGCCTTTAGGACACAGGTGGAGGAAAAATGTGGTTCTCCATGCCTTGTGGACAATTCTCATTATCCTTGGCCACTGACCATGTCACCTTGGGCTGATGGGCAGTGTTCGAAATTAGCAAGGCGCCAGGAGCATTTTGCACCTGGCTTTTGACCACTTGCGACCAGGTGAAGATGCCTGGACGCCAGGATGGCGCCTGACATCTCCTCCATCTGGAGGTGCATGCCTGGGAAACCTTGGATCTGGACTGTTTTCACAGAATTCTACCTGTTATATTTCATCTGCACAATTGGAATGAATTTCTGGAACCAAAATGATTTTTTCTGAGCAGGAGCAGTCACACGTAAGAAAAAGAAGTCAGAATAAGCCAGAATATTCGTGGACTGTCCCCGGATCAAGGGGCTTTTCTTATTTAAGTTCTCAAAGCTCTTAACTTAGCTGAAGGTGGTCATCTGAACTAGTCAGATGTTTAACTGATATTTATTTGAAGGAAAAAAAAAGACTTAAGAGCCATCTTGCCCTAAAATGGCAACTAGACATTCCATTTTGGCATCTCTAACCTTGGTTTAGTACACCCCAAGTAATGTGGTTGCTGACCTTGAGCCAGACATCCTGGAGAGTGAAGTCAAATGGGCCTTAGAAAGCACTGCTAATAACAAGGCCAGTGGGAGTGATGGTATTCCAGCTGAACTATTTAAAATTCTAAAAGATGATGCTGTTGAGGTGCTACACTCAATATGCCAGCAAGTTTGGAAAACTCATCAGTGGCCAAAGGATTAGAGAAGATCAGTCTATATCCCAATCCCAAAGAAGGGCAGTGCCAAAGAATGCTCCAACTACCGCACAATTGTGCTCATTTCATACGCTAGCAAGGTTATGCTTAAATTTCTACAAGACAGGCTTAAGCTGTATGTGGACCGAGAAATCCCAGAAGTGCAAGCTGGATTTCGAAGGGGCAGAGGAACCAGAGACCAAATTGCAAACATGCGCTGGATTATGGAGAAAGCTAGAGAGTTACAGAAAAACATCTACTTCTGCTTCATTGACTATGCAAAAGCATTTGACTGTGTCGACCGCAGCAAACTATGGCAAGTTCTTAAAGGAATGGGAGTGCCTGATCACCTCATTTGTCTCCTGAAAAATCTGTATGTGGGACAAGAAGCTACAGTTAGAACTGGATATGGAATAACTGATTGGTTCAAAATTGGGAAAGGAGTACAACAAAGCTGTATATTGTCTCCCTGCTTATTTAACTTATATGCAGAATTCATCATGCGAAAGGCTGGACTGGATGAATCCCAAACCGGAATTAAGATTACCGGAAGAAATATCAACAACCTCAGATATGCAGATGACACAACCTTGATGGCAGAAAATGAGAAGGAATTAAAGAACCTTTTAATGAGGAGAGCAAAATATGGTCTGAAGCTCAACATTAAAAAAACGAAGATCATGGCCACTGGTCCCATCACCTCCTGGCAAACAGAAGGGGAAGAAATGGAGGCAGTGAGAGATTTTACTTTCTTGGGTTCCATGATCACTGCAGATGGTGACAGCAGTCACGAAATTAAAAAATGCCTGCTTCTTGGGAGAAAAGCAATGACAAACCTAGACAGCATCTTAAAAAGCAGAGACATCACCTTGCCAACAAAGGTCCGTATAGTTAAAGCTATGGTTTTCCAAGTAGTGATGTATGGAAGTGAGAGCTGGACCATAAAGAAGGCTGATCGCCGAAGAACTGATGCTTTTGAATTATGGTGCTGAAGGAGACTCTTGAGAGTCCCACGGACTGCAAGAAGATCAAACCTATCCATTCTGAAGGAAATCAGCCCTGAGTGCTCACTGGAAGGACAGATCCTGAAGCTGAGGCTCCAATACTTTGGCCACCTCATGAGAAGAGAAGACTCCCTGGAAAAGACTCTGGTGTTGGGAAAGATGGAGGGCACAAGGAGAAGGGGACGACAGAGGACGAGATGGTTGGACAGTGTTCTCGAAGCTACAAAAATGAGTTTGACCAAACAGCGGGAGGCAGTGCAAGACAGGAGTGCCTTGCGTGCTCTGGTCCTTGGGGTCACAAAGAGTCGGACACGACTAAACAACAAAACATAAACCTTGGTTTAAGGTGCCATTTTGGTACCTAGCTTATATATCTGGGTTTATAACACTGCTTATGGGAGTTGGAGTCAATCTGCATCTGGAGAGCCACCAGTTCCTCACCCCTGAAGCTAGTTGTTCAGAAACACACACACACACCTGCAATTTACATTACGGTGGCGGGACTCCAATTAAAGCAAATGGGAGCTTTTTTCCTCATACAAGTTGCAGGTGTTGGAGCTTGATTTGGACCAAGGCTCTGGTATGAGCAGGGGAGGGTGGATTAAAGCCACTCTACCTCCGCCCACCATGGTTCCAATCCAGATCAGGGACTCGCTGTGTCTGCAGTTTTCAGGTCTGTTTGTTCCTCTTCTGCAATGTGATGAACAATCCGGGGCGGAAGAAGAGGGTGGGACCGAGGAAGAGAGGCCACATGGGCTGAACAAGAACTCTCTAAAAGCACCACCTTAAAGATATAACATATTTATTGAGAAATGCTCTTCTTGGTTCCTGCGAGAGCCAGTTCTGCAAAGTTTAGGGTAGTTCTGCAAAGTTTAGGGTTATTTTCCAAGAATTTTGTTGTTGTTGTTGCAAAGCTCAATGGTGAAAATGTATGTTTGAGGAGCGCGCTCCCTCCCTCCCTCCCTCCCAACACCGAATTGTCACTGGAGAGTAGAAGCAAGAAAAGCAACTGAACCACTTAATCGAAATCACAGTATGTAAGAGTTTAAGAGGCCGATAGGAAGAAGCACCCTCTGGACTGGTCATTGATCTGGTGCAATTGCAGGGCATTTAAGCACCACCACATCCTTAACTTTCCTTTAAAAAGGGGGGGAAAGAAAAACTCTCATGGTACCTGCTGATTTGCTTACAGACCACAGCCTCTCTAGACTGCAGGAAAAGGTGTCTTCTTAAAAGAACCGGCTGAAGATGTTTGGCTGATCAGCTGCCCCCAATGATGTCAAGGAAACATCATTCACAAGCACATAAGCTTTGGAAAGCTATGCCCAAGTTAGGCAAATGGAAATATCTTGGGGATCAACAAGTGGCTGAACAACAGGAAGCAAACAGTAGAAAGAAGTACAAAGGGCAAACAAGCAATGAAATCCCCTCAAGGACCTGTATTAATTAGGAGACTGTGAAAAACTCCAGGAAGACCTATCTAAACTGAGAAAACAGGCAATGAACACATAAATAACTGCCAAAATGAATAATGCGCACTAATACCCAAGCACCTGAGTTTGATACAATCTGAACTGGCCATAACTCCTGAGGAAAAGAATGTGGATTTGTGGTGCAACTGTATGTTACACACAGTTGTATGTTGCATATAGTAGCACTAGTGCAATGGGGCTGTCCTCCCTGCCCTGTATCTGCTCTTAGGGATCAAGAAAACCCCCCAGAACAGCATACAGGGGAAGGAGAGGTTTCATTCCATCTGACAATCAGAAATGCTTGACCTGACTGAATGGTCTTAATAGTGTAATGTTTAATTCAACACTAGGTTGGGAGTTACTAGAAGAGGCAATGTTCAAAATTAGCCGGGCGCGTTTTGTACCTAGTTTTCAACCACTTGCGACCAAGTGAAGATGCCTGGTTGCCAGGTTGGCACCTGACATCTCCACCATATGGAGATCATTGGATCTGGGCTGTTTTCACACTCTAAAACCCCATCCTGCAGAATTCTGTTATATTTTATCTGTACAATTGGAATGAATTTCTGGAATCAAACTGATTTTTCTGTGCAGCCTGAGAAGGAACAGTCACCATTAAGAAAAAGAGGTCAGAATAGGCCAATACATATGGATCAAGGGACTTTTCTTCTTTAAGTTCTCAAAGCTCTTAACCTAGCTTCAAAGTGGTCATCTGAACTAGCCAGATGTTTCACTGAGAATCAATCACAGTCAGGCTGTTATTTGAAAAATAAGACCTTAGAGCTATCTTGCCCAAAAATGGCAACTAGGCTTTCTGTTTTGGTGACTGTAACCCTGGTTTAAGGAGCCATTTGACGCCTAGTTTATACATCTGAGTTTCTAACACTGAGAAAGAGGGATTGGATGAAGGCACATGAGGCCTTCATCCAATCTTGTTGAATTAAGCAGGCCTAGAAAGAGGGTTGGGGCTCCTTTCAGGGACTTTTAAGTTTAGGGAAAATATACGTTATAATCTTTATTTTAAAATAAACAGATTCCACCACCCCACCAAAAAAAAAGCCATAAAAGGGTGTAAAGTAACAGTCACCAACTCAAATGACTGAAAATGAGGTTCAGACAAATTCTTGAAGGGTAAAGCTATTGATGGTCACTAGGTGTATACTATCTAAAGTACTGGGAGGTGTTATGACTCTGTATACCAGTTTCTGGGAAGCACAGGTGGGGAGAGTGTTGTTGTATTTGTGTCCTGTGTGGGGGTGTCCCATAGTCATCTGCTTGGCCATGGTGAGAATTGGATGTTGGACTATTCAAGCTTTTGACCTGATCCAGAAGAGTTATTCTTATGTACACCACTGAAGAACAATGGGTAAACCAAGGTTCAATGAACCCTAAACACTCTATTATATTTATTTAAAAAAACAACCTCTGTTGAGCTGGTGCCTATTAAAAGGAATAAGGGAGAAACAAGACTGCATGAGGAGCAAGTTCAATGGCCTTGGTACCAATACTGAGAAGGATTCACCCCGTGTCTCACAACCCTCCACTCTTTCAACAGAGGGGGACCCATCCACCTATCTTCATTAGAACCTTTGTGATTTTTCTAAATTAAGAATGGTGTACAAATGAGCCTAATAAAGCAAGTACATTCCTCCAGTCCAAATTAAATTTAAAAATATAGTCTTTTATCCTGATCTAGGCCATTAATAACCTTAATGCCATTAGGATGGTCACATGAACAAAAACAAATTTCAAAAATGGAAATTCCCACCAACACCGCAGAGTCCAAAATCCTGACATAATTTAGACTGACATCTGAACCATCCACCAAGTATAGTTTGTTTGCTTGCTTGCTTGCTTCTTTCTTACCTTCCTTCCCAAATCATTTTCAGTGGTGGCTGGTGTCACACATTTCAGGAGGCATGCGCAGAGTCCTCCTCGGGCTGCACTGAATAGTCCCCAAGGAGCATTTTGGACTCCATTATCACAGGTTATTGCCACCCACGCCTGCCACTGCAGAATTACTTTCAGGGGGGGAAACAAAACCTGAAATTGCTTTTATCTCCTTCGCCAAATGCAAAACTCAGAAGGAAGGTCATGTGAGTTGAAGAGAGCACACACTTTATATACAGAGGTTCCCAGGTTCAGGCACCTCCTAGTTAAAAGGACCAGGTAACAGGTGATGGGGACGAATATCTGCCCGAGATCCTGGAAAAACCACTGCCAGCCAGACAACAACAGGCTAAACTGACAAAAGTCTGATGTGGCACAAAGCAGCTTCCTACATGCCAAATATTTTATTAAATTTATATGATCGTCTATTGATTAAAAAAATCTCCAGGCACGTTACAAAATCAAAACCATTGTGTACACAAATTACAATAATGAATGTAACAGAAGTCTCACGCCACCACAAGGCCTTCCCTAGTGTGGATGGAATAAAACAGCTTACAGCTCACCTTAAAGCCACACCAAGAGAACATCATTTTTTAAATAATTTTTATTATTACTTATTTCTAGACAACTTTATATTTTAAAGAAATGAATCTCAAAGCAGTTTACAATATAGACGTAAGATTTATTTAAAACCATGTTAAAATAACAAAGACGAAGGTTTGTTTTAAAATGAGATTGGGGGGATGTGCAGCTAATTCCCCATCAGTAGTTACAGGAAACACAGCCCAAAGATTTACAGACTGCAAGAGAATTAAGCCCCAGTAAATAATAATGATTTATAGGATTAAGTCTTCATGAGAAACGCATGGGTAGCAAGGACAGTGCAAGAACCACAGCTAGCGATTTCTCATCTTAAGACATGGGTAAGCCCTTCAAGCTGTTGCTGGACTCCAGATCCCATCAGCCCCAGCCAGCATGGGCAACAGTCAGGGATAATGGGAGTTGTGGTCCTACTACATCTGGAAGACAACAGAGTCCACATCCCACACCTAGGAAACAATCGAGCCTGGTAGGCATGATGGCTATGTTGAAAACACATAGAAAATTCCAAATCTCACACAGCTTTAGGCTTCATTCACAATACACACTTAAGGCACATGGCTTTTCACTATGTGCCCTGTGAACTGCAGTTTGGGAAGCGTGCTGGGAATTGTAGCTTTCTGAGAGGTTAAGCTACGATGCTTTAGGGAAGCTGTGGCTGTTAAATTAGCATGAATATGCTCTAAATGTATTGCGCTCATGTGGTGTTGGTTTGAGACTCAAAGTTTGGTGGCTCGTGCTAACCAAGTTCTAGGTAGGCTGCTAAGTTAAATAAAGGTGGAGTTTTCACCCGAAATAACTCACATTACTCAAAAAGATTGGACATAACGTACGGCAAATACTTGAACTATACTATGCCCCACTTCTACATGGACCCAAGAGAAATTCTGCCACTCTATATCGAAAGTAAATAGCCTTTCAACCCCTATTCTGAGTGCAATGAATCATTCTGAGAAGGTAGAAAGCCCTCATGCAGTAAGCTAACCAAAGTTTTTCACGGCCGGACGTGATCCATCAGGAAAAAAGAAGTGAGAGAAAAGTGGCTGAATTGCTTGCAACGTACTTAAGCCTCTCAACAACTGCTTCCATCGTTTTAAGCAGCACAGTGAAAACGGCATTGCAACTACTACCCACGTATAACCAAAGAAAGCAAGAAATCTACTAGTGAATCTCTGGCTGATTTGCAGCGCCCTCCTCTCTCTCCTTTTCTATCATGTTTATTGGGGAGATGTGCAATAAATCAACAAGGGTTTCCAATTATCAATTGTTGAATAACAGCAACACCAAAAAGGTGTTGTCGTCCCCCACCCCACCAAAAATAAAAAAAATAAAAAAATAGGCTGCTGACACAAAGAAAGCTTTTGGGGAAAACCTGGAATGGATTTTTGTATGAAAGGATTGGGAGCTGTGGTCTAGTGTTGAATGGAATCCAATTGGTGCCACTGTGCTCATGCAAGCACTTTAGACCCAGCAGATGTTTCTGCTAATGAGAATGAAGGGGTTTTGGGTGGGGGGTTTTTTGCCTATTTTCTGTTCCCTTGCAGCACCCCACCACCACATTTCACTGTGTTCTGTAGGGTGTTCCCTGGCAGTCAAGACCTTTCTTGGGTGCAAAAACTGCTTCTCTTTCTCTTTGATTCTCAAATGTGTCTGCTAGATCAAAAGCCCTTCCATTAAGTGCCCTTAACAAAGCCAAAGGCTCAGACACCAGGAAGCTTTAAAACTATTTAAAAATACCACTTTTACATTATTTTTTAAAGAAGACTCTATAGCAAGACTTACATGAGGCACGCCCCAAGGGAGATTATATTTTAATGTCTCCTGGATTTTATGGCAGAACTCTGAAATATGCAACTCTATTAAATTCATGAAGCCAGAAAGTTTCAGCTGTTGCTCCACAAAGGATGTATTGCCACACAACGGAAGCCTCCTCTTTCGCCTTCAGCATCTGTCAAACTCTTCCCTTCATCTAATTTCTCTCTCCCCTCACCGAGAAAGTCTCTGTCCTTTGAATACATCTCTACATTGGCTCCCTCTTCCCTCCTGAATTAAGTTTAAAGCTTCTTTTATTTTGCTTTAGTGCCTTTGTAGTATCAGCTGTTAGCGTTTTCTTCTTCCTCATTTTGGCATTATTTTCTATGATAAAGATGCCTTAAGAGCAGAGGTGTGTGGAGTTTGTGGCCCTACAGATCAGCCTTTCTCAACCCTGGGTCTCCAAGCTGTTGTTGGACTACAACTCCCATCATCCCTAGCTAGCAGGACCAGTGGTCAGGGATGATGGGTGTTGTAGTCCAACAACATCTGGGCTGCTCTAGATGTTGCTCAATGCCTGCTCCCATCAGCACAAGTCAGGGTTCATAGAATCATAGAGCTGGAAGGACCACAAGGGTCATCTAGCCAAACTCCTTGCAATGCAGGAATCTTTTGCCCAACAAGGGGCTTGAACTTGCAACCCTGAGATTAATGGTCTCATGGTGGGAGGGGGGATAACATCTGGAAGACTTCAGGATTCCTATTCCCTGCCTTGTATCATTTATACACCCAGCTCAGTGTTTCAATCTCCGACAACATTTCCCCAGGGTCTTGAGAATGGATCCTTCCCAGTGTCTCACTGCCTGACCTTTAACTTCTTTCCACTCCAGCACCACAGGTACTAATAAACCATGGTCCATTAAAACAAGACCAGACCAAGGAAGCACCCAGTATCACTAGCATTCAGTGTGACTTGAGGTCACACAATATAGGTCTGCAGTGCAGGCAGGTGGGAAATTGTGTGCAAAATTCCAGGGGTTCCAGGCACTTAACCTGGGGTTCACATTTCCATTTGGAAACAAGGCACAGCAGAGACTGGGGTGGTTATTGACACATATATACAACCTGAGCCTACGCTGGAGCGCTTCACAGCATCAACACCCCAAGGGGTGTTGTTGTTTCTTGCACAACATCTGCCTTGGATTCAAAGAGAAATCAACCATCGTGCTCTGAACCTCACTCCAGCTTGCTGCCTTTACCAGTGTGCAACCTTTTTTTGTCCTCTAGAGTACATCACATCCAACTCTAAAATTCTACTCCAAATTCTGTCTTTGTCTTCTAAGAGGTGGAGGAGGTGCCCCACCCACTTGCCCTCTGGCACAGAGCCCCCTCACCTTGGGCTTTCCTAATGGCTTGTCACCTTTATTTTGTTCTTCTGTTGGCCGATCACCACCCCAGGAAAAGGGCCATGCTTATATTTTAACATTTGCTGAATCCAGGAATGTGTGCCACCCAGAAACTCTTAACATGGGGGAGTCTGAAACACATAGCACAGGGGAGTCGGGCACCCACAAACTCACAACAATGTATATCTGCCTGTGTCTGTGGAGAGGAAAGTATCTCCTTTATGGTACTCACAATAGCACACAATCAGTAGTGCTCCAGGATCAACATATAATAACTAACAATCCTTGATTGCCCAGATTTTATCCCAAGCAACCAATGAGCAGGCACATCAGAACCTGTTTCGTATCACCTACTATAGGAACACTGACTTGGTCTCTTTCTGAAAGCAAGTGTTTCTTGGGTAGGTCTAATGACACAACACTAGGAACTTCAATGCTTCCTTTGCCACTACATATTCAGAGTTACACCATGGATTCAAGTAAGGCAGGAAACATGGACTTTTTGGGGGGAGGGGTAGTATTCAAATATGGGTTTTCTCAATTTTGTGAGGTATTACCATTTTACTGGTTAATGCCATTGTTAGCCACAGAACGAAGACTTATAACTGGTGGGTGATTTGAGTCTCTTGTTATTCCTGTCTGAAGGTCTGGTTTTCAAAATGATAATAAGTTTGTGTATTGGAACGGAGGTGTTCTTCTGAAGATCTTGAAGGAAAGCGTTCCTTATGTGTAAGGTAAACTAACCATGACACTAGAAAGATAGATGACTACCTCTCACCATCATCAGAATTGGGTATAAACCATATTTAACAGAGTAACACAGAAAAATAGTTTCAACAAGATCAATGTCTGCTGGTATTCTGAATGTTATTAATCCAGACACATTAATTTCAGAGACTGGCTCCTTTCATCAAATCTTATTCAGAGAAGAACTAGTGCATCTACGCAGCCTGTATGATGACGACAGCAGTCAGCTGGAGTTCCAAGTGACAGAGCCAGGATCAGGAGCCTGTAGCCCTGCAGTTCTTGTGGGACCACAGCTCCCCTAATCCCTAACCACTAGTCATGCTGGCTGGAGCTGATGAGAGTTAGAGACCCAAAACACCTGGAGAACCACAGGTTTCTCACTGCTGTCAGCACTGGGAATCTAAAAAAGTAGGCAAGCTTTACTTCACAATGTATTTATTAATTGCATTTGAAACAGCTGTTTCAAGTATAGCATGAAAACTAGTGTGGCACAACGGCTAGAGTTTTGAGCTTGAAAATAGGAAACCCATGTTGAAATTCCTGCTCCATGGAACCTTGAACAAGTTACTGTCTCTGTCTCTCTTTTCCCCTCCAACCACAGTGGTGAGTTGCTGATCCAAGTTTCCTGGAGGAACAGCTGATACAAAAATCTAAATAAATAAATCGAAATAAATGTCACCTGGAGTTACGAGTGGCTTCCAGCAGCAGCGCCAAATCAATGGACCTGTGTTCAATTCACATTCTCTCCCCAACCTCAGTCTTAAGGGTTGATCTCCCAGCCAAAATTCCACTTCCTCCAAGAAGGCTCTGGGATGAGTAGTTAACTCTGCAGTATGGAGATAAATCAGCTGACTGCAAGCATCTGCAAAGATTGTGGAGGTAGTTCTGCTTCTTCTTATAGGGGAAGCCCCCTGGAAGATATTGCTGGTCATCTTCAAGAACTTCCTGGTGGGACCTGCAGGCTTTCTTCCTCCACCACAGTGCATGAAAGGACACAGGGCGAGATACGTAGGTTTGGGGTCAGAAAGCAAGGCCATCTCAGTAGTGGTTTGTAGGCTGGGTAGTTCCTTCCTAAGTGAGATTCAGAGCACTTCCTGACTAGTGAGGGCAAAAAAAAGGCACTAGTGAGGGCACTAGTGTATGGGCAAAAAACTTGCATCTTTGTAGGGGTTTGGAACAAATTGTGGATAACCGATTGCTTCCCTAGCTTCAAATACATTGTAACCCTAGCTTCAAATACATTGGGATGAGGGAGTTTAAAATTAATACAAATTAACTCTCCGTTTTTAAAAGGCTGTACAGGGATCTAAAATTATGCTCTTGAATAAATGGTAGGTATCTGTGTTTCAGGGTTTGTTTTCAAAAACGAATCCACAGGGACCCAATGAAAGTTTCATGTTGGCAATTCTCTCGCGCCTGCCATGCGGCATTTACACAAAGTCTCTTTGAATACGTGCAATACTTTCCGCTAGTGGGGTGGAGCTATAAACTCAAGGTACAGTCTAGATTGTACCCTAAACATTGATTGTTTTTGCTGCAGCAACATTTAAGTTTCGTTTGAAGAAAGACAGCAACACTTCTGTGCTTTCCTACCAAATCCAGCCATATGGAGTAGAGTCTGCAGTAAGATCCAGAATTAGCTCTGAGCATCCTTAGGAGATTCTTTCGAAAGCAGGAAGGACCACTCCAGAATTCTACATACAATATTAATTGCTAGCTAGAACGGCTCTGTCAAACAAGGCTGACACTATTACTACCTTCTACAATCCCAAGAGGCATAAAACAGTAAATCCCAGAAGAAAAGGCACTGGCATGGAATTATTACTGAAACAATAATACCATATATGTACATGGAGACAAAACCACACACCTTAAAAGGCTACCAATGAATTTACCATGATGGGAGTAAAATCGGATATAACTATTCTAATGTTGGGGGGGGGGGTTGGAACCCCCAAACTGAAGTACTTTAGGGTTTTCCGTAATGAAGAAATCATTTTTTTAAAAAAATAAACCACTTGGCTGCAGAAGAAAACTTTGTACCCATTTTATAGGTGCATTTCAGAGATCCCATTGACCACTGCTACCCAATGGGCTAGCTCAAGCTTATTTCACCACCACTGGAGAAGGGGAAGCAAGGTCACACTCTGGCACTTGCTAAATGATCACGTCCGTAAAATCCCAGCTGATTGCACAGATCAGGACCGCATGCATTCTATTTTGTACATTACCCTTTTCATTTTATACATGCACAGGTCCTATGCCTATTTTATGCCCACACGTGGGTGTCTACTGCGCCTGGAGGTGGAACAGGTGTGCGCGCTGGGAAAGGCAGAAAGCCACAGCCGTGCTTGCATGCCACAGAGGGCTTCTGCTTGTCGGGAAGTCCATGCAGACTGGCCCAATGGCTACAGCCACGGGCAGTGAGGACAACAATCTCACTTTCCACTAGCTAAGAAATCTACGAGGCTAAAAGAAGCCTGTTGAAAAGAGCGTGGAGAGCGCCACTGAGTCAAGACACTGAGTCACGAAAGGTCATGTCAAAACATTTCAGAAGGCAATTTGCGAGCAGCCGGCTTTGCAACTCTAGTTTTGTTGTTGTTGTCGTCTGCTGCTGCTTATGTAGACTTGTGTTGATTTTAAGAATAGCTAGGATCCAAGCCTTTATTATTATTATTATTATTATTATTATTATTATTATTTAAAGAAACCCATAAAGGGAAAACAAAACTTAAGAGCACATTGTGCTATTTAATTCCAGTGTGAATATTCCAACCGCTCCACTGCATCATCCCCTTTCCTTTAAACTACAGCCTCTTTTCCATCTCGCCTCGTCTGTATGCATTGCGATGTAAAAGTCACTTGAGGGCACGGAAATAATTCGCATGCATTCATGCATTCTGAAATGCATCCTCAGCACAGAACCCCTGTTTCCTTTAACAAATCTCTGCCGGTTTCGGAATTTTCATTGATGCTGTTCTCTACAAATTCATCCCTGGTCATTGAAGGATACAGCTCTCAATGGCTACTACTCACGATGGGTATATACTTCCTCCAGATCAGAAGAAGCATGCATCTGAATGCCCGTTGCTGGGAAACAACAGCGGAAGAGAATTAACGTCTCCATGTCCTGCTTGCAAAGCTTTTCAGAAGCATCTGCTTGTCTTGACCACTTGTGTAAAAAAGGGATGCTGCGCTGGATAGGCCTTCGGCTGGATCCAGCCCAGTTCTTAGGTGTCTTACTACACGCTGAGAATTACTACAGAATTCCTTGCTTTTAACACCGTGATGTGTTTCATACCCACTGATGACCAGATGGCAATAACATACACATTAATTCAACTAAAATGTCTCGTGTACGGCAATCCCAAATCGTCTGCCTATTTCACTCCCAGAATGTCTGTGTCCAGCTGTCACAAAAGATCAGCCTTCCTTACTGCTGTATTCCAGGAAAGCTCTGGATGTCAGTATCCTTCCTCACCCACATGCTGGATTGGCTCCTTTGCCACCATACGCAGAACATGTTAAGTGTTCGGTGCTACTGAACCAAAAAGCATTTCACTAACATACCATACAACAACAATGAACACAGCTTGCAATTAGAAGCATGTGCAAAATCCTAACTACGAAGATAACTTTAGCTGCCTAACCTCAAGTAAGATCACTGTTTCCATTATTAACCAGTATTCTCAGGGGCTTCCCAACAAGACCAAGAAACCACACGTTCAGACACGAAAGTGATTTTGCCTCATACGCTTAATGTCTTTCCTATAAACACTTTAAACTAAATGCACGCATGCTATATTCACAAGCGTCTTAATCCAGAAAATCTAACTTTGAAAAACTGCATTCTCTTATTTTAAAGAGCTAAATATATGCCAATTCAAAACCATAAACTGGACCTCAGTGATTAAACGAGATTGTGGGGTGGGGAGGGAGGAAGACATCTGTAGATGAATATGTATTCATAGGTTGCAATTCAGCCATCGTACACCCCCAGTAACTATTTGAAATAAGCATTTTGCACTAAACAGCCAGGGTCAGAATCCATGTTGAAAGCCATTCATAGTACTGCAATTCAACAGCATATGCTAGAATAGAAGCTACACCCCTTTATGGACCGTACTTTAGGATTACAATACCACTGGTGCAATCCTAGCCTCAAAGACGTCAATAGAAATTCAGTCACTTAGGTCAGTAACAGGCAAAATAGAGCCCAAATGCACCCCTTAAAAGTAGTATAACACGTAATGCTTTTCTGTAAACTCATTGATCACAATGCCATCGCCAACAGACTGACAACTCTTCTTCCCTCCTCACCCTTACACACACACACACACACACACACACACACACACACACAAATACGCAAGCATTCAATATCCTTAAAAAAAAACAAAAAACCCCGATGATGCGTTGCGGATCCTTCCCATTCTGCTACTGGGAAATGGTAAGAGCAAAGAGGCTTAACTACAGCTGGAAGCAAGGGCTCCTGCAGCTGGAAGCCCATACAAATCCTCTATCAGCAATACCCTGGTACAACACTATGGAGACATGACAAGAATGCTAAGTGAACTACGATTTTCCAAGTTTAATCATACCTCCAAGCATTATCTAAATATACATCTCTGTGACTGATCAGTTACTGGCTTTTCCTTCCTGCCTTACTGGGGGGGGGGGGGAGGACAAAAACATAGCAGTTACTGCTTTTAACAAAAGATTTCATCTGCAGAGGAATGACTCAGGATAAAACTTTTAAAAACCCCATTCCCTTTCGTTACACTACGACATGACGTAATCATACACAAGTTAACATTCCCCACATGTTAAAACCATGCACATCTAAAAAGCACCGTGGGTTGCAAACGGCAAACCAATTCATAATGTGTAAAGGCCATAATAGATACCTTTCTTTCTGTGTCCTTTACAGAAGAGCTCCTTCTTCCGCACTGGCTACAAGGCTATTCCTATGAAAGAGCACACAGACACACACACAATGGTGTTGTTTTTTTCCCAATAGGAGAGGATGCACGCACCCATATTACAGATAATTTATCCTGTATCTTGTCCTAGAGCTCTCCCTCCACTTACAACTGCAATGTTCCCTTATCCTGCATGGCTGCTCCACTGATTGAAATTCAACATGCAACCTACTGCAAGCATCAGTGCAGTCACCGCGAAGCAACCAAGCCAAGAAATAAAAAGGTTTAGCCTGTGGGGACATGCAAAGTGGATACAACAGGAGTTTGCCACAAGTGAATTAAAACAACCCCCCCACCCCAATAAAAGGTTTGCAAGACAAGACACTTCCCCTTTAAATACCTACGGCCCGCCCACACGGACTGCATATGGAGGGAGTCAGAAATTAAGAGAGCATTCTGCATTCAAACAGCACATCAAATGCATGCAGAGACACCTTTAAGGCACAGCAATGGGAGAGGAAGAGGAGGGGGGGGTCGAAGCATGCTTCCTTCACCAGCAACCCACATATACACATAAACCATTCTGAATTTATTTATTAAAAAAAGACTTACTGGTCTGATCCACTTTCCAACACCGAGACGTTAAGGTGTGTGTTTTTTTCGGCCTTCCAAAGTAGTCTCTCTCAAAGAGCAATAATGCACACACAGGCGCGCGCGCCCCCGTCTCCAAAGCAAGCACCGGGGCAGACTGAAGCGGCGGGGGTGGGGTGGGGGGCGAGCAGCGATAGCAGCAAACAGCTGGAAGGATGAACTTGGGAGATCTGGAGATCTGAGCAAAGCCAGTGGCTCAGAAGCAAGCATTTGCTCCTGGCGTCGAGAGCAAGAGCAGCGGCAGCAGCAGCGAGCGAATGGAATCTACCTCTGAGCCCCAGAAGCCTTTTCCCCGGCAGTCAAAGCATGGAGACCGAATGGGGCTGAGCAACAGAAGCAACCGGGTCCCTGCATAGTCCCCGGGCGCAGACCCCCTTGGCGGGCAGCTGCCTCGAGTGGAATGAGGGGGTGGTTGGGGGGGGCGCCAGAGAGGGAAAGCGAAGCAACAGCCGCGAAGCGGGAGAGGGGGGCGGGCAAGCGGGCGTCCCCTCGCGCGCCCTCAGGCAGCCCCGACGGCTCCTCGCGCGCTCCTGCCCGCCGCGGCGCAGCCCAGCCCGCCGACCTTCCTCGGCTCTCGCCCTGCCAGCCCCTCGCAGCAGCAGCTCCAGCCCAGGAGCCGAGGCGGCGCCACCATGAAGGCTGCCCGGCCACCCAGCCGCCCCTCTCCTCCTCCTCCTCCTCCTCCTCCCTCACGCCCCCTTCCCTTTTCCCCGCGGAGGCTCCGGAAAGGACCTCCGGCATCCACCACCTCCTTCCCCTCACAGCCTGCGCGCAAATGCAGCAGCAGCGGCGGGAGCAGCCAGCAGACCAGAGGCGCCCCCCGCCCGCCTCACACACACGGGCACCCCTGCGCGCGCGCACACACGCACACACACCGCCTCCTCAGCCGGAGGGGACCCCCCTCGCCTCCTCTCCCCGGATTCCGCCTGCGCCTCGAGGGGCGCAACAGCCCGGCTGCCCTACCTGCTTCCTTCTCTCCTCTCCCTGCCCGAGGAAAGGAAGCGAAGGGAAGGGGAGACGGAGGAGAAAAGAGCCTTCGCTACCAGCGCCGCCGCCGCCGCCTCCTGCTGCACCAGCAGCAGCCGCCGCCTCGCTCCGGCTGCCTGGAAAGTCCCTGGTGCGCTGCCCCGGCTCTCTTTCTCTCCCTCACCCCGCCCCGCACTTCCTCTCCCGCCCTCCCGAAGCCCAGGCTGGAAATCCCCGGCACGCCGCGTTCCCTTCCCCTCTCTCTCTCTCTCTCTCTCTCTCGCCCTGCCCGGCTTCTCGCTACGGCGCAAGCACAAGCGCCAGACAGCAGGCGCGGCAAGCAGCTCGCCGTCGCAAGCCAGGCGGGGAGGGACTCCGCCAGGCGCGCGCCAGCCCCTTTTTCTGGGCGGCCGGCGCAGCGGACTGGCTGCCTGCCCTGCCAAGCAAAGAGAGAAGCAGCGGGGGGTGGGGGGAGTGGGAGGGGCGAGCCGCTCTTCCCGGAGGGATTTCATTCAATCCGTCTCGCACGATCCGGCCCGCCTTTCTCTTGCAGCAAGCGCGCGGGGAGGCATCGGGAGAGGGTGCCCCCTACCCAGCCAGCAGTAGGCCAGGAATGGCTTCAGGGGCTGCGCTTTTTCCTCTCTTGCGCGCGTGCACACACACACCCGGGATTTATAAGCCTGGTGCTGTGGAAAGCCGATGGCGAGCGTGGCATCTCTGAGCATGTGCTGAGCGCTGCGCCCTCCTTGCACTGGGGACCCGGTTCCTCGCAGGCCTGGTGGTTTCCAGCGCTTCCCAGTCGTTGCTCTTCCACTGTGTTGCTCTTGCACGTTGGTCTTCCGGTCCTTAAGGTAAACGGGGAACTGCTTTCCGCAGTTTGGGAGGTATTTTTGTGTGTGTGTGTGCATCCTGCTGCATTCCATTCGCACTAGTGGGTGTGACCCACTAGCCAAGGAGGCGAAGAAGGGACAATTCTGAGCATGCTCCTTTTTAAAAAAAAAAACAAAAAACACAACACACGTACACGTACAAAACCACAATTCTTCAATTGGGACTAAAGTGCTTTTTAATTTACTAAGCCCCATTGCACACTGTGGAACCTGTTCTGAACAAGCAGACATAGGTGTGTGCTGTAAACGATTAAATAGGCAAAAACGTGTCTGTGAGTTTGAGTTGTTCAATTGTTCCAAAGTGAAAAGGCATGATTAGTTTTGGGGTGATGCGAGCATGATTCATAAGAGGCACCCACTTAGATGTCCCTTCATTCTCACCCAGAAAGGGCATGCCTTTTCTATGACGACACTTGCCATTTGCAGTTTGTATCGAAAATAGTTTTCCACCAGTTACAGTGGTACCTCGGGTTAAGTACTTGGTTCGTTCTGGAGGTCTGTTCTTAACCTGAAACTGTTCTTAACCTGAAGCGCCACTTTAGCTAATGGGGCTTCCTGCTGCCGCAGCGCCACCGCCGCGGCGCAATTTCTGTTCTCATCCTGAAGCAAAGTTCTTAACCCGAGGTAATATTTCTGGGTTAGCAGAGTCTGTAACCTGAAGCGTCTGTAACCTGAAGCGTATGTAACCCAAGGTACCACTGTACTAATCTAGCCCAGCCTTTGCCAACTGAGTGCCCTCCAGATGTTTAAGACCACCACAGCCATGGTGATGGAAGTTGTGGTCCAAAACATCTGGCAGAGATACCAAGTTGGCAAAGGCTGGGCTAGCCAGTGTTTCATCGCTACTTATTTTCCAGTCAAGTTATGTGGAAGCAGGGCAGTCGTTACTCAATGGCACACAATATGTTTCAGAACTGAGCGCTGAAATTTGGGTTCTGGGTCTCAGGTGGTGTAGTCAGCCTAAGGAACAACCCAAAATGTCACACTTATGGCTGGGCTGAAATCACACTCACACAATATCCCCACCCCCAAATATTATCCTCTTGCAAAAACTGGGCCAATCTGCTGCTGCTTTCAGGACAATGGCAGAATTTCTCTTGATTTTTTTAGGAGGGAAGCTGCTTTACCGGGTCTCAGCAGGAACTGTGGCTTGCAGGAAGTGGCAGAGAGTGCCTTGCACCACTTCCTCCTGGCGACACTTCCCAGAATGCCTTGGCCAGCGTTGGTCCAAGACATATTGGCACCCGAGGTGAACCACAAAATGGTGCCCTCTCCCCGCCAGAGAAGAAAGGGTGAGTTAAGATCTACATCAGGGACAAGGGAGGAATAAATATCTGATTGGGATCTGCGAATCCGCCCCTCAGCCTGAGGTGGTCACTTCACCTTGCCTCATGGATGTGCCGGCCCCAACTTTGGGAACAACAGCATTCTGGAAACTTTGGCCAACCAGAAGCTGAGACAAGAGCCTTGTGCCCTCTGCAATGAACTTTTTTTAAAAAAAGGGTTAAAGTGAAGGGGCACAGAAAACCCTTGTCCACCATGTGATATTAAGTTCAGTAAGCAACAGTCCCCTTCTGAACACTTTGAAGAAATTCCTTTCTCTACTCCCAACCCCTTTTCTGTAGAGAGTTTTGTTTAGTTCCCCACCCACCCAACAAATGGTTGAAAAATACATTTTTGCCGCAGTTCACTACATGACAGTGACGGCAGGGACTACTGATTAAGTACACGTTCGTTCGCAATGTCTCTCTCTAATATTTTTCTTACGACGTGTAACTTTGTGATCGGTTGGGTTGCAAAAGTACAACAAGCTTATGCGCATTGTTGGGCTTGCATCCCACACATCTCATGTGTTGTGTTGTGTTGTGTCATGTAGGATGCTCTGCCAGTAGTGTGTGGTACCCTCCAGAGATGCAGGTGAAAGGTCAGGAAGGAGGCAGAGACCAAGCCTGTGAATACATTATTATTATTATTATTATTATTATTATTATTATTACCATTTATTTATCAGCTGTCTTCTAAACCACCCTCTCAAAGCGATTAACACACAAGGTGATTAGAAACAGTGGAAAACACAGGAGCAACAGATGCAATTAAAATATGACTAACGAGTGGACCCACATAAAGACCCGTTCATCCAACGGGGGAGGCTGTCAGAACGAAAATGTCCTGAATTGTTTCCAGAAAACGCTGCTGGTGGTTGCCTGTCAAATCTTTTTTTTTTTTTAATGATGTTTATTAAAGTTTCAAAAAATACAGGAAAATACAGAATACAGAAAAAAAGTATAAAGTTTTTAAGATATAACAAAAAAGTAAAAAATGAAAAGAAAAATACAAAATAAAACAGTTAAAAACACGTTAATTTTCCATAACCTATCTTCCTTGCACTTATTTCCCCGGACCTCCTCGTACCTCCCTTTTTTGTATTCCAGTTCAATTTGTTAGTTCAGCAAATCCTTACCATTAAGCTTTTACCCATTTGTAAGCCTTTTTCGTATCTCTTAAAGCATTACAGCTGGAAACCACTTAATTTCTATCCAACATCCTTCTAAAATTCCTTAATTTTACAATATTTCTGTAAATAATCTTTAAATTTCTTCCAATCTTCTTTCACTGACTCTTCTCCCTGGTCTCGGATTCTGCCAGTGGTTGCCTGTCAAATCTTGACAGGAATGCTGTTCCACAAAATGGGGGTCACCACATTAAAAGCCCTGCACGGAATTACTGCGGAACGCACTTCTGAGATCTTTGGATCTTGCAGGGGAATCTCTCCCTCAGACCGCAGCAATCTACTGGGTATATAAGGAGGAAAGGGGGTCTCTCAAGAAACCTGTCCCTGAGCTGTACAGGGCATCATATTATAAGGGCAACAACTGGAACCTGGCTTGGTTTCAGATTGGTAGCTGGTGCAAATCCTGAAAGCAAGGTGTCATCTGCTGGTGGTAGTTTTCCCCCAGAGGCAGCCAAGCCGCCATGTTCTGCACCAGAGGTATCCTATAGGTTTTTTGTGTGAAATACGTGGTTTGATGTGTCACCCCACACACACACACACCAGCTAGCTTTGGTCCAGACTGTAGCCTTATTCAATCCAAATTTGGACTGAATAATTTGCAAATTTGTGCAAATTTGCAACACCAACTTTCTCTTCCATGGCAGGGGGTGCGTGTCCTCTGTGCACATACACAGATCATAGAATCATAGCATTGTAGAGTTGGAAGGGACCCCTGGGGGGCATCTAGTCCAACCCCCTGCTGTGCAGGAATCTCAACTACAGCATCCATGACAGATGACCATCCAACCTCTGCTTAAAAACCTTCAAGGAAGGAGAGTCTACAACCTCCTGAGGGATGAAAGCAATGCTTAATTTTAAATCCTTTCCAACAGCTTGGGTAGTGAAAATAAAAGTGGCATCACAGAGGACAAGGCTATCAATGCCTAGCATTAACAGTCAGAGGCTGCAATGCTCTGAATACCAGTTGCTGGAAACCACAGGATCCAGGAAGAGTGCTCTTGCACTCGGGTCCTGCTTGCAGCTTTCCTGCAGGCAATCTGGTCAGCCACAACTTGCCAGTGTGGTGCATGCTCTAGTTATCTCCGGCTTGGACTACTGCAATGCGCTCTACGTGGGGCTACCTTTGAAGGTGACTCGGAAACTGCAATTAATCCAGAATGCGGCAGCTAGACTGGTGACTGGGAGTGGCCGCCAAGACCACATAATACTGGCCTTCTCGGTAGAGGTGCCTACCCTGTGGAATGCCCTCCCAGCAGATGTCAAGGCAATAAACAACTATTTTACTTTTAAAAGACAACTGAAGGTGGCCCTGTTTAGGGAAGTTTTTAATGTCTGACGCTATATTGTTTTTAATATTCGGTTGGAAGCCGCCCAGAGTGGCTGGGGAAGCCCAGCCAGATGGGAGGGTATAAATAATATATTATTATTATTATTATTATTATCATCATTATTGGCTGCAGGAGCCAATGGGAAGCCAGCCAGCGTCGCGGAAGGCGGTCCCTGCTCTGATCCACGCCGGTTTAACGTGGTGCACAGGAGCGGGCAGTGGGGGTCCATGGGCCGGTTAAACAACCCCCATGGGCTGCTTGTGGCCCATGGGCCTTAGGTTGCTGACCCCTGTTCTAGCCCTTAATATGAAGCTCTGGCTTCCTAGTTCCAAGTGCCTGTAGGCTTAGCTTTTCACAAGTTTGCTCAAGAAAGGAGACGACGTAGGTGGAGGGATGGGGGTAACCAGCCAGGCAAATCGCAGCAGACAAATATATCTCCACCCACTA